AGGTATAGTGAAGCGTTTCCGATAACACTGATCTATAATAGTCATTTAAGATTCATAAAGATTAATTTTTTTATGAAAATAAATACTGTATATTTCATTAAAATGCTTATCTCTCTTTTTGATGCTACAAGGACAGACAGACGGATAATTTCACTGTGAACATTATAAGTTATTACCTGTTCCGCCCATATGATTATTATTCTAGTTTAATATTAATATTTTAACAGCAAAGACTTGAGATGATTTGTTGTCATAACATTGTGCATAGATTGTGAATAAATTTATCAAAATATTTGCAGCACAATGAATGAAATGTCTAAAGTGGTATGAACCATAAACGCATATATGTGTACTTGAAGGACACAAGGACTCCGATTACAGGGTAACAATTTACCGAATCTGACTAACGTGCTTATATTTTTCCGTCCATATACATTTATAGGAACATTTCCAAAATACTTGTAATGATCGGTTTTCAAGTTGATGGCGTAAAGCTTTTACGCCATCACAAAATTAGTACCGAAAATAATTCTGTATTGGCGAATATGTACGAGCATGATATATTACGATAAAACTAAGTACAATGGAATAAACAAAAGTTTTATTTCCAACATTAACTCCGTAAATAATATTAAGACTTCAACTTTTAAACTAATAATAATTATTACGGACGGACAGACAAGTCATTAAATATTTTTAAAAACAAAAATACAAGTGATCATTATTTTCATTATTAGAAGGAACTATTGTTCCCCGTGACCTATATCAATAGAACTTTCCCTTGAGAAAGGCTCCTTAACTGACTCAGATAATGAAGGAATACGATACTCTTTAGTCTTAATTATGGATCTAAAACTTTGCATGATTTTATTAAAGCTCTATGGAGGTAATATACTTGTTTTCTGACAATCGCAGAGCATCAGTTCTGTGATAAGATGATCTAATAATGCACTCGGCATTTCACGAAATGTATGATTATCAGCATCTTTTAGTCCAAACTTTGAGAAGTAATAGTCAACAGAACCATCTTCAATTACGAAGCCAGACACTAATCTGAATTCAGATCTGTTTAAACTAAGAAACCTTTTAAAGGTTTCAGTATCATATTTTCTGTAAAGCTACAAAAATATAGCAACAGAACTCAATCATTTTGTGCTTTAAATGCACTAAAACTGTCCTGCAAATCGGTTGCACACGCACTTTTTGAACTTATCCACCTAAGACAATTATTTTTGGCAGTGTTGGAAAAAATTCTTAGAATGTAGATATAAGTTTTTTCTTGTATTGTAACAGTCTGTGTTATATCAATTTCTTTTACAATTCAGGCGTAGGGAACAGAGGCCCTCTTAGAGACCGTTAAGAGTTTTCCTTGATTTTAGTTTTTCTCCTCTTTAAATTCATATATTTTAAAATTCGAGTTTCAATTTTCATTTCATTGTGAAGTTTGAAAGTGATTTATTATAGCACTTTTATTTTTTATATTATTGTTTATTATATGAGGGCACAGAACTGAAATTATAAGTGATTGATTTTTTATATATATTTTTCGGTTTATCAGAAAATTTATGGGGTTATTTTTAATAAAATTATACATAATTTAAAATATAATTAAAATTGAGAACAAAGACAAAATTTTATAAAAAATAAATTAAAAAAAGTTTTTTGAATTTATCGTACTTAAAGCATAAATTATTCTTATTTCATTCTAAAGATAACGCCAAGTTCCCATTATTCTATTTTGATATTCTATGTCATTCAAGTTGAACATACCCATTAAACATATTCCAAAAATTCTTCTTTTGAAACTGTTTCCATTGCTCCAACCTAACAGATCCATGATATCACATATATACTATACTTATTTTATTCTCAAGATCAATACAGCTTTCATATGAGACTCAATAACCAAAACTATTTGTTGTTTTTTGTCGACAAACTTCTTTGCTGAAATATGTAGTAGTTTTTCTTCATCATACCCAAATAGGCAATTTCATATATACTTATGACGTGATTGTTGCAGTTATTTTAATCAGTACAATTCGCACACATCTTCCACTAACTAATTTTATTTCTAAACGCCTAATAATGTTCCTGGTAAAACTACAAATCAGCGACAATCACAATTGTAAGTTCTGCTTTTGCATAATTACCGAGTAAATATGTAACCGGACTATATTGAAAAGGTAACAAGTTACCCACAAAAAAACTACTCTTAGCTTACAGCTTTTTTTACTCTAATTTTCTTGCATTTACATGCTACTGTTGAGAGTATCGGATTCAACCTTAGCGGCTTTGTGTTATCTATAGTTCTATGGTTACTACAGAGATGTCTGTACAGATCCGGCTGCAAACATGGTTTCCATGCTTATAAGCAAAACAATTATAACTTTCTCCACAGATCATAGCGCTATGGTTACAATGGTTTTAATTTTCTCTTCTGGGTTAGTGCAGTACTATCAAGGGTACTGAAATCCCAGTAACTTTAGTTTAAGCGATTTGTGTTGCACATTTTTCTTGGATTCTTAAAATCCAAAAACTATTTACAAAAATACTATCTAACACCATCGCAGACACTGGCATATCTGCGGAACAACAAGGCTTTAGAAAGAATAAATCTACTACTGATGCTATATTCATACTTCGACAAATAATTGAAAAAGCTATTGAATACATCATGTCAACATTTCTATAGAGTTCTCTTGAAACACGTAGTAACTGTCTTATAAAAGCGGAACGTTGACAATCAATTTATAATCGCTGTTAAAAATCACAACACCGATAATACAACAACCATCAGAACAAATAACGAGATATCTAGCGACAGTTTAAGCCCTGTTTTGTTTAATCTTATCATGAATGAGATTATTGCAGAAGTGAAAGATGTGGCCAGAGAGTACAAGCTAAAAAATGAAATAAAAGTAGACTCTTATGGGCGTTTGAAAAGGCAGCAGACAAACATAATATGAATATATTCATCTCGAAAACGAAGTCCCTAACAATCTCGGGACAGTCAAGATTCTGGCCAAGATTCCAATGGTAGAAAAACCAACAGTTGAGAGACTACCCGGTCAACCACCGAAGAGATGGCGTAAACGTTGAATATCTGGCTCTACAGAAACACAATAGTTTAATATCATAATTTTCTATAAATTGGATATATATATTCAATTGTTATGACAAAACAGGATTTAATTCTATAAGAAAGAAGAAGAAGAAGATTAAAATGTCCTCGACGGTAAATCTCACAATACTGAATCTTTTTGAAAGAATTTTTATAGGTTACTGGCACATAGCCCAAATTAGCTGAGCCATAACTTATTGGATATTCGTTTTCACAAGTTTGACAGTGTAAGGATTTTCCGTATAAGCTCAATTTTTTGTTTAGCCTTACAAAATGATGTTCAATGATGCCAAACTGTTTGATCTTGCTTGTTTATTGAAGCCAGACCCAAAAGAGTTCGTAATCATATAAATATACCCAGGAGAATTGTATCATCATACTTTCGTCATTTTCCAAAAAATTCATCGGTACTAAAGAAAACTGGATGCGAAGAATCGTCACTATTTTTGGAGTAGATTTTGACAATTGAACACGTTAAGCGATTGTTAACGATCCGTACTGTCAAATTGCAAACATATAGTAAGCTGAATATAATGGCATTTTCAATTGTTATATTTGGATTCAATCTAGATTTACTCTACATTTATTTACCATTTTTGCAATTGGTAAGTTGAAAAATGTATCTTCATATACCTTTATACCTTTTTTCAAAAGGACAGTCAAATACATAAACAAACAAATTGAGCACAAACGGAAACAAATCACGTTTTTATTCGTCAAATCATATAGAACAGCTGTTCGTTTCAGGGTAATCTTGTTACTCTGGCAAAATATTTGAAGTGTTATAAATTAATTCCGAGTGTTATACATTAATCTCGAGTGTTATACAGATTCATCAATTGAAAATGAACATCACACTAAAAGTAAATCTAGATTGATAAAGTTACCCTAGGTTTACCAATCGAAAATGCCATAACATACCTTAGATAACAGTGACTGAAATAGTCATTGGCAAATCGGGATAATGAAATAGATAATTCCTCTCTTAAAACTGAAGACATGTTTTAAAAATTATATGAAAATTTGAAATAATCTTTCGTGCAATTTATACTGGGTACTGCATGTTAGTATGCTTTGATCTTTATTATAAAATATTGTGTATAAATATTATATTGTGTATATATTTAAATAGTAAATAATAATTTTTTTAATATATATATTGTATTATGTAATTAATTATTGTTTTAATTAATATCCTTGACTAGCTTAGAGTATGAAATACATTTTTTTGTGTTGATTTTTTAACTGATTTTCATTTATAAAGAAAACTTTATAAAATGTTCGAGCTTTAAAAGTAGCTGTTATATACTACAAAATTATTAATTGAAAATGATAATTAAGTTAATTATTTAAAGGGTAAATAAGTCAACTATATTGTGTTGATATTGTTGCTGTTAGCCATACAATAGATCTCCTATTTGAGTTTCTACATGTGACGAACGACATTTAGTCGTATTTGTTTACGAGTGGCTGAGGGACATAGACCCTACCACTGCTAGAACCTAAATGAAGTGTATCATTTCAGTTAAAAGGTTTTGCAATATTTAGGAAATAATCGCAACTTTATACTGGTTAGTAAGTGTTTCAAATTTGAATATAAATATTAAAAACGATTGTTATTATTTAAATAAATAAAAAATTATTATCTTGTATCAAAATTTAAGAGTCAATAAAGAACGACAATAGTAACGTAAAATATTTTGAGTTTTTTATCTTAACTAAGATCAATATCTTTGTGCCAACATATCTCTAATTAAATAAATGCGTTCTTAACTTAATATCAATTTTGCTCACATTAATTTAATTTAAATGTAATTATTCATAGTATATTATAATAACTTACTCCTTTTTAGGAAATATTGAGTATAATAAATAATCTACAAAGCCACACAAAAAATAATAATGTAAAATTAATAACATTCACATAATATGTATTTGATGCACCTATGTATATGATTTATATCGCCAAAAATATATAAATATAAATATGTATGTCTTGCGTTTTTTCATTCGTCTATAGACAATTATTCAAAGCTAAGCTTAAAACTCAGAATAATTCATCACTGAATTATAGTTAACTAGGCGTTTTTTCTTTGTCTCATCTATAATGATGCAGATGTTGGAAGGCATCTATTTTGCTGAGGGATAATAGTACAAGACAGTATTACCAGCTAATTGCCAATGTGATGCCTGCAATTCTATCAATTGCAACAGTGTACGTCGTATAGATGGAGCCGAATCATTTGAATTCAAGAAGGCATCACGCACCAGTGACAATAAAGTTTCCAATTGCTGGGGTAATTGTACTTCCATGTCCTGTCCGATACAAGTTAACACATAGAAGAGGCATTCAATCTGAAATTAATGAGTTAAACACACGATTTGACGAGTTATGGGATTAAGTAAGTAATAAACCTTACCTCAGATAGTGATCTAACTGGTGGTTTGACGCAACTCTCGCAGCATTTCGAAAGTAGAGTCAATAGCACTAGTGGAGGTGAAGCACCTTCGCATTGAGTCCGCAATTGTAGTTGACGACGCTTTAACTGGCAAAACATTTCAGTTAGAAATGCCATAAAAGCAGTGAAACGTACACGTGATGGTGACTTCATACCTTGGATCGCATAGAGTAACTTTTATAGATAAAAAGAAATGTTCATTAGTATAAGACAAAAATATGAAATTAATATTAAGCAATTATTATACTATGTTATTAAAATGTGCTTGTTCTTTAAAATTAGCTTGCTTCTACAGAAGGTTGTTACTTAAGTCCAAAAGTTCGTAATCAATACATGAATTACGTTTAAACAATGTTTGTAGTCGATATTTTAATACAAACTCAAAACTTTAACTATAATCATCAGCATGTTTATATACTGAATCATGATAACCCACTTAAGTATATTCACAAAAAACCATAAAAGTTTGTTGTGTATCTCGATGTATACCATAATTGAGATAAAATTATTGTGAATATCTCTGTGAATATCGTGGAAAATCACATACAACAACAACGACTACACGGACACACACTAACGTGAGTTCCATCGATTTTTAGACACGCTGCATTAAAGTGAACTTTCTCCGTTTTGACTTTCTCAGATTGACTTCAATTAAGATTCACCTATCCCCAATCTATAATTACTCCTAAACAATTCGCTCGTCTTAGCCCATCCAAATCTTTAAACCTACGTTTAACGCTTTGTAATTCTTTCAATCCACTCCCCTTTCACACTACCATCACCTACTTACATCTTAACTTAACTTCTTTGTAATTTGCTTGATAGATCACTCTCCGTGGGTTACAAAAATAACAACTATCTGATGTAACTAACAAGAATAATATCAACCAAAAGATCAGATGAAGAATTACTATTGCCAATAAGTGTACCTTAGGGCTCAGTAGGCAAATATTATATTAGATTCTTTTTAAACCAATAAAACTTATAATCTATAAATTAATCATCCTACGTCTGCTTCTGTACGGTCATGGGGCACGACCAATATAATGTTTATATATAATATAAACATAATATATAATATATTATACATCATATAATATACAATATGTAATATATAATATATAAAATATAATATATAATATATAGCATATAGTATATAATATATAATTTATATAATATAAAATATATAATATATAATTTATATAAAATATAATATATTATTTATATAATATATAATTTATACAATATAAAATATATAATACATAATATGTTGTGTATGTTAATATTTTTGTAATAATTGTAGGGTTACTGTATATCGTCATATATTTTGTAATTACTTATGCAATATATAAGTACCTTTTCGCGTTCCTGATACCATTGTCGGCACGTATTTAACAATGCCTCTAAAAATGTTTCCTTTTGTTCCTTAGCTATAATATTAAGGCATAATCTTGAAATCGGCAAAGCATACCTCCTTCCCTCAACTGTACGCTTAATAAAATGCGATGTGAGCTCCATTAGACAGCGAGAATTCAATTTATTTGGATCATCTAAAGCTGTGTCAATAAGCGTCTGTATTTCGGGTGAAAATTGTCCAATGTCAGTAATTTCATTTCCCAATGCAAGTCCCAAACCAGCTATTCCTCGCGTGAGTGCATCAGCAGATGAGAGGGACTTAGAGCGTTGCAAAGGATTTATATTAATGGCACCGTATGGATCCAAATTTCCATTAACTACACAATTATTGGGAATCATATGCTGCTGTTGTTGATTCCCTTGGTGATGATAATTGTGATTAATGTTGTTCATATGCTTCAAATGATTTTGTGTTTTGTGTACTTTTTGTGGTTCTACTGCAAATTTTACACGATTTGTATTCGCAGTTTGCTAAATTAAATATAGTTCTAATTAACTAAAGCAATTTAATGTGAGAAATGGAACTTACATTTAAGATGTTACCACTTGATGGAGAATTAATCAATGGCACTTGTGAAACCGCAACACCATGACTAAGCTGCATGGGATGTGAATGTGTTACAAGTATAGGACGATGTCCCAAAGGATGAGCTTTTGCATTTATAGGACCAGTCAAAGTCATACCGCCAAGTGAGAGCGCTTGTCGCCGATTCAGTATTGTTCCAGGTATAAATTGTACTTGCTGATTTAAACTGCCCGATGATTTTGATTGCGGTATTAATCCAGCCGATGAAGATACCGGAAAGACTACTGATGAACTAGAAGAATGTTGAAGATTGTAGTTTAGTTCTGCAAATGAAAATCAAATGATCAAATTAATTAAATTTAAGCAGTTACCGATGATTTATTGGATCTCCCGGCGGCGTTGTCATCATTGTAAATTCCTGAGCATGAACATTCAACTTGTTCGTTGTGCTCAAACCTTCATTGCGTACGTCTTTTTTTGTCATTTATTTTTTATTTGGACGAGACATTGCAACAATTGCGAATAATTTTGGTTTAAATACAAATTTATGAGTACGTGATTGTTGTTGGATTTATTTGGAACAGATGCAGTTTTTAACAAAAGAAAAAAAAAGATAACATATCTTCAATCAGGAAATATTAATTTAGAAGACTTTTTTAAGTGGCATGTTAACAATATTCTCTGCAAAATTACTAATAATTTATAAAAAATTTTACTGAATGCAGTGTCATATTAAGAACACACAAGTCATATATATATATATCGTGCATATATAGTCGATTATCGTAATTCAGTATTGTTATAACTAATAAAATTATATAACATTATACTTTATACAAAATAAAATAAAGCAGATGCAGAAGTGCTTAGATGAGAGAAATTAAGCAGATACTAATATTGTTACAGAATTAAATTAGCATTCGAAACTTGAATCGAATTGTTAGTTAAATATTTACTTAGTAATTATACATTTAATTTTTTTGCCATATCTTCATATAAAAAATACAATGCTTTTAACTTAAGTAGCACTTCAGATTATATTAACCTTTGTTAATCTCATGATAAATTTCATTACAATAATTGCAAAATTCTAAAAGTGAACAATTGTCGAAAATGTCGATAAAATCATGGGAATTGTCGACTCCGACAACCGACCGTCATGTAAGAATGCACAAAAAACAGTTTGGAATCATTTGAATAAGGCTGGATACAATGAAACAACACGATGATTGGATGCCACACGAGTTAATGCAAAAGAACCTTATAAACCGAATTTACATCTACAAGTCTCTGCCGAATCGCAACGAAATCGATTTATTTCTGAAGTAGTTGGCGACTGGTGATGAAAAGCGGATCACTTATGAGAACATCAAGTGAAAACGGCCAAGAAGATTTTGCTGTGTGTTTGATGGTATTGGCAGGGAATAATCTACTATAAGCTGCTCTCCTATGGTGAAACTCTTAACTCAGACCTTAAACTTTGCTGTCAATAATTGGACCGTCTGAAGGAATCAATCACCCTGGCTAGAAACCTGGCTGGGCAGCTTTGGGCAATAGGAGAGAAATTGTGTTCCGTCAGGATAATGTCAAACCACACACATTGACAATGACTCGCCAAAAGCTCCGGGAGCTTGGTTGAGAATATCTTATACATTTATCTTATAGTCCAAAGCTGGCACCAAGTGATTGTCATCTGTTGCTGTCCATGACAAATCATTTTTCTGGTAAAAAATTTGCTTCAAGAGAGGCTTGTAAAAATCAACTATCTCAATTTCTTGCCAACAGGGACGAAAAGTTCTATGAGAAAGGCATAATGAAATTACTTTCAAAATGGCAACAAGTTATGGACAAAACGGCGCATATTTGACCTAAATCGGATCACTCTAAATAAGCCTTTAATTTTATGCAAAAATAATAGATTTCTTTGTACTACACCTATTTTTATTGAGAAAGTTAACAATAGCAATTATGAATTGTGAATCTATTTATACTTTAAAAATATATTTAAAGTAAATATGTATAATTAATTAAAAAATGCAAAGTAAAATCAAAAATATGAATAAAAATTAATTTAATTTATAAAAATATATTTCCATTCTTTTGCAATGTGTTTATAGATATATATCAAATTAATAATAAAATCATCAATGTACGACAGTTATAAAAATTAAATTAATAGAAATTAATTTAAAAAAAAAAAACTTTCTATATATGGTATTTACATTATTATAACAAAAAATGTTAAATTATCGATATATTATAATGAATGCATTTAAAAACATATTGTTGTACCTTCTGGTAACTCAAAAGCAATAACATACATATATCGGATAGGATATCTTGCCCAACTTGCTATCTCGCCAAACTGAGGTGAATATAAAAAGTTAGGAACCAAGCACATATTCGTTAGTAGAGAAATTGTTGTAGAAAACGAAACATTATACTTGTTGCAGAGAAGTTTTCTAATAAATCATAAAAACGAACCACTGATATATATCAAGAAAAATAAATTAGACACAATAAAACTGGTATGTCCTTTTTAAGGTGCAGGCATATAGTGATGGCTCATCTAGACAGTCTATGTTAGCACCGATAAGAATTGTTAACTCACCGCATTCTATGAACGAATGATGGTATGTAAATGAGAGATATTCGCAAATATATCATTCTTTATTTAAGAACTTCATCAGAACTTCATCTTATATAAAGAACGAAATATTTGTCATGTCACTTTATGTAACATACGTCAATTGCAAAGAACAACATAGAATAAAGAGCGAACATTAAAATGTGATTGGAACATTTAGGTTAAGCAAATGTGACATAGAAACGTACAATGTGCTAAAAAAGTTATAGATGTCCCAATCAATCGATCAAAAAGACTAGAGAGATCATCATTGCAAAGACATGTTAAAAATGTTAACAATTAAAAAAAATGATGCTTTCGAATCAGGTAAATAGTTATCGTTGCAGGAATATACACCACCACATTAATTATTGGGGTGCTAATAATGAGTTCGACTCTGATAATGAGTTCGACCCAAAAATAAACTCATATTTAACTAATTATTAATTATTTAAATAACGCTAATATTCTGCAAATTAAGTACTTAAATCCAATTCGCAAAGATTTGAATTTTATTTCGATTACTGCTTTTAAATGAAGAAAGTGAGTTCTTCTTCCATAGAAGATGTCTTACTATGCGTATAATATTATGTGTTATATCAAAACAACGTTTATTTGAATTAAAAAAAGCTATTATCAACGAATTTTAGACTGTGATCAATAAATGAGGTGCAATTGCTTATAATTGTTCGAAATACTATTCCCTACTACTCTTTATCGCATCCTGATGTTCAAAAAGCATTGTTTAATAGACACAATGCGATGCCCCTTTTCCAAAAAAAAAAGCTAGTTTATATTGGCACCAAACGAAATTTTACTCTTTACTCTTTATAAACCGGTGATTTTTTGATTCTAATTTCCTTGATTTTTCTGCCATATACGAACTATTTATACCACTTATTAACATTTTTTATGACATAGCCTGGTCCTCGGACATATTTATCAACATTGCTAGTATTTCTCTAACAGATATTTCATTAAACAAATCAAATTGAATGGAACTTCTCTATTTAACAAAATAAGTTACAATGTCTACATCGTTTTGTGTAATTCCATAATGAATAACCACAGTTCTTTTTTATTGACAGCCAGGCAGCAATTAAAGCTCTTGAATCCTTTATAACAAAATCAAAAATAGTAAAAGAATGTAGAGAAGCAATCGACGAGCTAAACCGGTTGGCCGATATCACACTCATCTGGGTTCCTGGGCATAGGAACATCGTAGGGAATGAGAAAGCTGATAGTTTAGCCCGCTCTGGTGCCTCCCTAGATGCGTCACTGGCGGTATCAGTCTATATTACCCTGGAGACCATCAAAAGAAGTACCTTTCTTTACTTTCTGCAACTCGCCAATAACAGATGGAAAGCACTAAGGTCATGTGCAACTTCCAGGTTAACGTGGCCCACTTATAATAAAAATAAATCTCTGGAACTCATCAAAAAAGATCGCGTAAACACTGCAAGGCTTATTGCGGTTCTTACCGGTCATTGGTGGTTAGGAACTCACGCAGAGAAACTGCGTATTCCCCATAACTCTCACTGCAGAAGTTGTGGAAACCCGCGGGAGAAAGAAACAATAATACATTTTCTCTGTGAATGCCCAGCTCTAGCATCCAGAAGATATAGGTTTTTAGGAAAATACTTTTGTGATAGTTTATCAGACTGCTCAATGGTAAGGATGAAAGACCTGTTAAATTACCTAAATTCGGTGGGATGGATTTAGTCTCTACTCTTCTATACTAGGGTTCTTGCGAGGAATGTGGTAACAAAACGGCGAAAAATCGCTAATTGAGGTACATTTGAAGTTATCTTATGACCTGCCACTGCAACCAACCAACCAACCAACCACAGTTCTGGTGGATTACAGATGTAAGATTTAAACATTCAATTCACATTCAACACAATTGCGTCAAAGAGTGACCGCCCTGTAGACAAACCCGTTCTTCACAGTATGTAATTTTTAAATATTTTTTTTAGACTTGAAATATTTCTTTAGACTTCGGCGCGCATATCCAGAACTATCAAGTCGTGATAGCCGTTTGTCTAGCTTAAATTTAATTGTAAAATGAGGCCTACTAATCCAACGAACCTTATCGAAGCCAAAAAATATTTATTATTAAGTTATAATAAATAAATTTATTAACTTATTATTACGAAAAAATTATACTGATATATTTCACCGATCTTTAGAGCAATTCAGAATATTTTCTCTTATATCATTTTAAGTTTGTTACTCTACTTTTATTTCTTATGGATTTTATTTTTTGAAAGCTTCATAAACTTCATTCTATCTATTATTATTGAACTGAACATTAGTATTTAGAATTTATAAAAAACCATTCATAAGGCTTTTAAGACTGATATTAATTATTATTTTAAAAGTGTAATTAGTTAGTAGAAAACAAAAATGCATTTGAAAGAATACATGTCATATATATATATGGATGTAACTTACTCGGAGGTCGATATATATCCATTGCTGGTTTTCCTCTCATCTGGCCTTGTTGATTGCCACTTGGTTGAATATTAAGAGCTAAGCTACGTCGCTTATTGATATTCTAAAATTGTTAAAAATTGTAAATGTTTATAAATAAATAAAATAAAAATAATTAATTTTAATTAATATCAAAAATTTCCGAAAATATTCACTTAAATATCGACAGTAAGGAAACAACTGACATGTTTGCAAAGGTATGTGCTTTAAATCTCTTCAGAGAACTCTAAGAACCTTTTTGGGAAATATTCTATTGTCGAACTGTATCAGTACTTAGAAACATAAATTACAAGCTGTGTGAGAAGGCCTGAACCCACTGTAAAGATCTAAGACACTCTAAACAGCTTTGTTGAGTCAATACCAAATGTCTCTCTAATTTTCTTACTTGATATACCCGTGTTAACTACGACCTTTCAAATATGGGACCAAACCATATTAACACCTACAGATTCTGTGAAATGCAAAGTAAGATCTCCGCTCATCTTTATACAACGTCCATTGAACGAGCGATGCCTGGGGACATTATGAGGTTTGTCTGAAGACGAATTTTATCCAGGGTAATTTCGGAGATTATCTCCAGTGCTAGCACAATAGATTTTATAAATCACAATGTGTAATAACAGTAGGCGCAAAGTGACAGTTAAACGTACAAGAAAAATAATTATAATAAAATTAAGTAAAAAAAATGTTCAATGTTAATCAAAACTTTAAAGAAGTTTGAAATAAGGACTTCAGTTATTAATCAGTTATTAATTAATTAATTATATGTTAGGTGAAGTAAATTAAAGTCATATACAAACCTGCTGATTTGAGGTTCGGACAAAGCTTCGTTCGCGTGTTATGGCTGCAGGAATTGTATTATTTTGGGGCTGGAAATCAGGAGATTTTCGAAATTTGCGGCCATCGTTCAAATTACTACCATGTGTGCTGGTGTTCTTATTTCCATTGGCATGCGGTGTACTATTATTATTTGTATTTACTTGTTGTTGTGGTTGCTCCATGTTCTTTGTCATATGAAGTTTTGCTTATTACTTTTTTTTTTATATATGAAACTTATTTATTTTTATTTACTTGTAAGTTCGAGTTTAAAATTCTTTTCTTAAAGTTACTGTTTATTTCAATTGAAATTCTTTGGTTTCACTAAGAGATTGTTTTAAAACATTTTTTTATTTTTTACTTCAAATTTTATATTTGAATTAGTTCTTCACTGATATGAGAAGTTTTAAAATACTTTAATTTTGCTTAGTTAGATCGACGTTTATCAAAATATACTAATTGGGATTATATTAATATATATCACAAATTTTTTTGCATTAAAAATCTAATTAGTTTTTTTTTATTTTTTATATGCAATAACAATTGCTAATATTGTAATAAAATTTTTATAAGTTCGTCTGCAAAAAAAAAAAGAAAGATTATATATATTAGTGTCAAAAATGTTACATATTATGAATTATAAAAATCATATATATTATATATAATTACATATATTAGTATCAGAAATATTATATATTTTGAATTATAAAAGTCATGTTAATATAAACACAATGTATAAGTTTAAGTTGGAACAATCTCCAACTTTTCCTAATTCTACGATTATCAGCTGCATAATATAGTTGTAGGACTTCACACACAATACAGCCACTATACGATAACGAAACTCTCATATAATTGAATACAGCTATAGTAAAAATCTATAGCAAAGCACAAACTGAGAGAATTTGACATTTGTTTTCAAAGGATAAAATTCGTTCTTAATATTGAACATCATTTTGACACAACCAATGAAATGTATAGCATTATTATTGTGACAGAAGTCTCAAATTATTTTACGTGATTCCCTGCCTTGATGGCTCAACATCACGGTGCTCTTAACACACGTATGAATATAAGCGTCAATCAACGCCCCATTGGAATAGCCTTCCTTATTCCGCCGGTACAAATGAAAAAATTCATGTAAGTCATAACTTCCACCTTGGTGAGATGCGAGACCTACCTAAAACCTCTGCTGTAGCACCCAGTATTAAACGCTCTCACGGCAAATGAATGATAACCCAACACGAAATCATTCTTCCCGCGTACATTTTATTTTTTAAACAACCACTACGAGGCTAACACCAATGGTCAGTATAGCCGAAGCTGCAGGCCACTGACCCCCGTATTACCAGATCGGATCATCTCTGGTCAGATGTCGCAAGTTGCCGACTCAACCATTTCACTACCATTTACACTTCCTGCATAAGTGTCAGACTGACACTGGGGGACTTTAGTCGCCTCTTACGACAGGCAATCCTAACCGCGGGAGTATTCTTTTCGCCTCTCCGCAGGGAAATTATTATTGTGACAGATCACGCAGCGAATAATCGCAAAATTGGGCACTTTATATGAGTTACGAATATAGAGAAATAAATTGAAAAATTAATAATAATTCGCCACATGGACATAAAGCATAAAACTATTATAACGAAGTGGGAAGAGATGAAACAGATTAGCTTAATACTGAATTCACACTACAGTTTTGTTTGTAATTTCAGCTGTCATGTTTGTAATTTTAACTGTCAATTGTTGTTGGAAATTTTTGACAGCTAAAATAACAAACAAAACTCTCATGTGAATACAGTATAAGGTAAAAAGGAACAACAACACGAACAACAACACTTTCACTTGACGACATTTTACTGCCCATTGTGTTACTGTTAAATTTGCCAGTCGAAGACGAGCTACACTAACCATTGTTCCGAAATATGTCGTTGTTATGAAAATCTAATGTCTATTTTTCTATAAATATTGGAACCGCTTTCTCTGCAATCCCGGACATAGATGTTAGATACGAACGCTAAGTTTCACTTCCTTTTTAACATAACAACTTCTTCGCTGCGCCCGATAAACAAACGAACTGCAGGTTTCGCTGACCTATGTAGGATCAGATGACTATGTAGGATCAGATAACTATGTAATATTACCTACATAGTCTGTAGCTGATCCTAAATTGACCAGATCACTACCTTTTTCTTAATATTAATGATTTTCTAATGTTGCTGTTGTCGCAGCAGTTCCAAGTTTTAAAGACATAAAATGAAAAAGATAAACATCTAAAACATTCTGTTTATGGTCTTTTGACATATTTACAAGTTTCGCAACTCAGACAGACACTTTATCATCTTATTTGTTTGGATCAACAAATGCCCAAGAAAGGACATTAAACAACAGTAGGTATACCAATTGCAAACAGTTTGTAAAAAAAGTTAGATTTAAATTTTTCTGGCAAATGTATGGATTGTTGGAAACAACGGTCTGTATTGCGATCTTCGAGCAATTCTCGACTCCAGTATTCTAGTCAACTTATAAACACAAGGATTGATAAACAAATTGTTATTGACAATAATAAAATTACATATATCGGTTAAAGTAGTTAACAAAATGCTTTTTGGTGTAACCACATCAATTGGAATTATTAGTATCCCATTATTCCAAAATTCCATTTTAGATTAACACTATATTGAATGCACTGACATGTGCAGTTGCCATAGAAAATGACGAAAGTATGTCACAGATTAGAAAGGGACTCTGAAAACTAAACGATTAGAATAACGCATAAGAGGTTCTAAAATCATCTGAAAAATGCATGACAATTTTTTTTGTAGATCATGTAAATAATGATCAAAATATTTTTTGTGTTGAGCAAAGACTCTAAAGATATTGAAGCCTATGCAGCAATTTTAAATAAATATGATATATTTATATATCATATTTTTAGGAACATGAGGGTACACCCCTTTCTGATAGATGTTAGAAGTATACATTACATAATTCTCTATCATTGTGTTTTGAAGTCTGAAAAAATACCATAATATTAACAGGCCTGTTTAATGCATCAGCCAAAACTACCAGTAGGATAGCAATTTCTTCCACTTACAGTCCAAAGACAGTTCATCTAATATGAATTTGCAAAAACTGCAGATGATAAGTATTTGGCGATATTTGAAACACCACAAAAATTTATTCAAATAAATATTTTCAATTAAAAATTTCTTCACTATGACTCACTTCCCTATTCGAAAATAGATAACTAGTCATTTAGATATTAAATAAATTTTATTTGATAAAATTTTTGTATCTGATTAATATAATTATATAAAAAATAATAAAAATTCAAAGCACAAATTGTCTGAAATTGGTCTTCTCGTATTCACTTTTGAGAATCAACTATTGAAGACATTTCATTAAAAAATATTTATTAAAAAAATAAACAATAACAATAAAATTATCTTTTAAATAAATATAAATTCATAAATATATCGAAATTATTAAAGGTTTTGTTGAATCTTAAGTTGGCGAATTTCGTAAAACTTGTTTATCATTTTGCTTATGCCAGAGCTACAAATATCTTACAAAAGAGTTTTATATCTATCAAATTCAGTTGTCGGTAACTGATTTAATACCAATATGGAGATCACAACTGCGTACGAAACCAAAATAGATTCGTTTACGGTTCATCCCAGAACTTTGTTTTAAATTGCTTGGATCTTGAATATTACTGGAACTTGAACAGCCATAAAGTAGGACTTCTTAAGTATAGGTATATATTAGTTAAAGCATTTATATGTAAAATAGAATTTTATTATATTGTATATGGCTAGAGCAGATTACTTATCCATAAACCAAGCTTAGCTTAGTATCCATAGTCCTATGTAAGTGCTTAGTTGAGCTGTGATATCGGCTTTGTACTCCGTTTATGTAAAATGAAAAATATCAGATACTACGAGTATTGTATAGGAAGTTCATATAAATCAATTTAGTTTTGGAATGCTCCATTTCGTTATAAATTTTAAGATTTTATGTTGATTATATCATATTATAATATTGTTTTGGTAACAGCGAATTTATTCTGCTTTGGAGAATATTCAGGGAACTTTTAAGGTTGATAAATCGTAAAACCGATTATTTTCTGTTTGGCAGACATGGTTTTAGGTTAAAGGTTTTAGGTTTCTTCTTATAGGTATTGTAAATGAGAAAATAAGAAATAGGAATAACTCTACCACAGCTGCAGCAAAGCGAACTTTCTTAGTAATTATGTCTTTAGCTCTTTCGCATATATATCGATCCTAAAGATTAATACAACTTGCGCCACATAATTCGTAAAACCGGTTATTGTTTGATTGGCAGATATGGTTTTCGTTTGAAGGTATCTTCTTATAGATATTGTGGATGAGAAGATAAGAAATAGGAGTAACTCTACCACTGCTGCTTAGCTCTAACCAGCAGCAAAGCGAACTTTCTTTGCACATATGTCTTTAGCTCTCTCTCACATTAGAGTATCAAAATAATTAAATAATTAACAAACAGTAAAAGTCCCTTGTTTAATAGTGATACTACTACGGACCCGTAAGATTTAAGTGAGTAGGGCTATTTGAGAAGCTGCCACAGGAACTAACGTAATCTACACTATATGGTGGCGTCCCTAAACTTGATTACTGTGGAAATGTATATTTATATTAGTGTTGTTCACGAGTTCGAGTAACGCGCTCGGTATATTTAACCTAGTAACGTATTAAAAGTGCAACGCAGTAACAACAAAATACATGTCGAGTAATCCGTTGCAATGTTACTACATTAGTCAAGCATTTGGTTATTATAAAAATAGCATTAATTTTTTTGTTCATTTATTTTATCTTAACAAATATTCATTATTGCGAGTACAAGTTAAGTCACTAATAAAAGTGCAACGCAGATGTTGGTCAAAGAAAATGCTTGAGTAATGAACTAGCATTACAGTGTGTTGGTTGCACTATCACTGTATTACTCGATTACCGAGTTCGGTACTCGCGAGAAAGTGAATACCCTTTTAGTTATTTAAATTTATTTTGTTTTTCTGTGGAACAAAATGTTTGAGTTTAGAAAAAATAGAATTATTAATTATTCAAATAAAGTAATAGTTTAAGGCACATAATTCAGATTGTGCTAAATTTTATAAGATATCTTATATTTATTTATTTAAAATTTGAACTTTACCTTGAATACAATATGTGCGCTTTATCCTCTTATCCAATTCTTCCGCTTTCAATATAGAATTCGTCGTATATTGCTAAATTTAGCTCGTTTTATATTAACAAAATAAAAAATTGCTCGTTTTATATGCTTTCGATTTTATATTCTATAGAGACAAAAACAATTAAAAAAACATGCGTAATTATGTATCTTATTTAAAAAAAAAACCATTATACTTTGAAAGTAATACAGCTGTTTATGGATGTATGTCTAGATATTATTTATAAAGGTGTTGTGCCATTACGACCGTATAAAAATCATGTTCAGAGCACATTTTTCACGTGTATATATTTATTTATTATCAATTGTTTGCTTTCCTTAACAGATAATTATATTTGAATTTATAAAATATTTTAATTATTATTATGATATATTTACAAACAAGCAACTGTTCCCAGAATATAACTTTTAATAAAAAATCAAACAGCTTGATTATTTAATGTCTGAAAATAGAAATCTGGAAATAAAATATCTTTTATTATTTTTTCGCAATCTCTGACTGTTATTCATTTTATTTCTATTAACATAAAACCACTTCACAAAGCGTAAAATAAAGTACGAAGTTTATAAAGGAACTAGTTGAACTAGTTTGTTCATTCAATAGAGGTTATGAACTAGATTATAACCTTTGTTGATTGGTTTGTTGACTGTGGTTCAGAGATCAGAATATAAGTAAGACAATAGTTAGCGATTCTTTCATTTTTTTAAGATAACATAAGAAACCATATTATAGTTATATATTATATATAAGGAAAATATTATATAAGGACAATCAAAAAGTCAAACGCATGGAAAGGTTTAAAGGTCAAGAGATTAGTCCCCGCTTCTAATTTGACAGGCACGAGTTCTAAGTCTGACACTTGCAGTCCCAACAAATCATATAAGAACTATAAACTAATTAAGAAATTTGAATATTTCCTAAGAATACTGATGATGAGTACTTGGCAATACTCGAAACAGCGTTGTATGGTCAATCAAAATTCAATAAATTAAATAAATTTTTGTTCTTGTCTTTTCTTTGCTACTCAAACCCGTCTAACTTTTAAATAGTTTCTTTTCGTCATAAAGACGCGTCACTCTCAGCAAGAAAAAATTAACGGTAAAGATATTTTGTTTCAAATATATATCTTTTTTCCACTTACCACTTTCATTAGCAATAAATCATTGATCTAAAACACTAAATGACTATATCTGAACTGATAATTGAACAAGTTTATATTCATGAACTAGACTGCACAAATTACTGTTTTTCATTGTTAAACACATAATATAAATAGTCACCCCCGTAAAAGGCGAGATAAACAGACCGTACATAAGTGCTAAAACCTAATCTAAAACAAAATTGACAAAACACGACACATATTGTATAAGCGAGGCTTTAAAGTCAAACCAACATGGCAAACAACGCAAGTACTAATAATACAATGTGAACAAGAACTATGGAAGCTCATGAGTAAAACAAGCGCATCAAAGTCATCCAAGTGGCAACATAAGAAAGTCAAAAGTAACAGTCATATCAACCAATAACAATTATATATTAGAATATTAACGAAAAATTAGAACGTTAACAAATAACTATACTATATAAGTAAATATGTAATATATATAGTTATAAAGCATCTTATAGCGAATGTCTTTAGATGTTGTATACTGCATTCACACCAGAGTTTTGTTTGTGATTTTAGCTGTCAAAAATTTTCATTTTGCATTGTAACCCACAAGAATTGACAGCTAAAATTAAAAACAACATCTAAAACTACAAACAAAACTTTCGAGTGAACTTATGTTTAAAAGACTATATTAGCTCTAAAATAAGGTTGACAGATATTAAATGCGAAAGTGACTCAAAAAGATTTTTCATAGAAACTAATTCAAGTTACAGCAATATTTTTGCAATAAATTAAGAATATATTGAATGACATGATACACACACACAGATAATGAATGTAAAAGAAAACAAACAAGGACTAATTTACATTGCGTAGATAATTTATGTGTATTTAATCTTAAATATTTTTGAAGTAGTCTTAATTGAAATGTATATATATATACCTGAGATTCTGCTGTTAATGGATTGATATTGCTTGATAGAAAAGAACAACAGAGAACACATATTGTTGCTCTTTTGCTTTTTATTTACATTTACGGCTGATTGGAAGTTGGCCCATCAAAAGAGAGGGAGCAAATTTTTATGGATATAGTCCAGTTCAGTTAAGAAAAGCATTCAGCCATTTTTTAGTACGTAATTTGTTGTTGGTCAAGATATATAGCAATCGCATCAATGCGTCTTCTGCATTATTCTTAAATTATAATTATAATTAATTATAAAGCATAGATAATTATAAGATTTTCTTCCAACCTGCTTACATAAACTGTAATAAGTTGATAAGTTATACTTTTTAGAAACAATTAAAAATACTCCTATACATATTAGTAAATATGTTCTTAAACTGAGTCAAATAAATGCTTAGTAAGATAATATTAAAGAATAAGAATATTTTCGTAAAAAATATTGATAAAATAAACTTAGTTTATAGCTTAATTTTTAGACCATATTTTTCGTGCTTACTTAAAAAGAAGGTGAGAAAACCGTGTCTTAAATGTCATCCCAAGGATATCTTGAGATTTGTATCTCTGATAAAAAGCAAGATATAATTATTAAGTTCTTAAATGATAAGAGATATTTTTTAAGTTCTACTGGTTAGTTTGAAATGGTGTATTGCAAAAAGAATATATATAATATAATAATGACTCATTTTATTTTAATGGGTAAAGAATAGTGTATTATATTATCACACTATGACGATGAAAACGCGATTTAAAAAATTTAACTTATTAATAATTTTAATGTCATTAATTTCCCCAAAAGGTTTCAAGTTATTGTATATATATATATCAATTTTTTAAACTATTTTGAAAAATTGAATTTACAGTGTTATATACTATTAAATCTTTTCAGATAATATCCACAATTCCTAAATTTTATGGTTTTCTTAAGGAAATCATAAAAGAAATGTGGTAATCTTAGTATGTACTATTTTTATTATTTTATAACTGTTTTTAATGAATCTCACACTACTGTATACGCTTCTGCAACAAGAAAAATCGAACCTCACTCAATCTGACACGATGTTCCACTGCTTACAATTAATAATTATAATGTTTTGAAAAATAAGAAATTCATAATTTTAATTTGTTTCTATTATGCACTTTAATACATAAATATATTCAATTTAGGTTTTTTCGAACAGTAGTAAAATACAACAACAAAAATTTTATTTTTTATATTATTTTAATTAATTGAATTTTTGGTTGACCATACAGCTGTTTCGAGTATTGCCAAATACCCATCATCAGTGGTCTTGGAAATAATTCTTGTATTTCATTATTCGTAAATAATTATTTTTGAAACTGCAAGTACCAGGAATCGAACTCGGGTCCTGCCAAATGTGAAGCTCAGAATCAGCGCACCTTACCCAACTGATCTAAAGCCGTACTTGACTTTTTTGTTCGCATATTTTTCTGGAGTTTTGTTATTATTACTATGAAAGTTTTATCAACAATTTTTTTATTAACAAATATTCAATTTATATATTTGTTTTTGCGATATTACTTTTAAGAAAAATATAGGTAAGGATCTTTGCAAAATACATTGAATATTTTTCCGTTATGCAGCACATTTTGTGTTAAGAAACATTGATCTAGGGTTAACCCCGTACCCTAGATCAGTGGAGAAAAATACTAATACAACAACAAGAAACAGTACAAAACCGGCTATAGCAAATTTTTTTGCGGGTAATTTATTGCTGGTCAATAAACTTTCGTAATGATATAGACTAGTAATATAATTATATATCTGTGAAGTGTATAGTTTAATATTGTGTAATGGGAATAAACAATAAGAATTAAATAATAGCATTATAATATATAGCATGACATCGTTTAGATATTATGTGTTATAGAAATAGATAACTGACAGCCAATGTAGAGAAACCACGCGTTAGCAGAAGTAGTTAAAAAAGTATATATTTCTTAACTACACTAAGCTATAATGTATACAGCTTTATACAGCTTTCGCACGAAAGTTTTTTTTGTAATTTTAACTGTCATGTGGGTAATTTTAGCTGTCATGTTTGTAATTTTAGCTGTAAATTGTTGTTGCTTTCAATGCAAAAGGAAAATTTTAAATATCGTATTTGTAGTTTTAGCTGTCAATTGTTGTTGTTTTTAACACAAAATGAACATTTTTTACAGCTAAAATTACAAACAAAGCACTCGTGTAAGTCCAGTTTAAGAGCATTTCTATGGGTTGTGCAAAGGATAGAAAACAAAATAGAAACTCCATTGTTGTAATTTGCACAAATATACTTTATCCCAACCTTTAACTATTTGTGTGAAGTGAACTTATACAGTCTATTTGAACAGCACTTGTTGCACAATGTTAACACACCCACATTGCAATGACAATGACAGCATTAACAGATTTTTCAGCTGTTTTTAAATTTGCAATCAGAAACAAATAAAAATATAATAATATTTTAAAACAGTTTCTGCATATATATATTAATTTAAAATTTTATTTTTATTATTTAATGAACTGTTATGATTACAAACACTAATGTAAAAAATTTTCAGTCTAGTTTTTTAATATTACCAACATTATTTATAGATCAAACAACTGTTTTGTCGATTTTAATTAAAAACTAGCACTGAAACAAACGATAAAAATTACTTTTACTTGTATTGTGTGAATAGATTTTAAATAATCGTTATCTTCATTTTTTAGGCAGTAATATAATTGACCTTATATTTTGTATTTTAAGAGAATTTTATTAAGAATATAACCAATAATAAACTACGATGTTAAAAAATTTTAACTTGATTTATCTTTCATTTTCATACTTAAATCGTTAAAGCTCTAGTTACGCCAACGCAAATAATTTGTTAAATAGAAAATAGTAAGCTAATTGGCATCTGACCGGTTATTTCCATATAAGAAATCTGTGCAAATCTTCGTTTGCATTAAAACTAATAAATAATATATTAAAATTATCGAACAATGTTGCATTTGTTATTCAAGGAAATTATTTAAAATATTTTCTTGCCGGCAGTCACTGAACGCACTTTTGTGTAGATTTCAACAATAAAACATATGTATGTTGTCTTGATGGAAGCACTTCTTATAATGTAATAAGAAAAATTTCAAATATTATTAGAATAGCGAAAATCAATTGGAAACAGCTTAAATTTATTAAAATTTATATATAAAATATATATTAGTATAATTCATGTAATTAATTTAATATATTTTTGTTGTCTTTGCATGAAATAACAAAGTAAACAAAAATCATATGACCGAATGGTAATTTATTTCAGTGTGATAACCTCAAAACAAATAGCAAGTTAATTGCAATATAATCAATTCGATTTTTTCGTGTAACCGAGGCTTTTTTTTATTTAAATGTGGATTTTATTTATATTTTAGATTTCTCATTTAATATCATTTCCAAAATCAGCTGATTTTTGTTTTGATTATTAATTTTGTTTACACATAACAATTTAGTTATGTTCACGCAAAAATTGTGCAGTTTTTATACTCTACACATCTTTATTACTATTTTATAATTAATTGCGATTTTCTGTTTCTATTAAACCAGAACCCTGTTAATATCTTGTTAATAATATTGTTTATTTATAGTATTTATAAATAAAGTAAAACTTGTGTAAATCTTAAAGAAAAACGATTAGTAAGAAACATTTGTGTTTGCTTTAGAGCAAAAGCTGTCACATGTGTCACCAACTACAATCGCTATTTTTTTGCACTTTTTGTGTCTCCACATTAGTAATACCTACATATGTCATAACTTATTATTGACATATATGATCCATTTCATTTTAGTTAAGTTCGGTTTGCTTGCTAAAGTAAGCAAACTCTTTAATTACTGCATAAGTAAAAAATTTTCAATGTCAAAATTATGTATGGGAACCAAGGGAAGTGAAGCAAAAAAAAAACAAAAAACAAAAGCTGTTGCATCAATTCTATTAGAAATGTTTAGACAATTATTTGTAATAACACGGAGGAAATAACACATGAATCACCTATTACTACTAGTAATCATAACCAACCGAGGCAAATAGGCAAATAGAAACAAAACGAATGCAGAGAGCAATTTGAATATCTCACATTTAATACTTTTCTTTTACGCTCTGCTCTGTCTTTTGCTTTTAATTATTTTTATTAATCATACGTCATCGTATGCCAAACTCATTACACACTTTCATACTCCGTACGTTTCATTCATATGCCCACCCGTTAATCCTACATCAAAATAATTTTAAGTTATTTTATGTCTATTCCATTTGTCTTTGTGCTTTTCGTAAGCTAGTGGATTTAGTTATGGATTTTAATATTATTTATGCATATACATACATAGAGCAGATAGCTTCTGAGTTACGTACATACATATTATGACAGTGCCGCTATGTAGTGTTTTAACATTAATACATAATAGCGGATCTAAATTTTTTTAAAATAGCTTAGCAATTTATTTTGAGAGTACTAAGTAAAAACCGCTTCTGTAACTGGTAGAGGGGAATATTATTAAAATTCATTTTTATAAATTCGTTTCCGATGTGCGCTGAACACATAAATATCCGCAGTATTTCAAATTCACTTTTCTAAAATTTATTTATAAAAATAGAACAAAAAACAAAAAAAACTGTTGATTTGCTTTGCTGACTAATAATGGTTAAATTTGTTGAACATTTGGGTCTGCTGGTTTATAATTAATAATTGTTTATTTATTTATATTTTGCACTTTTTTTATGTATGTCTTTTGATTTTTTTTTTATTTTAATAATATTTATATATCTATGACTATGTAATGTAATTATTCAAATTCCGTTTAATTTCATTTTGAATCATTCCTTTGCCTGTTCATCGCTGCGATCGTAATTGCTAAGTTGTTTTTATAAACATTTGTATACTCTTAAAAAAAAAACAAAAAAAAACACAATGATCATTCAAAAACAACAAAACTTAATTTTTTATGTTTATTCACAGTATCGTTCTTATTTTAATTTAACAACATTTTCCGTTGTTTTTCACTAATTTTACAAACAAAATTTTTAAAAATAAAAGTAAATAACTTTATTGCAATTTTTTGCACACACATATGTATATACATATTCATATGTATATGTGTATACTAAATAATTTTCAAACGGCTTGACAGTTTCGGTTCAATTTTTTTATAAATATATTTCGGTTAATTATATATATTATTTTATTATATAAACACAATTTACTAAATTCTCTGTAATGTATTTTTATGCGTACTTTTATGTATATATATAATAACTGTTTCGTTTTCGTTAAAAATTCTACTTTTCTTCTTAAATTAAATCATCGGGCGTTCAGAGATAGACTAAAATACTCTTCCGTTCGCTACCTAATTTTGCATTTTAAAAATATTTTTCTTTCTTTTGCTCGGATACCGACCACACAGCAGAACATATGTACGTTATTTTTGGTTGATCAACGCATTTAATGGATATTATACTCTCTTAAGTGATTGGGAGAATTGTCATTTTTCTCTTTCATACGTATCGAGTGTTTGAATTGTTGGTAAAAGCAATGCACAGTGGCTTTTAAAAGCATATCTGCATACAAATTTTCTTATAGTTTATTACTTATATACATATGTACATACAATAGTACAAATATGACAGTTAATCATGCAAGTTAAATATATTATATTCCTTATATTAATTATTGAGAAATATTTATGTATGTAAAAATGAATATATTTTTTTAGTACAATATACATAAATTAACATTTAGACCGTGTGCGAGTTCGAGTAAATTAAGGTAAAGTAAATTCAAATTTCCTAGAGATTTTTTGTACTGCACTTATGTAAATATTCATTTATTTATTTATTGCACTAATTTATTATTTTTGGTTAAAAGTTTTCAAATTTATTAATTTATTTATTACATATCTTATAAAATTTTCACAATGGTAACACCTTATTTAACTGATTTTTATCTAATTTACACAACTCGAAATTCTGGTAAATACCAACATTCGCTGCCATACCGACATAATTTATTATTTCCCTCAATTTACCATATGCCCTCAATTTAACATATGCACTCGACCGGCCTTAAAGTCGGTCGAGTGCTTATGTTTGGTACATATGCACATATGTTTGGTACCGAACGAAAGATCTTTTGATTCAGATTCGGATTGTAAAGGAGTTGTCATGATAAAGAGATTGTGGAGTCTATCAGTCACTTTCTGCATCTAAGATCCATCGATTCTTGACCACATCAATAATCAAAAATTAAAATTTTAAACATATATACTATCATCACATTAGTAGCTACCATAAAACAATGAAAACTGTAAAATGAGAAGACAGTTGTAGTCAACTGTAAAAATAATTGTACAATATCATATCGTCAAAACCAAAGTGATACAGGTGGCACGATTACAGCTATGGAGAGCCATAATAAAAATAAATAGATCTGTTCACCACCCACCAATACGTAAGATCAACAACATATAGAGTTGCAGCTACTATACGATGTACTCTGTACGGCAGTTAATCGGTTTGATGAATATATTACACTCGATATATATATAAATAGAAAGATAAAACACAGTTTTTATTTTTATTTTTAAACTTAACGTTTCACAATACTTTGCAATAACAAAAAAGGCATTATTTTTAATTACTAGTAGTAATAGTAATGTAAAAAAAAACATATGTGAAGACGTTAAAAAAAAAGAAAATATAAAACGAAAATAAAATGAAGAAGTTTAAAACCATATTGGTTTTTTTTTTAAATTAATAAATATGTATTTAGGAATGATGTGGTATTATAGATAATAAATCAGAAAAATAAAGAGTTAAGATATTATGATAGTATATATGAAATATTTAAGTATGATTTTGCTTTAATGCTAATCAGTAAATGTTACTTATGGGCCAGTGTCATATTTTATATAATGTGTTATTTATATATTTTTTTAATGTACACTAATACCACGATTTCCGTCTCCTCGATTTGCGTTGATTCGAATTGCGTCACTAAAAAAATATAAGATTTGGCTTCGGATTGCGTCGGTTGTGTTTCATTTTGCATCGTTTTTTAATACATGCGTACAGAGGGGATTCCCATTTTATTTCGTGTAGGTCACATTTTTTAAAAGGGGATAAACATGTATTTAGTGTTTAGTTAACAGGTGTCGGTTTACATTTGTGTGGTAAAATGGAAAGGTAAATTTCTACTTTATAAAGTAGAAATTTACTTTTTTACTTTATAACCTCCTGACATTGGAAGTATTTTGGTTTTAGCCTTAACTATTGTAAGAACAATTTGTAAACATGATACGGACAAGATAAAGGACTATGGAAAAGCTGTCACATTAAAGCTGTCCATTAATTGTAAAAATGGAATCCCTTCTATCTATGTGTATAGAAAATCAGAATCAAAGAGAAATGCTAAAGCCAAATGTTTTTTTGGAAATTAAAAATGTGATGCGATTTGAGTTGCGTCGCATTTTGTCGATCCCAATTAACGACATAAATCAGAGTATAAGTGTATATTGCTTTAAATTTCAACTAAACGTCGAATAAGATGTCTAAAATTGACGCTGTATCTAATTCTATTATCATATTTCCACTTCAACTAAAACTATATTATAATTATTAACCTACTTAAGCTTAAGCTTAAGCTATTGGCATATGCATAAGATTTATGCATGTAAAATAGCTTATTTGCTTACATTTTACATATAAAACATATGACAAATATTCCAAATTCTGATGATTTCTCTTGTAGGAAATTTTTTTACAGAAATGCATTCGATATTTTTCGCTTTAAATCAGTTGATTTACGTATATGGAGTACATTTATATGAAAGCTCTTTGTATGGTAAATTAAATTATAAATTATATTTATTTATATATTAAATTATAAAAATTATAATTCTTTGCAAAATCATCATTTATTTTATTAAAAGTTGGTCTTAACAAAAAATAAGTATTTTTTGATAAATGTGTGACCATCAAATTTGTTTAAATTGAACATTTACCATAATTATTAGATTTAACAAATAACATAAATTGTAATTTTAGCTTAATATTTGTAAATGAAACTATTTTAACCTATGATCACTTATTAATATTGACAATGAAACAACGGTAAATTTTGAAAAAAAATTTAACATAATTCCTTAGATATTTTGTTAATTCAAATATTTTCTGCTGGTTGAAACGTAAACTAAAACTGAATTCTTGGGATGTATAACGTATTAAGCGGGAGATGTTAATGATGAATTTAAACGCTCCTGTTCATCCTTATCGAGACCTAATGCCATTGTGAGTAATCTTACTACGCACTTTGTTTCCTGTACTTCACCCTTTTCTGTTGATGTTATATCTTGCTCCAGTTTTAATTTTTCTTCGGCCACCATCAACATGCCTTCTTCAATAGTGCTTTCCGAAATCAGGCGATAAATTGTAACATCACGTGTTTGACCCATACGATGACAACGATCTTCAGCCTGCTTGTCGTTGTAAGGATTGAAATCAATATCGTGGATAATACATGTATCTGCAGCTGTTAAATTAATGCCAACACCTCCGGCTTTTGTTGAGAGTAGAAAAATGAAGATGTCTGAATCCGAATTGAAATCATTAATCATATCTTGACGCTCTTCAACTGGAGTTGAACCATCTAAACGAAAATAACCATGTTTACGTATTTCTAAATAATGTTGTACAATATCCAACATCATTGTGAACTGACTAAAAATCAGCACCCTATGACCTTCGCTTTTTAACTGAGGCAAGAGTGTATCCAAATGTTTGAATTTTCCGGAATCACAAATATATTTATCAGGTATAGTTACATCGTCCAATTCCTAGATGTATAAATATGTTTAAGTTATTGTGAATTTCAAAATACTACCATAGATTATTACTTACATATTTTGTACATAATTGATAAACTTGATAATCAGACATAACTGCCAACTCTTCAAAAATGTACTGTGGGTTTGTTTTTTTATAGCTGCCTGAAATTGCTAAACGCTTAGCGAATTCATTTAATTTTGCATCTGTGAAATACTGGCGCGTTAGCAGCGGATGATTTGCGGCCTTCCGCATTTCCATCATTATTGTAACACCTGCACGATCACCACTACATATTTCGCCTTTGTGATTGGAATAATATTCTACTAGCCCGTGGTAATTCTGTTTCTGTATGTCACTCATAGGAACTTTGATCTAAAATATATTTATAAAAATTTGTTGAAAATCGTTTATATTTGATGCGAATTTCGTACGTATTATAAATTATATAAATATGCTAAAAGAAACCAGTTTGATTTCATTTTAAAGACAACATATAAACCCTAAACGTAAACGCATAAAATTATACATTGATAAATTTACATGCTTACATGAATACCCCTATTAAGTGAAGTTTATTTGTATCACATAAAAGTTCTATCAGCTTCATAAATGAGGTTATTATAATATGAACGTTCACTTATTAATATAAATGAGCAAATGCCTAAATGAGACAGTGTGAACGTGCTATTAGCGATCACTAATTGTGACCTTCGTCTTTTATTTTATACATAATCCTAATTTTTAGTAATATAAATATTTGAATTTTATAACTAAATTTATTACACAGACAGGTAAAATTTTTGTGCGATTGCAAAAGTTCTCATGGTTTAATATTATATTATTGTTAAGCAATTTTGAGGAAAATATTTTCTAAAATACTTATTTTCTAAATTACTTTGGAATAATTATATTTAAAAGCAAAATTGCAACTTATAATTAGTGGCTTTTATATAATAAATTCATAAAATCATATTAGGTACTAAATGCTTACTTATTTGGCACAGAGTTTTTCGTAATAAACAAATATAGGCGAATATATAACGAATATATAATGAATATGTAACGAATATAACGAAATTTACCACGCATGTGACGTAATACTCATAAATGATTCATAAATCATTAGCATCATATTACGAATATTAAATGAGTATGAATCATATTATATCTACTATCAGCTGTTTGTATGAATTAGGTGGAATCGAATATACGATATATAAAAGAGAGTCAGAATGCATATAAATGAAATACAGCCAATGATTCGAGTGTTGAGTACTCATTGCAGTTCTCTGGCATGCATCACAAGCGACATGCACTAAAAGAGCTGATATAAAGCATTTAAAGCGCTCCAGGTCTACCAGTAACGGAGCGCTTGGTATTAAACAATTAGAACGCCAAAGTAATAAACTACCAAGAAGCGTAGAGTGTGATTCATTGGTACACAATGCGAATTGCTTGAAATAATTATATTAGCTATTTCAACAGTTGGGTTGATTATTGCTTTATATAAAATCTGATATATGCATGTAAATGGTATTTAAAATTATTTAACTATAATATATAGAAACTAATCTCAATAAGAATATTGCTGTACACTTACAACAAAAGAACTCTTTTTAGGTAAATTCATGATTACATCCTTTTTAAGACGTCGTAAAACAAATGGTTTCATAATACGTTTGGCACGTTCCACTTGCGTTTCTTGAAACTGTGACACATCATCATTGCTGCTTTCCGCTTTACTTTTCTGTTATTAAAAACAATAAAATTAAAATAAACTCAATTTTAATTAAAATATTTTAAAACCTTTGCAAATAAGCTTTTAATATCTTCAATACTTTTCGCAAAAAATTTAGGCATTACAAAGCAAAGCAATGACATAAGTTCCAACAGGTTATTCTGTAATGGTGTACCCGTCAATAGAATACGCATCTGTGCATTAATGGTTATTAAATTTGCATAACGTTGTGTTGTCATGTTCTTTAACATATGAGCCTCATCGAATATAACATAATGCAATTTGCTTACACGAAACATTTTACGCTCCTCAGGAGTTGAACAAACAATATGGTATCTAAGGATTTAAAAATATTATAAATGAAAAACAAACGAATATATCTAGATTATATACTCACGTAGTTAACAATATATCAAAACCAGTAAAACCATCCTTAGCAAAACGTATACGCATACGCCTTCGCTCATCTTGACTGCCATGATACTTTTCAACTACTAAACTGGGACACCATTTAGCAATTTCCGCTTCCCAATTATCGAGTGTAGAAGAAGGCACAACAATTAAATGTGCCGCTTTAACTAAATTATTTTCCTTTAAATAAGCTAAAAATGCAATAATTTGAATAGTCTTTCCTAATCCCATTTCGTCTGCTAATATGCCATTCATTTTCTGATGATGCATAACAGTCAGCCAATTCAGACCAATCATTTGATAATCAGCCAGTTTTAAACTAAAAAAAAATTATGTGAAAAAAATTTATTATAATTTAAATTAATTAATGAACTGATAAAATAGCTAATAGTTCAATAATAGCAATCTGGTAAACTAAAAATGATTAAAGTAGTTAAGTTTTTATATGGTTGTTGGTTGTGTTACTCTTACTTAGAAAATTTGGTGAATGAAATAAAAGTGTAGAAAAGTCAATAAGTATTTAAATGAGTGAACTAGTAAACTTTAAGAGAGAACTAACAAATTACTACATTATTAAAATTACTATTAAAAACTCAATAAATAAGCGCTTAGTATACCTTTGATCAAGCAATTTGGGTTGCTCTGATATGCCAGCCCCGGTTGCAATTGCAGCTTCTAAACTTTTTACCAATTGTTTACATTTAGCTAAAATATTCTTGACATTATTTTGTTTATTTATCAGTTCTTGTGTATAATTGAGTAAATCTGCCGATATTGATTTGTTTGTCTCAAGCTTGTTACGCAAATCAGCCCAATCTTTAAATGGTCTCAGTTCTACAATAACTCCAGCCTTCTTTTCTGATAATGATTTAACTGTCTGCAGCTCTATTAAACTAGCTTCATTCATAAATGCAAAAACATTTTTACGCTGATTGGTCATTTCGTTGGAAGTTTCAGTGTCACTTTCATCACTGTCATAAACATTATTTTCAGCTTGATTAACTTCATCATTAGAATCATCATCACCCCAATATGTAGAATTAGATTTAGATTGCGATGGCACCGAACCATTCATTTTGCTTTTTCCAGAACTATTTGTTAAAGTTATTTGTGTGGATGCAGATGTTGTGGATGTAGGAGCTGGAACCGATGCGTCCTGTGACATGGTTTTTAAAACATTTTTTACAGCAAAGTTACGCTTTGGTTTATATTTTGCATTAAGACAAATTACGGCATCATTAACATCCCAGTTACTATTAACCAATGCGTCCTGTATATCCTATGTAAAAAGAGATAAAGGATATAAGAGATAAGAGAGATATTTGTTAAATGCAGAGAATACATTTGGATATAATGGTGAGAAATCAGGTTGATTAATGGAACTTTAAATGAAGCGGAATGAGGTAATGAGAATGGGAGAGAATATGAAATATTGGATCGGAAAAATTAATGTAATACGCATCAAGGCACAGAAAACTAAGTATATAACTGAAGTAAGAAAAAAAAACTATTCTACTTTAATTTATACGCTAGAGCAACAAAATATACAAATTGGAGTAACGTACGTAAATTGCATTTACTCAGCACATATAAAGAATTGTTCCAACAACTATCAACAGCCGTTGATAGTACATTATTCCCACCTTTCAAACTGCATGACTGTATGTCCTTTGTTATACAAGTTAAAACAATTATCTGATATGTTGCACATAAATATAAATCTATCCACATAGTTTTAATCCACATAGTTTTTAAACGAAAAGAAATCTGGGCTTGATTGAGGGCAAAACGAAATATGTATCGATTACTGGTAGAAATGTGTATCGCTCGCACTACTATACTGGCGACTATTCTTTCCTAACTGTCATGGATTTTATCTACTCTATCACCGCCGTAACGGATAACAACGACGTCTGCCTGGAGATCAGATCAAGAATCATCATTGCCATAAGCTGTGAGCTCAGGAAGCAATTGGGATGTAGAGCTCTACATCTCTCTATCGACAGACAAAATTTACGCTCTATTGATCGTCCATCTTACTTATTATCTTGCACAAAATGTATCATGTTTTTTTTTGAGAAGAATGGACCAAATTTCTATTCGATTCAACTTCACAATTCAAATTAAAGACTGCTACAATTGACAAAGGAGATTATTTTAAACAATATCTTTGGAAATGTTATCAAAAATCAACGTCTCTCAACGTCTATTTATAGCTCATCTCTTTTTTTAAGAAATTAAATAGTACATTTTAAGGCTTGATGCAAATTAACCTACTATACGTTGTTAAGACACTACTTGATATAAGAAAAATCTTATTAAATCTTATTAAGATTTGGAAATTTAAAATACAACTATGCGAAAGATCACTGCGAAATGTAACATATGTTTTTTTAAAACATATGATCCAATGAACCGGCATTATATAAGGCGACTTTTAGTCTGCGTGGTACTCAATAGCTGCGTATCGGCGAACTTAAAACAATGGACTAAAGTATACATTGGGCCTAATAATCACATTCTGATTTAATATGTGAAATATGTTTGCAAATCAAGAGTGTAATGTGATTAATGAATACAAAACAAGCAACAAATACAAAACAAGGAGTTATAAACGAAAAGAAAAAAAAATATTTTGTTAACAAATATATAATCCATATGGTTTCAGTAAAAAAGATCCATATCGTTGTTTGCTGAAATGCAGCTAATATTTTAATTTGTTGTGATTGACATATTTTTCTCTTGCTTTAAAGAAGGATCATGATATTAATGCATCTACGTACTTCTGTTGACGTACAAATAGAAATTTCAGAAAGGACTATATAGGCAGATCCCCCCAACAACATCAACATGTACAAACCGGAGGAGGAGCGACGAGTGTGCATATTATGAAATATATTATTATATACGCAAATCACGCAAATTTTTCGTCAGTTTTGCTCGTTTTTTTTTCGTATACAATCGGATTTTTGTCGGCTTCCACGCAAATTTCAATCTGTTTTAAGGGATGGAAACGAAAACATCGTTTAAATGCCCAAATGTTTCTATTTTGTAGTGTATTTGTTGTAATTTTTGCTAGGGAGTGTTCAAAATAATATCGACAATGCATGATGTGTAATAGCAAGCGACTTCGCGCCAAGCGAACAAATCAGGCATTATGTGTAATACCCACTTTATGCATATAAACATAATTAATAGGTATTATTTATGAAAAGATATAAAAGTGAATATAAATATCCGCGCTATGCATATAGATGGCGCTGTGACTTGGACGTTAGACTCAGATGACTTTAAAATTAATTGCGATAGTTAATAAGGTAATAGTATAAGTTTTATTTACACCATGTAAATAAAAGAAAATTTATTTATATAAATTAATTATTTTATAAATAATTAATTTAATAATTGTATATGTAGTCAAGTAGGTAACATAAGTTTGTCTTAATAATTCCACACTGAGTTTAAAATCAGTGATAACGGTCAGTTGGTCAAGATAATAATTTTTATTGCTTTGCTTCAGTTTATCAAGCAATTTTATATTATTATAATCGCTGTCTTCATTTAAAAATTTGTGGAATGCACAACAAATCTTCAACAATAATAGCGAAAACGTATTTTTAAACGATGAAACGCATTTTATACAATTCTAGTACTTTTAAAAAGTACAAGAATTTAGTTCTCAAGCTATATGGGAAAGTGGAATTTTCTATTTCATACTCGCAAAGTCAAGTCACATATTTTTCTCTTATTCATCTTTTATAAAATGGGACAAAACTCTAGTGTAACTTTTTTAATTTAGAAGTCTCATACATATCAGGCGAGTGCCCGGCACTAATGCACAAGCGGAAGAAACACCTCGAAAGATACTTCATGGATCATAAGCATCCAAAACTAGGAAAGATAGGCTCTATTCTGTCTTTCATTAAAGAATTCGAACTTGTGTAAAGAATTCGTAGTGCACTATCCCTTCTTTTTCAATAATAATAATACATATCAGGCAAAATTCAAAATTTGAGATAATGAAATCACTTAAATATAAATTCAATAAGATCCTTCTAGTATTATAATTCAATTTCAGATAGCGTTATTTTAATATATGTATATATTATAATTATCAGTTGTTATATATAAACAACTCATAATAAATCATTCTGTGATATGTTGATAATAGTTACATATATGGATCAAACCTCAATTTCAAAAGATAGGGAATATATTTTTACATCGTTAAATATTTCATAAGATGGTGTTTACTCCACATTTTAATAAAATTTTAGCATTACTTGTAGACGTAAAATCTGACACAAATTCTTAGAATTTTTATAGGCCGCAATCTGAATCTATGACTTAAACGTTTTATAAGCACTTAATATCCAGATTAGGACGCAACGACTTTTTTTCAATAAACAGCTGTCGTAGAACTGCTCTTTCGTTGAATAAAAACTGTCAATTTTGCATAGGCTGTAGAATAAAATTATAATTAATTACCATTGTATCGTAATCTGGTGCAAATTTAGCGGTTGCTAGGAAGCGTTCCTCTTTTTCTTTAGTAGTTAAGGCAGGTTTATTTTTCTTAACAGCCTCATTTGCATCATCGCTATCGCTATCCTGCATAATGCGAATACGTTTTTTGCCTGGAACACGTTCTGTAATATCAGTTGAACACAGATGTTAATAACACTAATTCAAAAAATGAAGAAGCAGATGTTCGGTAAATTAAACTCTGTTTCTTACCTGTTCTGTTACCATCTTTCTTAAGGCGAAATTGCCTTAAGTCATTTAATGTTGAAGATTTTACCGGTGACTGAGCAATTGCTTCTGTTTCTGACATTTTACAGTTTTACTTATATTTACAGAAATCATATAAGTTATACTGTTTATTTTTTTGTTTAAAAAACAAGTATTACTACGATCTTCTTTAGCAAATGATTAAAAACAGTTCACAAAAAGTGAACTTACCAACCAACGGAACTAAATACTATCTCACTTGCTTCCACAAACTAAAACTTCTACTGTCAGTTTAGCTTCATAATGCATCAATGAAATAAAAACCAGAGAATAATTTACAGGGACGATAATTTCATGATGAACTTAAAATAGTTAGAAAAAAAGATTGCCTGAACTGTTTCGAAAATGTTGTAGTGGGTTCCCACTAGTTGGCAAAGCAAGACTTAAAGCGATTTTCTTTACAAAACAGAATTTAAATAAAATAATCAAGATTATGAAATTAATACTGGATTCACACGAGAGTTTTAATTGTAATTTAAGCTGTCAAAAATTTTAAACTGACATCTGAAAACAAAAAATATCGATTCACACGACGTATCATTGTAATTGTCAGATTTATTATATGTACACATTTCCTAACTACTTTCACAAAAAAACAGACTGTTTATTGATGAACACGAAAGACCTACTAAATTATCTAAATTCGACGGGATGGATTTAGTTTCTACTCTTCTATACTAGGGTTCTTACTAGAAATGTAGTAGCAAAACAACAAAAAATCGCTAATTAAAGCACATGGAACCAACTATGCCTTTCACTCAAATATACGTTTCACTCATATATAATATTCATTCCTCAAAACTATTCACATAAGTTTGTGCTGCACAATACTGTACTACGATAAACTGTCCAAGTTAAAATCAACTTGATTTTGTAGAAATTAGATTTAAGACGAAAGTTAAAAAAATTTTGCATTATTGGGAATGGTCACACACAAAGGCTGAATTTTTTAGTATTATAAACTTCACGTTCATCAAGGAGTACCTTATAAGAACGGCAACTCTATTACGAATTATAATTGTTTTTTTTTGAAACGACAACAATTGTCCCCATGTTTTTAATAGCATATTTACACAACACAAGTATTTGTTATACTAGGCATATGTTAGTTGATCTCTTATTTAACGTAACTTCTTCAGAACCGATTAACTGACAATAATTGCAGTCATATCACGGTAATCGTAAACATGCCCTTAGCAGCTTATAACATAGAGTTGCCAAGCTCAAAGAATAACCCAACTAATATAGTCTACTGTGAATGATTTTTGGAAATATATACAAAATGTACAGTAAACTGAGAAAAAAAATTTTTGTTATAAAATAAAAAAAAAAATAATGAAACGTTAATAATTGAAAAACGATTTAAATGTAGAAATATTTAAGAAGTAGTTAAAATTTCTTAATAAAATATACATCTACTATCACTTAAGCAATTATTTATGTTTTTTTATTATTATTATATACTTTGCAAATATAAATATAGTATTTAAATATGTTAAACTTGCCATTTTTTAATACGAAGTGTTGTCACCAAAGTGAAGCTTATTTAATAATGTCTTTTTGAAACAGGGTCATGTTGTGCAGAAAGTCATGGGGTCGTCAAAACTGGTTTATTGTTGGATTATGACGAATATGCATGTTATGCAGAGTGTCACAGAAATTGTAATTAAAATGGCATTTATTACTGAACAATACTACTCTAACTAATGGCGTTTTCGTTTTCGATTGGTGTTGAATTTAATTTAAATTTTTTAAAAATCACAATTTTGACTTTATTTTGAAGCAAAATTATGATTACAAGTGCTGTCTGAATAGGCTATTGATTTATAAAAATTATTCTTCATATTACTAATTGCACTATTGTGAATCATAAATAATATTTTAATTTATTTTTTGTTTAATTTAATTTGCAACCGTAATTTATTCGCTGAATTTATGTACAAAATCGGATTGTATTTTCAACTTAATTTTGTAACAAATACTGTGTGAGCAATTACGATTGCTTGTACTGTGTGAATAAGCTATGATTTTAAGATCTGAATAAATTTAAATAAAAAAAAAACATTTGTGCCCCTGTTTCGATTAATTATCAATGTATTTCTGTCAAAATAAATCGAAACAGGGCTATAAATACAAACATATATTTAACGCGCCAATATTTCCAAAAAATATATGGAGACTTTTTAATATAATTTTAATATAATTTAAACATAATTGATTTCTATTAATATTTTTAGTTGATTATTGTACATATAACAAATTAAATGTCTCCCTTAATTTTTTTTGAACAAACAGACTGTAATAATAATTATACAAATAATAATAATAATTAATTATTATCAATGTTTTAATTTTTCAGTAATTTAATCTACACTAAATAATTACAAGAACTCAAATTAATTTTTATTTGCGTTGAAACTGCTTCATTTTTACCGTACAAAAACTTTATTTTTTACACGGTTTTCTGCCGTCTGTCCACTTTATTATTTTGTGCAGTACTCCTCGTTTTATCATGTATTCGCACACACATATCTTCAAATAAAATGTTCCTGATTTTCTCAAGTACTGAACGCATAAATAATTTTAAAATTTTGAGTTTTTACATTTTGTAGTATTAAATTTGCGCTATTCTAAAATGGATCGTGGTTCATTCATTATTTAAATTCAATGAACATGTTTTAAGCATCGATTTGAACAGCCTTTTAACCGTGAAAGACTTGAACCTACTAAAACCACCTGTTAGGAATGATTGTAGAAAACCCCATTCCGCAACTATGAAGGACAGAGAGGAGAGCAGATATGCTTAGTATTTTCCTAGTTAAATTTATCAAAGCCGAAGATAGATGTGATGTGTCTCGAAATTGGGCAATAAACAAACAAAAAATAGAGTACACAAAAAAAAAACATTAGCCTCGTACCTCGTACCTATTACTCTTACAAAAAAAAACCTATATACCTACATGTGTGTTTTTTATTAGTATAATCATACTATCTCTATTTCACTCAAAACCTTTTTTATTTTTTCAACATCGCTTACTATTTTTTAAAGTTGTAAAATATATATACTTATTCACACATATGTATGTATATTTGTATTGATGTATTATTTAATATCTACCTAAATACGAAGTCTTCAAACTATAGGAGATTTATTTAGTGACACTCAATACGATCGTAGCTTCTATATATTTAGGATCTCTTTACTCAGATTTCGACACCTTTATAGATTAACAAATATAAATATGAATACAATTGTTTCTTTCAGTTAAATGTTATTTTCATCAGAGTTAACATTAATTTGTGGGTGGAACCATGATCTAAGAACTGGATAGGACCAGATCCCGTGTATACTATAATAGATACTTAAAATTTGAATACGTCTTTGCGTAAAATACCTCTAAGAACTATTGAGGAGTAGGAAAACTGACATTTGTATGCTATAACAGATACTTGAAATTTGAAGACGTCTTATCGTTTGACGCGAAAATGCATCAAACATAAATTTCAACCATAACCATAATCATTTTCATGGATATCGATTCATGTCGATGGTATATTGTCTAATGATAATACCCGGACACGGCGAAAGCCAGTCACTGTCACTAGTCACTAGTATATACTTAGCGTTACAGACTATAATCTATCTGATGGCTTACTTTATTCCCATCCGCAAACTGATAAGTATATAGATAAAAACAAAAATTGCACGATTAGAACTATATATAATTAAATATGATAAAAATATTAATTAAATGTGATACAAATATATAATTATACGTGATAAAACTATATAAAAATATATAGTTAAATGTGTGTGCTAAAAATATATAATCAAATATGATAAAAATATATAATTATATGTGATAAAACTATATAAAAATATATAATTAATTGTGACAAAAATATATAATCAAATGTGATGAAAATATAAACGTGATAAAAATATATGATCAAATATGATAAAAATATTTAATTATATGTGATAAAAATATATAAAAATATATAATTAATTGTGATAAAAATGTATAAAAATATATATTTATATGTGATAAAAATATTTAGTTAAATGTGTATGCTAAAAATATATAATCAAATATGATAAAAATATTTAATTATATGTGATAAAAATATATAATTACATGTGATAAAAATATATAATTAAATGTGATAAAAATGTATAAAAATATATATTTATGTTTGATAAAAATATATAGTTAAATGTGTGTGCTAAAAATATATAATCAAATATGATAAAAATATATAATTAAAAGTGATAAAAATATATAATTAAATATGTGTGCTAAAAATATATAATTAAATGTGATAAAAATATATAATTGAAAGTGATAAAAATATAAAAATAAATGTGATCAAAATATATAATATTTTATATTAAAAATATATAAAAATACATAATTAAATGAGATAATCACTGACAAAATTTTTAAAATTTTCAATATTAATATATAAAATATTAGTACACATATATTATGTGTGCAGAATGGGACAATCTGCAGTTGATGGTGGTCCCAAGTAGGGAGAATATGAAAATAAGGCAGCGAATAATTATTAATTATTAAGAAAAACCTTAATTTTTGTTTCATAAGTAACAAATTTGCTTTCCTTCGCTAAATAATTTGTTAGTGAAGACTTGTTGCTGCAGCGTTGTGGTCGTTACTGTAGGGTTTAAATTAAAATATATTGTTTATTTTAAAATATTAATTTCTTAATTATTCTTATTTTATTTTATAATTATTTTATTAGTGCACATTGTATAAAATATGTCTGCTGTTACTAAAGGTAAGGTTTGTGAAGAGATAAGCTTTTGCGTTGAAGCATTTGTGTTAGGTGCTGCATTGATACTAAAAGTGAATTTGTACTTTGAACTCGACGTATCTTCACTTTGATGTAATATTAAAAATACTGACGGATTTGAACTTTGTAGCTAACAATGATTTAATTATTTTATAATTAATATAGTAAATCAATTTTGATTAATTGTTGTACAAAAAATAAATTTAGATTATTAATATTTTTATTAATTTAATAGGAGTGTATATCGTTGCCGCTAAGCGCACAGCTTTCGGTACGTTCGGTGGTGCTTTGAAGAATGTGAACCAAACGCAATTACAAACAACAGCTGCAAAAGCAGCATTGGCTTCCGCTGGACTCCGTGGAGAACAAGTTGACACAGTTGTGATTGGCAATGTCATAGCGGTAAGCATGCAATGCGTAACTAATAGGGAACTATGTCTATATATAATATTGATTTAATTTTAGTCATCATCAACTGATGGCATTTATGTACCCCGTCACGTTGGTCTGAACTGTGGAGTGCCAATCGAAAAGCCAGCGCTCGGCATCAACCGTTTATGTGGCTCAGGCTTTCAATCAATTGTTAATGGAGCTCAAGACATTTTAGTTGGTTCAGCGAAAGTCGCACTTACCGGTGGTGTCGAAAATATGTCACAAGCACCATTTATTGCACGCAATATACGCTTCGGCACAACTCTCGGAGTCAATTATAATTTAGAAGATGGCTTATGGGCTGGATTAACTGACTCTTACTGTAAATTACCTATGGCCTTAACAGCCGAAAATTTAGCAGATCAATACAAAATATCACGAGAACGCGTTGATGAATTCTCATTACGTTCACAACAAAATTGGGAGAAGGGACAAAAGGAAGGTGCATTCAATGCAGAAATTACACCAATAAAACTTAAAGTGAAAGGCAAGGAAGTCGACTTTGTTGTAGATGAACACCCAAGACCAAAAACGACTTTAGAAGGTTTAGCAAAGTTACAGTCATTATTTAAAAAGAATGGTACAGTAACTGCTGGCACAGCTTCGGTAAGTAGGCACTGACCATAAACATGTCTTAACTTCATTTAAAATTATTCTTCTTGATTCTTCTTCTTGAGTTAGCGCTATTACGCACTTTTACTCTATAATGGCTGGGGGGCTTATCTCTACCCCACACTAGGCTTTAAATAGGCCAAGAAATCATATCATTTATTTGTCTTTTAGTTGATGACGGACCTTAAATCAGCATATCTCCCTGAGAGTCCATTTAAAATTATGTAAAGTTATAAGTATTTCAAATGTTTCAATTTAAATATTCATGTCAAACAAATAGAAAGAGCTTTTCAGAATAATTGACTATTAAGATCTGTTGTCAGATAATCAAAATCGTGTTAATATTTTGTAAAAACAGCACACAATATTCAATGTACCGTAAAGCAATATAATATGTACAGATTAGTCAAGAAAGAGACTGTTATTTTACGGTAGGTGAAAAGCATTAACAGCCACAATATGAGACTTTAACCCACTAAATCACCTTTTATGAATAAATAGAGAAAATTTTCACCACTGTCCAGATAGACAAATGGGTCAGTGAAACTTTATTTCAGTAATTAAGGGTGAGACGTTAAATAAAGACGATTAGTGCTTAGATATGTAAGTTAATCTATATCAGAAGAGAGAGACCGTTACTTTTGCTCGCCTTCCTTAAATACAATTTATTGAGCGAGATGATTCAGTACTGCTACTGTTACTTTCATCGCTGTGTTCGTTCTATGATTTGAGGAATATTCGTCATATATTCGTCATATATTCGTATAATGTTATTTATATGTCAATATTTACGGGAATAAATCACAGTTCAATCATGACAATTATTGTGAAAAAATATTGAAGAGTTCAATCCGGATTTGTTTGACTGAATCACTGATGAGTGAATTATAATATTTCACTATTTAAGCTAATAATGATTTTTTCACTGATATGATTAGTTCTCCTACATAATCATTTATTAGATTATGATGCGCCCAGCTAGATATTGGAAGATATATAACGGAATCATATATTAATAGCAATTATTTTTTAAACCATAGTTTCTTAACTTAACTGTGCTCACAATATGTTTTGTGATAATGTTTTGATTATCACTAGTCTTGAGTACATAATTTTATTTTTCATTTTTTAGGGTATATGCGATGGTGCTGCTGCGGTTGTTGTTGTTTCTGAAGAAGCTGTTAAAGAGTACAACCTTAAACCATTGGCACGTCTCGTTGCTTATTCATATGTAGGCGTAAAACCGGAAATAATGGGTATTGGCCCAGTACCTGCGATACAAAATGTACTCAAATTGTCAGGAAAGACTTTAAACGATATTGATCTAATTGAAGTAAGATTATCTATAAAACAGCATAATATGAAAAATTCCTTAAACTCTTTGCTTATAATTATTAAAGATTAACGAAGCCTTCGCAGCTCAAACTCTGGCATGTGCCGATGCATTAGGTTTGGATATGTCGAAACTGAATGTAAATGGAGGTGCTATTGCATTAGGACATCCTCTGGGTGCCAGTGGATCGCGTATCACTGCTCACTTAGTACACGAAATGCAGTGAGTATAAAACAAAATTATTGTAAATAACTTTCTTGAAGCTAATCTGAATTTAAAATTTATTTTTAGACGCAAAAAACTAAAATATTCTATAGGTTCAGCATGTATAGGCGGCGGCCAAGGTATTGCTCTACTCTTGGAATCCTGCTAGATTTATAGGCCTTTTAATTATATACTATTGTAACAAGAAACAATGCATTTTTAAAGAATAAATATTGAAATATATTAAAAAACTATGTTCATGAGGCTATATATTTCATATAAGATGAGGGGTCAACTACAAATGTTTGTAAGGCTGGGTTGTCATTTCTATAATATTTTACGCTCTTAAAATAGCAAATTATTATAAAAAAATCTCATAAGTGGTTTTTGCAATATTGGCTAATAACGATTATTGTTGAAATAAGAAATTTATGTTTATCCCTAGATCTGCCTGCGAGTTTCTTCGCCATACCCTCATGACTCTTCAACCGATCGCATACATCAATCGCGTAGGCGGAAAAAATAAGCATACTTTCATGTATGACACCTAAGATTTTGGGCTTGTAGATGATCGAATTTTCCGTCTGAAATAGACAGAGTCAAGGACGGCTCTTTAATCCAAGAAGGGAAGAGAATGGCTAAGAATTAGTTAAGAGGTGTTTTTAGTTTTAAAGCATTCAGCCACTAGATGAATATATGCGTGTAATTTACTGCGAAGTACAGTAGATTTCTGGGTAGTCGAGACATCCCATTTTCACGGATTTCTTTTCAATAACAGCAAAAACTGCTGTAACATCACGCTTGGTATGTCCAATTATGTCGATGTTGTCGGCGTAAGTAAGGAACTGTACACATTTATTCTCCATATTGTCTGAAGCCTCGCATGGTATCACAGGGTTCCTAAAGACTCGATCTTAACTTAACGGAGCTACGGGTATTGCTCAACGTCATTCTGCAGTCTTATTCACTTTGCAGGAATAACGGGCTCAGACATTGCGGAATGAACGCGATTCCTTATGGGTCTTGCAATAGCTGCTTTATAATCGACGAAAAGATAGTGGGTGTGACGAGGGAACGGTCAAGTTGAAAGCCGCACTAATAAGGCTCAATCAGTGAGTTGGTGTGTGGCTTCAACATTTTACGCAATACAGTTGAAAGGACTTTATACGTGACAGGTATTACGCTGATCCCGCTAGGTAATGGTTTGAGTCAATATTTAGAGTCCAAAACGAACGAGTTTGACACACTTAAAGTGTGTCTTGCGTCAATCACGAAATTATTAATCTGATCTTGTGTTGATTTATCGGAGGAGAAACGCGTTGCATTATGAATAGTAGGGTAATGCAATCTGTTGCTACATACCACTATGTTTTGCATCATAACAAAATCAATCAGCCTTAAAACGTTGTTAGATGTGGATTCACGAAGATTCAATTTTCCATCCGTTGGACTAAAAATTTCTTTTCTTCCAACCTTTGCGTTTAAGTCCCTTAGAAAAATTTAAACGGTATGGGTGGTACTGAGGTCATAAAGTTCCTCTCATCTTTAATGAAGTCGTTCTTTTCTTCTGTCGGTACGTGCGCGCAATTTAGGGTGATGTTAAACAATTTTCACTTGATGCGAAAGTCTCCCACTGACTACAAAACTGCATCTTCGTGTCAAATTGATACAAAACTTCCGGTTCCAAAACTGATGAGAAACTAGAATGACGCCCGTCTTATGTGTTAATTGTTGCTTGATTATCTATCCAATCATCGGTAATCAACCGATAATTAAACTATTGTCCTCTTAAAAATTATCTTTAAGATTTTTGGTGGATTGCTATAACATGCTGTAGGAAGTGGCACACAAGAGAAGTGAGTAGTGTTACAATTATACAATTATATATTATATATTAATATAATATTTATTTTATTAAGTAATATAATAATTATTTTATTATGTGTTTGGCTACATATTTACATGACAATTTTTTTAACTTAGGTATTGCAATAATTTTCAGATGAAATATAATTAAATTTAAATTAATATATATTTATATTTATAAAATAAAGTACCAAATTTAATAATTATAACTTATAAAACTTATAAACACAAAATCTTATTATAATATATTATGTGTGTTTTAACACGTTTCAATTAATTGATAAAATCAATAAAGTAATAGTTATTTGCAAACACATAACTAGAATAAGTAGAGAACCACATATATTTCATTAAAAGTAATCTTATCTTTTCACATATACAGTTTTTAAATTTATAAAGTACAAACTTTAAATTAACTGAGAATTATAATTCATTATTATTAAACACATGTTTGGTTATTGTGTATTTATAATTTCTTACATAGGAATAGGAATAAACAGGGTATCAGCTCCTAACGGTGCGGAGTACTATGACCATGGTTGATCTTTTGTGTTGCAACAGATCCTAACCGAACAGAATGAAAGCCAGAATGTCAGCCGTTGAGGACCTCCTAATGTCATAAGGGGAGAGTTGTTATCGACGCAGTGACCTCCACCTGTCCCAACTCAAGGCTGGGCAGTCACAAAGAATGTGATTGGAAGTCTCGTCTGTTTCTAAGCAAAGTCGACAATCTATCTCTTCGAACAGACCCATTTTGCAAAGGTGATAACTAATTTTTTACATACTGAAGACAAAACAAGAAAGAGAAATATTAATAAGCTTCATTTGCATTTAAAAGGTATTTAATGGTAATACTGATTTATATGGAAATCTGATATTAAAATCCTACTTACTCAAATATTTCTATAATTAATACTTTAATAATTGGGGCTTATTTTTTTAAACCACTTTAGAATAGTACTAAATATAAAAAAGAAACAATTGATCGACACATTAACATATATCTTTTAAGTTACAAGCGAGCACAAGATAAGTACACGAAAAATATAAATGATTTATCTTGTAAAATTGCAAATTTACTGAAAAAGTACTTTAATATTATTAAGTCAAATCACTCATAAAAAGAAGAATCCCAGAATCTAGTCACAGCTGGGATATGTTGTCCATCAAGCAGCAGATTAGCTAATCCAATTGCTGCTTAGCTAACCCTAAAATAAAAGTGGAAAATGTCAATATTTCTTATTAGGAGCTTAGTTTTTGTTAACAGTACATTCACATCAGAGCGATTATGAGCGAACGAACGATTGCACAAATGCGTCCGAATTATTTTTGGTGTGGTGAGTAAAAAACTTTATAGCAAACTAAGCGAACGAACGAAAATTTGTAGGGCGGGCTAGACGATGAAGCAAATGCGAACGAACTAATTTGTAGAGTTTGCTAGTGTTTCGTTGCATTTGTTCCGTACGACAAATTTCACAGCAAGCGTGTTCGCTTGCAGTTGCTGTGGGATGTGGACGAATATTTTGTATGAAAAGTAATATTTGTTTGCGTTCGTGAATGTGTGCTGTTCGATGGAACAATAAACGAATGTCAATTTTATATTCTATGTTATTATCAAGTATTTTATAATTTTCACTAAGTGTTGTCTTTTAAGATAACAATATTTTTATGACTATGGTTTTTTTTAAATATGATGAAAAAATCCTTTGTAATTATGCGCAAGTTTTCAATCAATTTGTAATATCGGCGTAACCATTAACTATTTTTGCAGTTCATAAGTTCTAAGAAATAATATGCTTTTAATTTTCTATGAAAGAAGAAATTTTATCATTAATAAATTAGTATCCTACACAAGCGTAAATTATTCAGTATTTTTAATACTTTTATATATTTAAAAGTCATGATAGAATGGAAAGATGATAGCGTTTTTAAATTAATAAAATCATACAAGAATAAAGAATTGGAATAATTACAATAATTATATTATAATTATATATTATACAGTAATCCCCCCTATAACGCAGTAGATTGATTCCGCGTTATAGGAAAACGCAATATAGGGACATTCCCGTATACCCCGTATACACACGTACAAAGGTACGCGAAGCTAATTATAAACTGTACAAATTCCCGCATTATATGAGGGGATTGAAGTCGCGTAATATGAAAACTGTATTACGTTTAGGTGTCTATTACGTTTAGGTGTCTATTACGTTTAGGTGTCATCCAGATCACCTAGCAAATGTTAACGAACGAACGATCAAACTCTACACGAATTTCTTGCCAAACGCAAATCCTGCTGAATACTAATAAACACTACAAATCGATTAATTCGCGTTTGCTTCGTCGTACATATTACCTGCGAATGTTCGTACGTTCGTAAGCTTTCGCTTTGGTGTGGATGCACCTTAAGTAGCATGGAAATATTTGGTATATATTTAATTATATTTATAAAAATTTAAAAAGATTTAAATAGTCATAATAAAAATCAGCTTTGCACGTATATTACGTGCACGTATATTTTTTGGTTATGCGTGCCTCGTTCTCATTCAAAAATAATTGTGCAGGTATTCTTTGATACTCATTCTGGTATTTTCTCAAACGCTGCAAAGAACACCTTTTTTATAATAAGTTTTATGCAAAAGTCCTTGTTTTCACGAGAAAATGATATTAGCACAGAATAGTAATTTTAAAAATTAAAAATTTTGAATTCTATTGAATTATACTTATATATTACATATATTTAAAACATATTTTATGTATTTAAGGTCTCTTCAAGACAGAGTTCCCAAATCTAAACTATTGAAATAAAAGTATATTTTGCAAATAATTTGTGCAAGTTTCAGATTCAGTATACAGGTCGTGTGCGAGTTCGAATAAATTAAGGTAAAGTAAATTGAATTTTCCTAGGGATTTTTTACGCTGCACTTATGTAAATATTTATTTATTAATTTATTGCACTTATTTATTATTTTTGATTAGAAGTTTTCAAATTTATTTATTTATTTTTTAAATATCTTTTAAAATGTTCACAATGGTAACACTTAATTTACATAATTTTTATCTAATTTAACCTACTCGGTATTCTGGTAAATACCACCATTCGCTGCCATACCGACATAATTTACTATTTCCCTCTATTTACTCTAACTCACACACGGCCGTAAACTGTTATTGCAGCAGCAGTGACACTGACTGCTCCACTTTCTATTTGTAATATTAATTTTCAGTATTTTTAATTGCTCAATTTAATAGCTTCAGCCTGAGTTTATATATCACAATTCTATGCACTGTTTGTCATACTCTTTAATGGTAAATTAAATTCTTTTTATGCAGGTTGTACCCAAATCCATTTTGAGATTTTTCATTTGTGGTGGTTCAACTTATAATAGGTGTAATGTCCGATTTCGTGTGACTGTTTGGTTGATTTAAAATGTTTATTTACAAATTTTCTTCCTTGTATAAATATTCTTTGGTTATGTCTACTTGAAAGACACATTGCAAAGTGTTGACATATAGATGGCGCAAAACAAATAAATTCATCATTTGGTAATCATTTTACACGTCACAAGCTCATAACACTTCAAATACTCAATTATTCGCTAGTTGCATTCGTGTCGTCCAAGTTGTTTGAGTGGTGGAATAAATAATTAGAAAGTGATTTGTTTTGGTATAAATATTTAAACTACGTTAAATAATTACTTGAAAATGGGTTCCGGTAAACAGCAAAAATTACAATCATCTGGATTTACGAAGGAAGAAGAGCTGTTGCTCCAGGATTTTAGTAGGAATGTCAGTACAAAATCTTCTGCCTTATTTTACGGAAACGCTTTCATCGTTTCGGCAATTCCCATCTGTATGTACTTTATTACTGTTTTTTTTATTTAACAACAAATAAACACAATTTTCCTTCATATTCAAAGGGCTATTCTGGCGTGTCCACAACATGGACTTATTGCCGAGCGCAGTTTTCTTTGTTGTTATGACTGCGGCCAGCACATATCTGATGGCTATGGCATATCGCAACATAAAGTTTCAATTAAAACATAAGATTGCTTTACGTCGAGAGGATGCCGTTACGCGAGAGGTTAATCGTCAGTTAGCTGATGATAAGAAAATGACACGTAAAGAGAAAGACGAACGTATCCTTTGGAAAAAGAATGAAGTTGCTGACTATGAAGCCACAACATATTCCATTTTCTACAATAATGCGTTATTCCTGGCTATCACCATATTCGTTAGCTTCTTTTTATTGAAGAATTCATCACCACTTTTAAATTATATATTCTCAATTGGTTTAGGAAGTGGTGCATTGGCACTTTTTTCCACAAGCACTCAATCAAACTAAACTAGAAAAAACATCTCTAAAACCATTGTATTGGAGGTTTTTGAATCTAATTTAAACAAATCATAATTTATAATTTCCGCATTCCAAAGCTGGAATATGTTTTCATAAATTTTTTTAAATAAAAATAGTAAAGTTTATTCTAAGAATAAACCGAATAAAGTAAACATTTAATGTTAACCTTTCAAATACTCCTTAAACTATAATGTATTTTAATATATCATCATTAACGGGATATAATAGTTTTGTGCAGATGTTCAAAATTTTAATTAAAAATCACGATGAATTTGAAAAATAACTTTGCATCCTCGAGCTAAGTATCGTTTTAATAAAAGTGATAAAGTAGTATATCGCATAATGAAATTAAATACAACACAAGATTTAACTTGTTAACTCAAGTTATATTTCTTATTATTATTATGTTGAGGGAAGTTGAGTCAGTGCACCTGAGCACTTTTACTCTATATTAACTATTACATGATAACATCTGTTTTACCGGTTGTATATATTAAAAGAATATGGTGATATTTTTATGAAGCAAGCAATTATATTTTTAAATCGTACGATGAGCAGGAAGGGTATTAGAAAGTAATAACTTTAATTAGCTGAATAAGTCGTACTCATTTAATTAGTTGAATGAGATATAGTCATCTTCAACTGGAGAATTTGATATGCGCTTATATTACGAATATTCGCAGAAGTGACGTGAATCCAACTACCTCATTATATAGCTGTAGAAACTAATAAGTCGATGATTGAGTTATTTCTTAATAGATTTAAGCTGAATGTGCATTATGCTTAAGTATGCATATTTAGAATATTATACTAAATCATATTAGCGCAAGAATTATGACTTCTAAAAGTAAGAAGTCACAAAAAAAAAGTTATTGAAAGGTAAACACTCGTGTTGGTGTGTTTGTACTAAACTTATTATCTATTTGATTGTTTATATAAATTTCCATGTTTCATTTGAAGTAACAGCAATTTGAAACTAAATAATAAGCCTAAGGGAGTATCCACTGCTTCTTTCTATATTAGAAGTCAGTTTCTTTTCACATCAAAAAATCAATTCGAAAATCGAACCCAAACCAAAGACTTCCTTTGACACGAAATAAGTTCGTATAGACCGCATTGCAACACAACAAAATTGAACAAACAACAGCTGTTTACCAAAGAATACTACATAGGAATGGAAACTGTATGGCGGAATAAAAATAAGTGAAATTATTTACATATATTTCTGTTACAGTGCCTAATGATAGACGTTTCCACACACTTTTTAGTTTTTTTTCTCTTAATTAAACAATTCTTTAATTCTTTTGTTTTGCCCTTAGGTAAATACAAAAAAATCGCAAAGCAGAGTGGGAAAATAATGTTATATATAACTTATTTTAATTGTATACATATGTTACATACAAATCTTTAAATTTTCATTTAAATTTATAAAGAGTGCCTTATGGACTTTTGAACATAATTTTAAACTTAACAATTTATTTTAATTTATTTGAACATATATCTTTAGTAAATTATTGCATATATAATAAATTTGTTTATTTTTTTATCAATTCTATAATAACCCACTAGAGAAAGAAATAAAAGTGAATAACGATTTTAAAAACAAATTGTTTAAATTAATTTTTATTTCAGACCAAAGACTCAAAATTAAAATAAATTTTTTTAATACTAGATCCACACTAGCATTTTGTATGTAATTTTAGCTGTCAAAAATTTTCATTTCGCATTGAAAGCAACAATTGACAGCTAAAATTACAAACAAAATTCTTGTGTGAATTAAGTATAAAGAAATTTAATTTAGATTTTAATCTGAAATAAAGATTCATTTAAACAATTTGTGTTTAAAATCGTTATTCACATTTATCTCTTTTATTATTGTGTTATTGTGTTATTATAGAACTGACAAAAATAAATAAATTTACTATATTGTGTAATTTTTCCGCAAAAATGTCTGCAGACCGAAATTTGGTGTGCACACTTGAATATACACAGTGCGATTTGGTAGCACGGCATACTTGATTTGCATACATGTAGCACGTCTTAATTTTACTAGAAACAAAATGTGTAAGTAAAGTCTGTGTAGCATTTTAAAATTTCGATAGGGATATTACGCTCTCTTAAATGCTGTTATTTACTCAAAACTTGCTAGTAGAAGGCACTTGTGTATACACAGAGTTACTCAAATTTAAAACGATTAATACGCATCACGATTACAAAGTGTTCTTTCAATAGGTGGAGCTAAACCCAGAATTCTTAAAATGTCAGCAGGTTTTTTTTCAAATTTAAAACATTTTAAAATGTCTAACTTTTGTTCTAAAGAAATTAATTTTCGCTTTTGATTCAGTTTAATACTTTATAAAGCGGAAATTTACCTTTCCATTTCACCACACAAATGTAAACTGACACCTGTTAACTGAAAACTGAATACATGTAAATCCCCTTTTAAAAAATGTGACATACAAGAAATAAAATAGGACTCTCTCTCTGTACATATGTATTAAAAAACTACGCAAATCGAAACACAACCCACGCAATCCGAAGTCAAATTTTATTTTTTTTGGCGACGCATTTCGAATCAACGTAAATCGGGGCGAGACAAAACGGGGTATTAGTTTTGTACATTCACTGTCTCATCCAATAGTGCTGAAGACGCCACAAACGTTTGAACTTTCAATTTACCCACAAAAAATCCTTCTGGGCAAAAGTGAGATTGAAGCGACCAAACTTATGATGATGCTGAAGGGCCATTGTCCAGTAAACATCTATGCCAAAAAATTCAATCGGAACTCCAAAAGCGAAAAAAAGAGGAAACAAATAAAATAACACTACTTTGCCAATGTCCTAGATTCACAAGATTAAGACAGGCAAGAAGTTCATAGTTTTAGACATGTATCGAAGGTGTATTTGTTCACTTCAATCATCTACAGAAAAAAAACCAGGTATTATATTTCTCTTATATTATTATCCAATACTTTTCTTATGCCAGCCTCCACATCGACAGACAAATTGATTTTAAGTTTAAATAGTTACCGTATGTGATGAATTCAATAAAAATGTTTTAATATATGAGTACTCCAATGTACCTCAAAAATACGGTAATTAAGTATACAATAATATAAAATCGTAAAATAATAGACATCTGAACACACTTCAAAAGTTCCTTCCCGGTTAATACTCAAAGCTGAAAATTCAAATTAGCTTAGTTTGTTTATCTTTACATTCCAGGAATTTTTTATTTTTTATTGGAAAGTGTTTAACTGGATGGAGGCCTCCATAAACAAAGTTCTTAATCTCATTCACTTCGCAGTGGTGCATGGTAGTATGTGGTACCAGATTTCTTATAAATGTCAAGCTGATCAAATAACCTGAAATTATAATAACCGCTTTGGAGTTGACGCAAGACACACTTCTATTGTGCTAACTCTACATGAGGTCGTGATCTAAACATCAACTCAGTCCCACTACCTTGTCAAGATACAGATGCAGTTTAGTATAAAGAACTTGCGTTTGTCAGACGAAAAAAACAGGATTAAGACAAAAAATGTGTAAGAATTAGAAGTGCGTAGGAACAGAAATGATATTAGTACGTTTCATAAAAAAATCAACTATAGTGACTAAAAAACTATAAGATGGCCAACGCAGATGACCTATTCGTAGAATTGTACTAAGCCGATGGCAATAAATGCATCAGCTCACATATAGAATAAAGTTTGCCCAATGGATCTCTTTTGTTCTAAAAATATGTGACCTATTAATAACTAAGGTACAACCAAACCTTTCAAGTACAAGACAAGATATTGTGTTAACTCATTGAGTGAGACTGATCAATGCAGTTTTCAACACAGTCGCTTCATCATTAGCCAAATATTCAGGCTCTGACTAATTCTCTAAAGACCCATGAATATCACATTGATATGTAACATTTTTGTGTGGATTATAAAGCAACTTTCGATAACCCCATAATGGATCGCATTTACGTGTATGAGCTTGGTATCTCTGCAAAGATATGTCACTTCAGAATGACATTGACTCAGTAGCTTAATCAAAATAAGATCATGTCTCTCAGAATATGCGAGAATTTAAACAAAGTGATCTATACTGCGATCTTTTCAATTTCGTCATGATCACTTGTCAAGATAAGTGTCAAAACCTTGTCAACACCTAAGTTATTGTCAGCTATATGTCGAGAAGTCGTCAAATATTTTCACAAAAATATGGAGCAGTGAACTTTGATCGGTATCCCATTCACAAGTCTGTTTTATTAATACTTACTTTTGGAATCATAACATTGATAATGTCCTCCGTAGATGACAATCGTAAGAAGCAACCACAATAGCATCCACAGCTCCACAAAGTTCAAGCAGGTCAATTCTTGTGCCTCTTTTAGTGGTTGGCTTCAAATTATTGTATATTCTTACATAGAAACACATTCAGTTACTGATTGCAGTTGTCAAATGCTTAAAAGTACTTTTATCTAAAGTAAAAATAATCCATAAACTATAATCCATAAACTATAATCCATAAACTATAATGTTTATATTTTTGATTTGTTTTATTAAAAAAGTATTTATTTTTACATATAATTTCTTATTTTCTATTTCGGATATAAGCAAAGTTTAAGTTATAAATCAGCAAACCTCAACTGGCATCTGTTTTATCATCATCGTGCAATTCATCCACTAAGTTAGCATAACCTTCGTGCATTAAGTCAATGAAGTTATTGATTTCCAAAATATTCTGACGATTACGCTTTGTCTCATTGCTGGGCAGTAAAATCAGTTAACGTAAAGAACAAACAATATATCGAATATATTGCAATACTTACTCTACTAAATTCTGGAACGTGCTTTCCACAAATTGCTTTGTGCGTGTTATTAACAAATCTTCACGTTCATCGACTTTTTGGGCATGAGTATCCTTCATTCCGGTCAACAAATTTGTTAGGGCCTCGTAATCACCAGCGCATTCTCGCAGCTCTTCTGGTATGCTCAACAAATCATGTAGTGCAGCGTAGAGATTTATAAAATTTGAGACTTCCTTGTTCATATCTTCGGTAAAGTCTACTATAGTTTCCCGTAGTTGTGCAAAGAAAATTTGACATTCTTCAACGAATTTAGACATCATTTCCTTCAACGAACGTACAAAATTTGTTGAAGCCTCCTTAAACAAACAAATTAAGTTGAAGATTATTTACGCTGACGACAAATTTTTGAAGAAATAGGGATCATCTTAAAGCGCTTTCTGTTATGAAGATCATTTAACGACAAAAACTTTTCAAATATGTATAATTATAATAAATGTAAGATTGACAATTATTTTTGGATTCATTGTACATTTAAAGCACCAATAGAAAAATTAATTTAAAACTTACTGCAATACTTTCATGCAAATGCAATTCATTAGCCATTAATTCTTGCCATAGTATGTTTAAACTGTCATCGAATTCGGTACTTAAGTCTTCGTATTGAGCCACTGTTTTCGATTCTGGCATTGCCTCTGCAAACTGGAATTGCTTTAATAATTCCAGCGCTTTGTCAAAGACAATAATTTTATATTCTAAAAATTCTTCAACAAAACCTTGCCCAGCAACTTGCATCTCTTTAGCGCCTTCTTCCAGACAAGTGTGAAAGTCTTGTACTTCCGAATCCCACTGTATAGAATGCTTAAGGCCAAGTTTAAATATTTCTTGTGTTATGTCAAAAACAGACTTGTTATAATTGTCAACTAGACTAGATACACCTGGACCACCTAGTAAAAGCGCTTTACCATCTTCATCATTTTCCCAAAACGACTGATATAACTGGTTTTCATTAAGATTCTCTACGAAACATTTAGAATAGCGCTCATAGTCATTTACATCTTTGATATGTTTTTCACGTATACTAAGTTCACCTTCCTCTCTATTTTCTATTCTGCGTATATCCTGGCTAAAACAGACATCAGTTAAGAATATATTTTATATGTATAATATTGTGAAGTTTACGCAAATTTTTTTGTAGCAATTTCTCGTTCCTCATCCGATATCGGTTTATACTCGTAGTAATTGAGTTTTGGTAAAATCGCTATACAGTAATCTCTCACAAAAAAATCCAATGTTTTTGCCATTGGATTTCCTTCCAAATTGAATGCTCTCAGATTTGTAAGGAACCGTAAGCGGTCGATCTTAATGAAGAGACAAAAATTTATAGAAAAAATATTATGGTATTATTAAACAGACTTAAATACCAACCCCTTCAATTGTTTCAATTAAATTGTTACCCACGCTAAGGATTATTAGGTTAGGTAGTTTATCTACATTTTCCAATATTGTTATTAAATTGTTAAACAATGAAAGTTGTTCCAGTTGAACTAATTTTTCGATATTTTCAATTTTTTTTATATGATTAAAACTGAGATCCAAATGTTTTAAATTAACCAGCATATCTATATTATTAATTTCTTCTAGTTTATTCCAACAGAGCGATAGTTTTGTCAAATTTGGTAAAACCCATAAATGGTCGATGCGTAGTAGATCTATATAGATAATAATTGAGTAAAGTTATAGAAAAGTCTTGTAAAAAATGTTATAAATTTAAGTCATTGCGTTCAACGTGAATTTTAAAAATGTTTTCTTAAAAAAATAACAAATCGAACAAATGGAACAGCTTCAGTATAGAAGAAATCATGGTACACCAAACAATATCATCCAATAGTGAATATAATAATCGAAGCTTTTGAGAGAAAAATTGTTCAGCTATCTACCTGATAGCATCGAGATATTTTGTGTAAGATACCTGAAATGACAACTTTCCGTTCCATATTTTCGATTCATTAAATCATACCTTAACAATACACATCTATATGAAAAATAGGTGCGTGCGGTATCAAATCTTTACGCAATCAATATAGTAGTGCCACAAATAGCTGTACTGAGACCCATCCTTTATAATCTCTTGTAGGATATATTTTTTCTTAGTATTGTTAATACGGCAATAATCAATCTATAGGCGATTTTTCTGAAACAATATAGTTATGCTAGCATTAGTGGATTTACGATTTTAATAAAATCGTTTGCAATGAGCTCATCAACTATTTATGTCACTATCAGTCGTTGTGACTTCTATTCAATAATGAAGTTTTGGTTTTAGGGGCATCAAATGTGTCTCTGACTCATATTATTTTTTCTCTTATAATCAATATCAATTTTCTTTTATAAATTGTAAATATAGGTATATTACAACATCTTAATCTTGTTTAGCTGTAAAAGTTCATTTTATTTTTGACAAAAGTAGTTATTGGTCTATAAATCAGTGCTATTAATTGGTTAACGTGACGTCGGAGAGTGTATTGCGTATTAGACTATGACTATTGCATATTATTTTTTTATAATAACACTTTTTCTAATGCACTACAAAACTCTATAAAGAATATTAATACCACGTTCCATACAAAAGTAAAGTTTTTTATAAAAGTAAACGGTTTTTTGCGCCCTGTTAAACAAAATATTGGATTGAAAGAGTTAATGTTTGTGACAAATTTATATTAATTTCTTATAATAGAACTTTTAATAATACATCACAAATCAATCTCTGAAAAGCTTAGACCACTTCTAACACAATGGTCAGGTTTTTAAGTAAAATCTTACTTATTTTAATATGATTGTCATATATAATATGTATATAATAGTATGTTAAGCCGTGTGCGAGTTCGAGTAAATTGATGGTAAATTGAGGGAAATAGTAAATTATGTCGGTATGGCAGCGAATGTTGGTATTTACCAGAATTTCGAGTAGGGTAAGTTAGATAAAAATTAGGTAAATTAGGTGTTACCATTGTAAATATTTTAAAAGATGTTTAACAAATAAATAAATAAATTTGAAAACTTTTTATCAAAAATAATAAATAAGTGCAATAAATACATAAATAAATAAATATTTACATTAGTGCAGTGCAAAAAATTCCTAGGAAATTACAATTTACTTTACCTCAATTTACTCGAACTCGTACACGGCCTTAGTATTCCATTATATTTTTTATCAATTTATTTTTACCTAATCATATTTTTTTGTTTATAATGATAATACAATATTATCGTTATTAGTTTACTTAATATGTTCTTTTCTTAATTATTTAGTTTGGCTTACTTTTAAACTCGAAACACATTTCAGTGACTCGCTCATAGACCATTGGTTGAAGCTTATGCAGTGTTGCTTTCTCGCCGGTATATTTTTCGTCGAAGTAAATTTTTTCAATCATTTCCTTACCAATTATGCCCGGTTCAATTTCGGGATATATAATGGGACTTTTATAATCTTGTTTTTCACTATCCATCTTCAAGAAAAAAAAAATATTTAAACTTATGTGCTCTATATATATTTTTGTAGCAATTTGTAGTCTTGTAAGTCACTTGTATGTCTTGTTGATTCAGCTGGTTCTGAATTTTAAAAGCGTGAAGCGTGTATTTTTTGTGGTGTTTAGGTCAGGTGCGTCACCAAGGCAACTAATGGAAAGTAATATGTTTTGTGTGTTAGCTACGATACCATATACATTGGGTAACTAAGGTGAGTGGTTCACATTAAACTATTCTGAATCGAATAGTTAAGTGTCGAATTAGGGATGAGTTTACTTTGGAACTTATTTCGTAGTAATAGTTGTTTCATACCTCAGTGGTGTCCTTAAAATGAAATAAATCAGCGGACGATTTCCTTGGTTCTTGAAATATAGCATTCATTTTGAACTGAGTTATTATTCAGTAAGCAATAATACTGAATAGTCAGTAGTTGATTAGATATCGCCGCGTATTGCGTAAATGTATTGCAAGCCAAGTGTGGTTTGCTGAGTTTTTTTTTTTGAATTTAGTTCCACATAGGGGGTCGTCAAACAATATTGTTGAGAACTTTCGTGCAAGTTCAGTTCGTTGTGTTTTCAAAATATTACAAAAATTACAAATAACGTCCAGTGAAAAATTGAATAAATAAAAAAAAAATATTTATTATTTTAAACTATATAAACTAAATTATTATTTTATTCAAAGAAAATGCATAGCATACTTAGAAGAAAAAATTTGAAGAAAAAGATAAAAGCGAATACTATTTAAACTCAATAATTCGTTCCCTCCTGTTATTGTAGTAATTTTATTTGTATATAATTTATTAATTAAACAATATTAATTGCATTTAATCGATAAAATTATTTGCGAATCGCATGACAGACATTTTGTCCCGTGTTAGTAAAATAAACTCACGCATTCTCTCGAGTTCTACGTCCGTTTAGATATGTAAATATATACGAGTATATCTGTATATACTCCCTTTCGTGCTTGATTGGTAAAAATTTTTAGAATTTTTAATGTTCTAAAGGAAATTATCTGTTCATTATAAATTATTAACGAAACATTTAGTTAAGAAAATATGAACAGTTTTCAGCATTTATGTGAGTGTTTCATTGTATCCGGATACATAATTAAGGTGATTATTGATTAAATGATGAACAACTGTGAGGACGTATATCATAACTTCTAAAATAGTATATATTAATTGGCAATAATTATAAAATGATTTGTGATATGGAGAGGTAAGAATTCCTTCCTTCCTTCCTTCCTTCCTATTTAAAAATATGTAAGTATTTTCGTAGTCCATCAAAATATATTGTTTTACAAGGACCAATTTGTTGTGTGCTTATTTATAAATAACAGTCTTACTTATATACACCTGTCCTAATAACCTTATTGTGCTTGGACACACTGGATAGCTTTTCGAGAGCTAATTTACACTCGAGGTCACACTGTGTTTGATTGTGTATAGTATGTTTAAAAGAAGAAGATTTTGACTTGTTTTGAAATTTACAAATGTTGTCACGTTGTTAACAGATTTTGTTATATATAAAATTACAATTATTTGACCATAACATTATTAAAAAAAAACAAGATAAAACAAATACAAAATATGAAATAACAAGTATAAAATTATTGTGTATATAATAATATAAATACAGTCAAACTATGTCATAATTCGAACTTCTATAACTCGAACTAAAAAGAGTGCAACAGGGTTTTAGAGTGCAAATTATATACAATTCTGATTCCATAACTCGAAATTCTATAACTCAAATTTCTCTATAAATCAAATAAAAATATTATCACGTGCCAATAGAAACGTAGGGAAAGTGCATTCTATAAGTCGAATTTTTGTTTTACGTATGAATCCATTTTGGTGTTAGGGGAAGTCCCTTTTTTCAAACCAATGAAATTGTTCATCAGTTTTCCAAAAATGAAGTAGAAGACTCATTCAAAATTTGATCTTTTATTTGCAAACGAATGATACTACAACTGATGTTCACTATAAGGCTTGAAATAAATTGTAATCTCTTTTTACTGAAAATAAAAAACAATAATAGAATCTCAAATGCTAATTTCTGAATATTTTATTTCACTATAACTTCTGTGGTGTATATGATTTCAAGTAAATAAATAGAGATCCAAAAATGAAATTCTACTTTCTTTCAAAAATAAAAAATTCTCTAACTCGAAGTCTCCATAAGTCGAACCTTTTTTTTGCAGAATTGGACTTCGAGTTATGGAAGTCTGACTGTATATAATAATTTACGAAAATTTGTTTAATCCAAAAAATTTATACTGGATTTAAAAATTTCGTCAGTATTACGACACTTCTCTATTCGAAATAGAGTTCTTGAACATAGGACATAATTCATAATATATAATATAATAATAGGTGTATTTGAGCGCTCCGAAGTGCTGCAAAAAACAACAAGTCTCCTGCTATAGTCTCTTGATGACGTATTCGCATCACCTTTCCAGTCTGTCAAATATTATGTTGTCGAGTATACTCAAATTCAATCTTTTAAATCGAATATTTCGAATGTCGAGCTGATCGATCATCGAATCTCTCTTATGCTTCATTTTAATTTAGTTTTTAATTTTATGGTAGTTGTTGAACATGTTCGATACACTCGCGTTATGCTTGATCCATATATGTACATACCCGAACAGTAAAACTTTGGAGACTTTGAATAGGTCAAATAATAATGGAAGCAAATATATTTACTTTATATGTAGAAAATCATTTAAATAATTTTTATTAATGACATTTAATTAATTGATTTCACTAATTAAATTTAATATTGACTTTTCAGTTGATACGTTATAAAAATTGGGAGTGGACATAACTGATGGAAACGTTTTAACCATATCTTTCAATGACCAATATTGTGAAAAATGTAAGCATGACCAAATTGCATTACAAACATCAACTGAACTGATAGTACTAAACCCACTTTGAAATTATATCCAATTGTGCTATATAAAAAGATATATACAATCCCTGAATCCCTGAATGAATGCAAATATACATTTACGTTTGACGTTTCGACGAATAAATATACATAAATAAATATTTGTGTATGTTTATTTTATGTATTTTATGTATGTTATGTAGAAGTCGAAAAGGACGCTATACATTTAATAAACAATTTGGACCTATCAAAAAAAAAAATGAAATGAAGTTAATATTATATGCTGGATATAGGAACAGTAAGAAATAATTAAATTGAAAGTCCTCAAGAGTGTCAATAGCCAACGCTAACTTTAAACTCAATATCGGTGGTTAATAAAGAGAAACTGCGTATATATATCCGATGAAATCAGTTGAAGATTTATCAGGTAAACCATATGGTAGCAAGTATTTCACCACACTTGGTCGTTAGAAAAAGAGATTCACACAACAAAATCGCAATATTGTGACATTCTTGACCTCATGTGGTGGATTTACCCATATATATATACTATTCGATATTCTTCAGCACCAGATATATTCTGTGAAGTAATGAAAAGAACGGTAAAAAAGATTAAGGAATGATATTATTATATGCGCCTCGACAATGAAAGAACTAAGAGACACAACAAAAAAAGGGATTTATTTGATTTGAACTAGATTTAACACTAAATAAGAAAATATGATTGCGGAAAAACTATAATGAAACCTTTGTGCCAAATTTTCATTTAAAACGGTAGTTACTATAAGGAAGCCGGTGTAGATGGAACGGGTTGGTGGCAAAAGAATTTTCCGAGTTGAGGAAGATTTACGTCACCTTGATGTGTGAAAACATCCACAGTCTTTCACATCGAATATAAGATGGAATTGTATAAATCAGACAGAGCTTGTGTAGCTTAAATTCTGTCCACCCTTTCTACCTTTCATGCTTTAAAAGAGTTAGCATCAACTCTATTACTGAGTGACTGCAAATTATTCTTGCCAATTTTCTTTAGTAGTGCGTTCAGAATCTATATAGAATCTAGCATTTCATGTGAAATGGGACGGTTCAGGGATTATTTCCACTCCCGGAAAATGAGTAGTTGTGAAGAGCGTCAATATTTCCTCTTTACAATGCGTACGAGTTCCAACTGTAGTCCTTCTATCTGCAGAGAGGACATCTGAAGCGTTCATCTGATATTTTATTGAAAACTCGTTCGAATGGCTCTGTCTATACCTTTTTGTTTTCTCTATTATATTAACTTTGATTTTAACGTCAATATGACAGATGTGACTATTTTTACTTTAATAGAAACTGTGGTATTTAATAGAGAAATTTCGAACAATAGTGAGCTACAACAACAGACTGTAGTATTGAGCTGGTACTTGCAGTCTCAAAAATTATTTATAAATAATTAAATACAAGAATTATTTCCAAGACCACTTATGATGGGTATATGGTAAAACTCGAAACAGCTGTATTGCCATCTAAAAATTCAATTAACTTAAATAATATAAAAATAATTTTTGTTGTTGTAGTTCACTACTGTTCGAAATTTTTCTCTATCATATGGTAGTTAGTTTGTACTTGAGTATAAGAAGTCCAGCTCCTGCTTCTTTTGGCTTTATTATAGAACTTCCGTTATTATAAAACTCTCCCTTAATGAAAAATTCCATTATTAAAAAAGAAGGGTTATACCAAGTACGTTATCCTAAAATTAGGTATTTATCCCAGGGAAGCACGCATATGCAATAATAATGTCCCTAATGTTGATTTTAATTTTCGTCGCTTAGAAATCTACTACAATATCATCTGACAGTGCTATAATCGCCAATCTGATAGGTGCGCATAATGGTGATCAAGAATTGAATTAAAAGAGGGATGGTATTTTAGCTCAGCCAGAAGGTGCACAGACACTTACACTATAGACTTTTCTTAACTGTCTCAAGTGTTTGCAGACATACATGTCGCGACCAATTTACTCTATAGCAGCAGCATCAAACAAACAATTGTTGTTCACTCGGCTTTAAGTTGGCTTTGCTATTTAGTAGCTTCTATTTGTTCAGCTATCAACTGGGTGAACATAATAAATGTCTCACGAGTACTCGAAAATTAGTTGGTCAGTCCGCACGACCACTGAAGAACGCCCGAAATTCAACTAAGCATAGACCCTAGCATAGACCGGATCACACTTTAGTCCAACGTATATAGGGTGATAGGAAAAGAAAAGCAAAATAAATATAGTAGGGAGAGATAGGATGAAAGAGAGCGATGGAACTTGAGATCTGTCAGTATAGTCCGTTGTTTCCCTGGTAGCCGTCAAGGTGTTTGCCACTTTATTTGTATTTTTAGCATTTGCAAAATTATTACATATATATAGATCATATAGTCCTTTTATATATTATTTACATTCTTTTTTGTTTGTTTATATTATTCTTCTATGTATTATTTTAATTATTGTTTCTTTTTAGCTAATGCGTTTAATAACAATAAATTTTTCTTTCTGGTTAGACCAGGCGTTTAAAATACCTTTTACTTAATCCACACTTTTAAGTTATATAAATGAATTCAATGAGTATACATGAATTATGTTGTATGCATTAAATAAGAAGATAATATTACAGTAATATTATACGTATTGTGCAATATAAAACCACAGTTTATTGGCGTCTTAAGCTCAACTTATTTATGTCCAAATGAGATACGATGCATAGAAAAGAAAAATATCAAAACTGTTAAACCCAAGAAGAAAGAAGGGCCCAATACAAAACTTTTTTAGACGTTTCTTTCTTCTATGCTGCGACTAAGATGAACTTACTAAACTTAGTTCTCACTACTACCTATTACTGCTTACTTATTAAATTATGTTGTAATAACAACATTAATATATATATGTTTATAAACCGATTTCAAATATAAAATGCAGACGACATCCACCTTTAAAATACCTCAAGTATTTTTTGAAATGAAATATATATGTATGCAAATTTATAATATATCATACGTAATTTTAGACCAGCCGAGGTATGGACAGACGGTGTGATAGATCATACAAAGATCACAAGTAGCTTACATATATCTTTAATACTTCAAATAAATTTAACATCAAATATATTTCTTACTGATTATAGTATTCACAATTTCAGTTAATACATAATGAATCGGTATATAACTTTAAGCCAACTTGGTGATGGCACCTATGGTACTGTCGTTCTAGGCCAACGTAAAGACACTGGAGAAAAAGTGGCTATTAAGCGAATGAAGCGGAAATATTATTCATGGGAAGAAGCCATGAATTTACGAGAAGTGAAGGTAAAATATTTTTGGTAATATTAAAGGCAGCATAACAAGTTAATTTATATGAGCAGTCACTTAAGAAATTATCACATCCGAATATTGTAAAGCTGAAAGAGGTCATCAGGGAGAATGATACACTTTACTTTGTATTTGAATACATGAAGGAAAACCTGTATCAAATGATAAAGGATCGTGATACACACCTACCGGAACCAACTTTAAAAAGCATTTTATTTCAGGTTATTATTCTGTAAAATTCTTTGCTTTCTTTACTTAACCATCATAATACAAATATTAACGTGTCCAGGTGCTAACAGGCCTAGCTTTCATGCACCGACATGGTTTTTTTCATAGAGATCTGAAACCAGAAAATTTATTATGCTCCGGATCAGAACTTATAAAGATTGCTGATTTCGGTCTAGCGCGTGAAATACGCTCAAGACCACCATTTACGGACTATGTGTCAACAAGATGGTAGGTATTTAGATGATCATAATATTCAGAGCATAATTTTTTTTTATTCTTTTAAAGCAACTTAATTTTATATTTAAAGGTATCGTGCTCCAGAAGTACTTCTGCACTCTACAAATTATAGCAGCGCAATTGACTTATGGGCTATGGGTTGTATAATGGCAGAATTATACACATTTCGACCATTGTTCCCTGGTAGTAGTGAAGTAGATCAATTGTTCAAAATTTGTTCCGTTTTAGGAACTCCACAAAAAGTACGTGCATTTATTAATAATTTTGTTTAAATCCATATATATTGCTATTCATAATTTAACCGTAATTATTAATATATGACATTTGGCACAGTTAGGATGTTTTAATATTCTTAAAATATTTGAGAAAGCTCTTGGAGTCTTACTTGACATTATTTTAGGACGATGAAAGTAGCAGATCAAATGAGGTTGATTGACATAGCATATATTAATCTAACATAATATAGTAAATGTAAAAAAAAGAGAAATATTTGTATTTTCTTGTACTTACTTTTTTTTTTGTTCCAGGTTGTTACAAATAGTTGTGTAAAAATATTCGGATAAAATATAATCCAACTGGTTTATTTTTTATATAACAGACAAATAACATCATATAGCCAAAAAGTTCTATTTAACACAAATCACAATTCATATCACCAAAATTTGAAATTTCCGGGAAACTTCTCGTTCAATAATTCTTTAAATATGACGTTTTGAACGGCTTGTGGCTCCATTCTATTAAAATCACATTTCCCCCTTCATAATTCCCATCTCATGCCCAAAAAACTCCTTAACATGTGACTATAGTATTTAGAATTGACGGTTGTGTCACATATTCATCACTTTCAAAAAAGTATGAGCTTATCATACGTTCAGAACAAATGCCACACCAGAGCAAGTGCGATGGTCTTTCAGCAATTACTTATTTTCAGTATCCAAGGTACGCACATTTAGTTTAAAGACATTTCCACCAATTAAATAATAAGCGACAACACTAAGAAAATTCCGATTCAAAATGTACCTAGTACGAGATCACCATTTGCAATGGTAAATCTTTAATGGCTTAGATAACAAGTCTGTTTGACATATATCTCAGCAACAGTGGTATTAAATAAAAACCACGATATGGGTAATCCTTTCAAACATGGAATATCCAGAAAATGTTTGTAAAACTAATTGTAGAACCATGTTATACAGCTACGAAATAATATTTCAAAGAAATATATATATTAGTAATAATATATTATTGTTAAATTAATTCTCTTAAAATTTATTTTTATTAAATTCACACATTTTTATTATGTTAATTAAGCATCTAGTTCCATTGTCATAAAGTAGAGGTAAAGTACAGTAGATCTTTTTCAAATGAATAACAAAACTTCATAACTGAACCAGGTTTCCCGATATCGCGAACCATACCGCACGGTTGAGGTTAACTCTGACACCTTTGTTGAAAAAAAATGAATTCAATAAATTGCCAAGGAAGAATTCTCTCATTGGCTGTGTTTCATTTAAATGTATTCTGACTCTCTTTTTCGTATATTCGTCTCCACATGATTCGTATATGCAGATGACAATCACGGTTGCCACTTGAAAATTTTTTTCTGTACCAAAATTGGTTTAAAAAGGTACCATTTCTATAAAAAAAGGTCCAAAATTTTTTTGGACATTGTTGTTTTCTCGTTCTGTGTTTTTTATAGTGTTATAAATGAACAAAATATAAAATAGTGCAAAGTTGCATTTATAAAAAAAATTAATTGGAAATATCCACAATAAAATTGGGTCATCAAAAATGTACCAGTTCTTGAAAATGAGTACCAAACGAAAAAAAAAAAAAAAAGTACCAATTTTGGTACTAAAGTACCATAAGTGGCAACCGTGACTGCATGTTATGCAGAGTGTCACATCAGTATTACCAATTTTGTATTTTAAGTACTTCTTGGTTGTGCCTAAATTTAAAAGGAAATTTAGATATGCTCACTTTCAATTTGCCACCAAAAATAACTTGCAAGCAAAAACTCATAGAGGCTGTAATAATGTTAATTTATATTATCTTATAATAATTGTTAACAGTACTTACACCTTTCTTTAAAATCGGAAAGTGTAATAATTATATTATTAGCGATTTATAAAAAGAGGCTGTGTTGCTTACTGCCATTTTTTCTCTACAACGTATTAGAGTTGTAGTAATTTGCTCCTAAAAGGCGCAAATTTTAAAATTTATTACTAAACAACACTGTTTTGCCTTAGTGCCGGGGCACAAATATGCCGGCTCTCATGCCAGAGTTTAAACGGCCATATTGTTTTTTCTCTCATTCTCAAATTTAAAATTTACATTGAAAACAATAACAATTGTACTCATGCCGTGCCCGAGACACTCTGCATAACATGGCCCTAACATGGCCCTAACATTGCCCTAAGTAGTTTTAAAAATTAAAAATAAAATTAACTTTGAGTATTGCTTAGTAATATTAATAAATAAGACAGACTATATTAACAGACTATATTAAGACAGACTATAAAAGTATTCGTTATTTGAAAAATAGAACGATTGGCCTGAAGGTTATCGGCTCGCTGCTATCATACAATTCCGCTATCCAGACTGCGTAAAAGTACCACTCAATACATTTATTACGCGATGTAGCCGATCCGGTTTAGAATTGCTAGAGAATATGTTGTTATACGATCCCAATAAGAGGCCAACAGCTCAACAGAGCCTGAAATATCCATACTTTCATGCTGTAAAGCGAATTTCCCCGGCTGCAGCCACAAATGCTAATGCTAAACTATCTGCAAAGTATGCCAATGCTAACGGATTAACGCAGAATTTGTCAAACAACGTGCTTCCGGTGCAAGAAAAATTGCAATCTGTTACCGAATTACTACATCAAAGCAATAACAACAACAACAACAACAACAACGCAAGTCAAATTTCGAATAATGCTAAATTAAAATCGATACAGAAACAACAACCAGTGCAATCTCTTCAACAGCAACAACAAGTGAATATGCCAAAAATTAGTTTTTTGACAATGAACACGACAGACGAACTTACGCAGCAACCAGCCACTATTCAACGAACTGTGACGCAGTTTAAGGATGCATTGGATGAAGGCTCTATTAAAAGTGGTTCTATACGCTACAGTACAATTTTAGCACCCGTTAGTAATATCTACCTGAATGGTGGAAATGTATTAAAACAGCCAATCAAGCAAAATGACGAAATTCTAATACCTGATGAACATATAAATGATATATATCTGAATCGGAGTATAACGCAAATCTTAGGTCTGAATACTATCCAACAGCAAGCACAGCATCCAAATGTATCTTTTAATACGAATAATAACAAAGGGAGTACGATATATTTAAATAGCCAGCGAAATTATACATTGCTGGAAACTGCTACAGAAAATGCCAAAAACTCCGCAAAAACTGGAGTGTATTACAGAAGAACTCGACCAAGTGTACTGAATATGAATGGATATATGAAAGATGGCAAGGTATACAATATATTCTCCAAAGTTGAGGATTCCATCAAGCCAGTTCATACAAATGTTATATTGCAGCAACCGGTTGAACAAAATGGATTTGGAGATTTGTATTTGAACGAGGATAACATATCTGTACGTTCTATATATGGTAAGCATAGCAATAACTTAAATAATACTGCAATGTTGGTGAATCATTTATCCAACAATATTATAAAAACTAACGTGTTAAATAACCAAACAGAAAACTTAAAAAAGAGTGATGACCTGGATACCATACTTGGGTAAGTACACACTAGAAAATTATTTTAGATGAAATTTTAATTGAAATACTTTTAGGTCTAAGATCAAAACTTCAGGCAAACATCGTAAAAATAAAAATGCAAATGTGGTTTTGGAAGATTTGTTTGGTCACTTGTCCATGGACTCCGATAGTGATACAACAAAATATGCAACTGTTCCGCCGCAAACCCAATTGCATAATCCTACATCTGGACGCACATCAAGCTTACCAAATGCTGATTATTCAAATGAGTATTCCTGTGGTACAGAAAAGACGAACACCAATGGAAAAGATCAAACCAGCTCGAAGGCATTTGACAGTCTAGAAGTAAATATGGGTAGTCGCACAGAGTCTTTATCTACCAATACGTAAGTACCAAAATGGGATTTTCCAAAAATATTTTAAACGTGCTCTGTTTTCATCTATTCTAACACTTGAGTTCAATGTTTCTCTCTTATTTTTGTTATCATTAGCGACTATTTTTTAATTTTTTGCTTTGTTGATGATAGACATCAATGTACGTGCTGTGCGATAGTGTGTTTATATAACAATATTATACATGATGTTTTTGGAAACATCGGAGATGATTTCTTTGTCTAAGAAACGAAAAAAATTGTATGACCGAAGAGAAGAACTCATTTTCAATATTTGTCGATATGCTAGGTGTCACAGTCGTCCTAAAAACATTCAATCATAAAATCTTTAATAACTTATTTAGTTTAAGTCAGACTGCCTCAGTTTTCTTGGAAATAATTTCTTTGGTTAAGAAAAATATATATTTCTATATACAGGTAATAATATTGGGAATGATATACACGAAATCACATAAAAGTTGCCCTAAAAAAAACGTTCAGTTAAAATTAACTTCATTAAAGTGTAGTTACTGAAAGAGAGGATTGCGAGGATTGGCACAGGTCCTTATGGGAACAAGTGCTCAGAGTCAGATCAGTAGTAATTGAGAGTTAGACTACAACCGAACCTACACGACTAACGGATGCAGAACGTACTTTGAGGCCTGCCAGGGTTTTAACGAGACGGAGGCAGCTACAGACTTAAATAAAATAACTTGATTAAGTATCAATTTTTAGTCCATTCTATATCGTTTAATATCATTCCTATCGCGTCTTAGCACTTAAATGGATTTGCAAGTTGTGACGGTCAAAATTGTTTATTTTTTTTTTTGGAAAATTTTTGAACGGTTTAATGAAAATACTCATTTGTTCATTTTATATATGTAGATTATGTGGTATATACATATATATACCTTGTAGATTATGTGTATACTGAGATTTTTTTTCTTTTGTTGGCTCAAGGTATCATATCAGAACATAAAACGACCCCTATTAGAATCATAAATATAGAGATATGTATTTATAACACATACATAATTGTAAAAGAGTATTTTGTATTGCAGTGCTTTCACTTCAGGAGGTTACTTCTTAGCCTAAATAGTGATGGTAGGGTCCATATTTACCAAAATGCTGGATTTCCAAAAAAAACTCTACTCAATAAGAAGCATAAAGGCAAAAAACTTAAATATATCGAATAACTTTTAGTCCATTAAATATTTTTTAGTTTAATATGTTTTTGTACTTGTATGTCTTTGGAACTTTCAATTAGAGAACCTCATTTTCAAGCTTTATATACATTTTTTGCTACTTTTTCTTAGATTATGCTTTAGTCTCTCGGAAAAATGTTTTAGTAAACAAATTTTCCCTCCATTCCTTACGATATCTACTGTTTATTTTTTCATTGAAAATGAGCACATTATTCAGTTTTCAAACGCGTTGAAGAGTTTTTTCATTCCAAAAAACATTAGGTTTTTAAATTGTGTTGATGGGAACTTTATAAAAAAGTCAAGTTTTAACCACTATAATCACTGAATACATCAAAATTTAACAACTAATTATATATCAATTTGTATGATATTGAAAGGACTGAAATTGGGGGTTTATTAAGTGGGTATTTTTTATGGGTCGGTTTTTTCTTAAATTTTGTTTCTCGAAAAATAATGAACATCGACCTCTTCTACTCGGACATGATTTTTTTCATTTCATTTAACGAAGGAACACCTCCTTCATTTATGGCACTTTGTTAAGAAACATCCTGTATATTTATGACTTGTGCACACATATATGTTGAATCGGGTTTTTGTAACTAACACTATGTGTTTTTTTTAATTTAATATTAATTTTGTGTCAACTTTTAATTGCATTCATTTAACATTACATATAACAGCGATATAACCCAAGACTCGGTCGAGAATGTGCTCCAGTTTTGGCCCATAAGGTAACTCAATTTTAAAATGAAACCTTATTATTTCGTAGTTTGGACAAATTATGTAGAATTTAGTATGCTTAAGTCCATCACTTTAAAAAAAAAAACATATCACAGTTAATAGTATAGTAGACATTACATACTCTTACTAATCAACCAATATTTTCCTAGGAGAATAGAAGAAACAGTTATAAGTTTTATTGAACTCGAATCGGTTTATTATGGTTATTTTTTAGATAAACGTATTAAGAAATGCTTTACGTATTAGATAAGGAGAAGTAAATGTGTATAACATAAAATCTCATGAACCCTGGTCCAAATTGTGTTGTACAAATATTGAGTCTTTTTACTAATGATAGTTGAGTATTATAGTTACTATACTATATTTGGTAAAATGAGAATATGGTATTGGATAACAAATGGTATCATCGTTTTTTTTAACAAATCTATGAATCTGTTCAATTATGGAGAGGTATCGTTGTAAACCAAACTCATGGTTAAGAATTAATCTTACAATTTCAATAAAATTGACATCAAATACCGCGGAATAGCGTCTTCTTTTTGCCAAAAACTATTATTTTCTAGATTGTTAAGATCAAAATCTAAAAGATATGATCGACCAAATACATTACTCAGATGACAGACATGGAGTAATTCTTTTCCTAAAGCTAAAATTTCCATTAAAAAAGAACCTTCAGCTATTACTTAACTACAAAATAAATAGCAGACATAAGCACTAAATTTTTGCATTCTGTATTAAAAAGACGATATAATATCAAAGCATTAACGTGGAGTATTGCAGCACTTTTATCGAATATATTCCTTAGAAATTATGTAAGGAAAGGCCTTCGTATTACCATAGTTTGATATACATTAATAATATATATATGAGTTAATTTAGATTTGTGTTTTTATTGTATCAGTGCTCTGTATATATATGAAAAAGGATACAGTATTATATTTATTTTTGAATGTTATTTAAACATAAATTATACTAATTAATTAATACAGATAATATATTTTTAAATAGTAATAAATTCCTAAACACAAATTTTAAAAATTATTCTCTTTCTGGTTGGATCGAAGTTAGATCATGTTTCTTTCACAAAAAAAAATAAATTGGTAAGCAGTCCCCAATATTTTTTTATCGCCTATAAAGTAGGTGCTTCTGATAGGATCACTATTTTTCTTACACTTACATGAAAGTCGAAATACAGAATAAAACCGTGATATATAGTGTTTCCACTTACATTTAACAGAAATTTTATCGTATATGTATATATATACAAATATATAATGCAGTTGTGCTATAAAACTATATTTTAAACAAAAAATTCAATAAAAGTTGCAACATTCAACCTTTCTGCAATTTGCCTTTATCAATACTATTAGGTAGCTGGAATACTCGTAGTATGTAAACCGAAAACAAATTTTTAAAAAATATAGTAGACTTGTAAAATTTTAGACTAAATTAAAAATATTAAATAAACAATAGTGTCATTTTTTTTGACAACTCTATGAATCTGTTCAGTCAAATACCGATTTGAGTTAGTTGGCTAATGAACGCTGACTCTAAGCTTCAAATTTGGCAGAGCACGAGTTCAACCCTGGGTACTTGCAGTCTCAAAAATTATTTATAAATAATTAAATACAAGAAACACTGATATGGTCAGCCAAAAATTCAATTAATAAAAATAATACGGGAGTCATTATATATATTTTGAGCCTAATAATGAAAAAATACTAAATTGTCGTTTAAAATTGCTTTATTGTTTCTTGAAGTATTTTTCTTTATGATTAACACAAACAGACTTTTGCATGCGTTCAAACCATTTGTCAAAACATTTTTTACAATCTTCTTCTTCAGGTTTTGGACACCACTAAAACATTGTTTTTAAATACAACAACGTCTTTCTGCTTTCTCTGTCGACAAAAATCGTTGTCCAAGCAATTTATTCTTGACGTTCGGGAACAAGAAGAACGTTGTATGTCATTGGGACTGTAAGCCAAATCAGTATCGAAATCAGTACGACAAATGACCCATCATTTCGATTTTTTTGATTATTTAACCGTAGTCGGTTGTTAGACGGGATATATGAACACTCGCATTGTCTGGAGATGGAGATGGAGAAGTATCCGACAGTCGTTGTTTGTTTTCCGTATTTCACTGAAACCTTCCAGTAAACAAATGGTTGTATACCATTTGAAATTGACCATTTCAGTTCTTGTACTGACCAGTTTTCCCTAAGAAAGAAGCGACGATTTGTTTCGAAGTGCTTCCTGCGCGAACAACTTGTTGTAGTTCACTTCTTTTCGAAACCTCCATACATACATATGTTATATAAAAATAAATCATAAACATATAAAATATTATATAAAACTTTCTTCTTGGTAGTGTAGAAAAATCAGGTCCTCTCTTTCTATGTTATCGCTATGTTTTTTGAAGTTGCCATATTTTTCTGAATGTGTAAACTCTCCACTGTTAGTTACCCATTGTGCATCCTTCTATGGTCTATTATTTAGATGATGTTGATATTAAGTGTATATTTAGTATTTACCACACACCTATGGTAAATCACATCAAATTGTAATTGGAGAGCAGTAGGTGTTGTTGTTTTTATAAATAAAGTAGTAGAAGTACTTTCTGTTCCCAATTTTGTTAATAATTTCTATAACTCATTTGTTTCCGGTTTGAAGTAAGATATGCTGTAAAATATATATTGTTTATGGTTCTTTGTTTAGTTTTATAGTTACTGGCTTAATCGCCCCTGAAAGTAATATTATGTGAGGTTAGATTATCCAATATATATACCAAATTCATCCAATAAGTTCAGTATTAGAATTTGCTACTTATTTTACACATTTTCTTTGGTTCCACACTCATATAAGTCCTCCAGTTTTGCACTATTAAATGGCTTGTGTGTAGTTTAACATTTTGGTAAAAATTGTTTATATTTTTCACTATTTAAAAATGAAAAAATATTATTTTTAGAGCTAAAAACCAAAGGGAAAAGTCAATGCTATTTCCATGGGACGAGACTAATAAAACTGAAGATGAGAAATTAACGGCTTGGATGGTGTCAGAAAATGGTAAATTGCATTTTGGTTAAAACATCTAATATATAACAACAAATAAAGTAGTTCAAAACAGTACAAATGCATTAAAATGTAGAAAGTAATGAGACAATAGCACTGAATTCAATTGAAATATAATCTGGTAATACTTTCAAAACTCACACAAAATTAAACTTCACCAAAATTGAATGATCGTTGACCTCATTTCACCAAATCGTTTAGGATCAATACTGGAAAAGAAAATATTAAGTGGACATAAAGATCGCAATTCTCTGTGGATGTCATCACCGTACCTGAATCACTAGTAAAACATTAAAAATTTATAAATATATATATGTGTAAATTTAAGAATATTAATTTAAAACAAAAAAACCAAAACTACCGAAATCCCAGTGGAACCTCTAAAAGTTTTTGAAATAGATTTAAAGTACTAGAGTCAGTTCTAATATGAGATATAAATTTTGTAACTTGAATCTACTACTTTAATGTTACATAAATTAGTGCTGTGATAAATTGTAACACTAGAAATTCATTAAAAATAATAATAAAAAAAATATTAATGTTAATAGAATGTTAAAGTATTACTTATTATTGTATATAAGTGTAAATTTATATTGTAAAAATTAAATAAATTGTAATGCTCTATGTGGAAATAAAATTCAGATAAATATATCTAATAAGTAATTAAATATGGATTATGGTTAATCTTAACTAACCTAATTTGTTAGTTCCAGCTATTTTTAAATTCCAATTATTTTTGATATCCTTAGTATTCTATTTCTATAAAAAAATTATAGTTTAAATTATGTCTAGCAGGCAGACTTGGAGATATTTGTATGATACTTAAAATTATATCTGCAAAGCAAATCTGAGGACTTCAGAGACTATATGAATCTTAAGTACTACAGTAGTACTACGATTCTTGCACATACTCAATGCTTTCACACTTGGTTAGTTGGATTTTTAATCAGATACTTACAACACTTTCTAGGGTCTTATTAAATATAAGTGTGGTGTATTGCAGCGCTTTTATCGAATAAATTCCTTAGAAATTATATAAAGAAAGGCATTCGTATTAACGCAATGTGATATAATTTGATACACATTGATAGTATATATTTGAGTTAACTTACAGTTGTGTTTGTATGTATTACAGTCCTGTGCATATATGAAAACTGAAACAGTATTATATTTATTTTTGGATGTTATTTAAACATAAAATATACTATTAATTTTTCAGCATATAGATAATATATTTTTAAATAGTAATAAATTCCTATAACATACACATAATTTTAAAAATTATGCTCTTTCTGTTTGGATCGAAGTTAGATCATGTTTCTTTCACAAAAACAAAATAAATTGGTAAGCAATCCCCAATATTTTTTTATAGTCTATAAAGTAGATTCTTCTGATAGGATCACTATTTTTCTTATACTTACATGAAAGTCGAAATACAGAATAAAACCGTGATATATAGTGTTTCCACTTACATTTTACAGAAATTTTTTCGTAGATATACATTTATATATATATATGTATACTGGTAGGTAGCTTGAATAGTACCTAAAACGGATAAAAAGATTTTAAAAATGTAAGTATTAAATTATATAAAAATAATTCACTCAACAAAAACAGGAACAAAACAGTAACCAAATAATTCGTCCGTCACTTCTATATGAATGTGTAACGTTTAGCAAAGCTTCAAACACTACTATTCGCCAGCTAAAAATTGCACAAAGCCAGGCTCCGAGAAGACTTTTTAACATACCATGGTACATTAGGACGAATGACATCCTCAGGGACCTCAAAATTGATCCAATCAAAAAAATACATAAAGGATAGAGCCCTGAAATTATTTGCGAAAACTAACAGAATTACCAACGTCGCGTTATCGAATCTCAGAATGGTTACAGGCTCCAAGGCGTAAATAGGGGTTTTAAAGATACCTCGAGTTAATAAAGAGTAAAAGTGCGCAAGTGCTTTTACTCAAATAGCTTTAACATAGATAAAAAATAAAATATTATTATAAATATGTATATAAAATTATATTTATAAAATATTAAAATAATATTTGTGTAAAAATAAAAATATAATAAGACAGAGAAATCAAATAAAACAATAATTATGCTGAAAGTTCACATATAAGATTTCTTGAAATATCTTGCTTTCTTCACGTAAAAAATACAAATCACGAGGATATTAAGAAGAATATTAAGTAGGTTTTGAATAAGAGCAATATCATATATGTTCCTTTGCTAACATATTCATTCGTTGTTATTAAGTTCATTCAGAGTAAAGAATTGAAAGAATATCTTTTTCCCGAAGTCTAAGCAGCCGTGGTCTTATAAATTTGTATAGACACAGATTATGAATCTGTTATATTATAACATAGTGTACTTGCGGCTGGAGAATATATACATTAACATAACAATATGACAAAGATCATATACCTACGACATGCTTTGGACAAAGGATTGTATTTATCCATATTTAAAAACTTTTATACCAGTGTCTACGAAATTTACTTCGGATTTGATGGCCCAAAACGAAAACAAACGAAGGATTATGTAGGCTTACAGGCCAAATAAATATAAATGATGATATACGTAAGCGAATATATAGGTGGATAGGGTATACATTACATAAATCCTATAATAACATCACGCACACTACGCTAACTAGGAACCCTCAATGAATACGACTCAGAGGCAGACTTAAAATGATCTGTAGAAAAATAGAACATCGCGAAACTGACGAAATAAGACAAATAGGCCGATATAGAAACTGTTGGGAAACTTTTTTGAAGTCTTTAAGCTTCTAATGTTGTATGGACCTTACAAACAGATCGTATATATTAGTTTTCTATACAATAAATATAGCCATATATAAGTGATATTTCATTTAATAAAATAATGCAAAATACCCACTCTACAAAAATTATGAAATACTGTTTATTAGCTATTAAATAGTAGCATAATCACTATAAGTCTAGTTATAATAATAACATCCGGTTCTAGATAACTTTTAAATCACATCTAAAAACATTATAAATTTAAATGGGCACAATATATTAAAACTCTTATATAAAATCTATATTACTCAAAACCTTTGCAATAGTCAAACTACTTTTAAATTAATAATACACAAAAAGAAAAATATACGGGTGTAGAAAATTGAGTACTGTCCAATAGAGCAAAATCCCTTCGGAAAATAAAAGAAACATTTCCGAAATGCTTTTAATACTCGCTTATCTTATGTTCAATCTGTTGAGGGTATTATGATCAAAAGTGAGCTTTTATTGTTATGTGATTAAAGTAATTTCTACTTGAATTTCAAACCATTTATAGATTTTATAAGTTTTCCCTATAAAACTATAGAAGTGTTGATATTTGTAGACGTTTGGTTGGGGTCTCTGTGTGCTTTGCTGGCAGTAGAACGCGTAATACTTCACCTGCAATATACATATAGTGAAAGTATATTATTTATAATAGGGTTGGAATAGTAATGAAGAAACAACAACAAAAATTTTAATTAACCATACAACGCTGTTTTTAGTATTGCCAAGTACTCCTCATCAGTAATCTTAGGTAATAATCATAGATCATAATTATTATCATTATTATTTATTAAAAATAATGGTCATTAAAACATTTAATTATTATTATTTATTTAAAAAAAAAACTTCAACTAATAATATATCTTTTTGTAGAATAGAAAATATATAGCACTCTACCCAAGTACATCGATCTTTTGAAACCTATAATTAACGATGAGTACAAATGTTTCTTATTAATATTATGTGAATTTATTTTTATGCACATAAATATGTAAAACTGTTAGTATTTGCAGTCAGTATGACTAACTGAAACAGATATGGATGGATTTCAGTAATTGTTATGCATTGCGTTAAGTAATGACTGTAATAGATAGTGTTGCTATTAACTGCATAATTCATTTCAACTTTTATGAAGTTTATTGTCGCTATGTTGAAAACGAAAGTATTAACTACAAAAAATTTGAATAGCAAATTTATTTTTATATGGAAATTACTTTTAACACATTTGATATTTATAGAAAATTCGATTAATCAGATTTAGATACATTTTTAATATTATTAATTAATGTTTGTATGATATTTGAACTTTTTCATATTGGAAAAAGCTATTGTTAAGTGATATACATATATTGCCTTAGCATATAAAAATAAATGTTGAATAAATGTTGATGTATAATAGTTCACCCAATAACTACAGATGGAAGTATCTTGTCATTAACTAATCTAAATTTATGTCAACTATTTTCATATCCTCAAGATTAAGGTATCATCATTATCGCTAAGTGTAACGGCTAGTTGAAGTACATGCATATTTTATTTAATGTAATCAAATTTGAAAAAATGTTCGTAATTTAATATAAAACAATGCAAGTACTTCATTTCCTTTTTCCACCGGCAAATTGCTGTATAAGGTTACCAGTTTCCAGTTTTTATTGCATAATGTATTTAGTATTTAACAGTTAAGATTTTGGACGGCGTATCTGTAATTGAGGTAAGCTACACCGTAATTCCACTTTACATATTTGAACATGACAGATTACGGCTGAGGTGACTTTCTTGTGGTGAAAAGTTCATTGTTTAGTTGTTCTGGACACTTTTACTCCATTTTGACTGAAGATTACATGCAACTTAAGTGCTAAATTATGAGTTAATGAGTTGAATTTATATACAAATAGAGTTACGTTACAGATTTCTGATTTTTAAATTATTTAATACAAAACTCAATTTGCTTAATATTCGTAATTAATTAAGATATATGTATATAGTTTATTTGAACTGTACGTTATATAGATTTGAAAAATTGTCAAACTCTTTTTGACGTATTAATAAAAGAAGAGTATATTTATATAAATACATATATATATACTATATATATGTACATATAGCATATACTATCAGTGAAAAATTTATTGTGATTCTTAGGTCGTGTGTGAGTTCGAGTAAATTGAGATAAAGTAAATTGAAATTTTCTAGGGATTTTTTGCACTGCACTTATGTAAATATTTATTTATTTATTTATTGCATTTATTTATTATATATTAAAATAATCCTATAAATTTATTTGCAATTTAAATTACTTAAATATTATTAAATAATGCTGAATGTAGAGCCTATGTGTAACAGAATAATAAAAACGATAAGTACACTATTAGGGCGTTTGTATAAGGTTTTCCATGCAATTGTGCGTTTTGTATGTTGGTTTTATTTTCTTTTTATGTTAAATACTAAAGTTATTATGTCAACATTTTGATCTCTTGCTAATAAAATAAAATATATGGTCACATTGAAGTATAAAAGCATGTAATACCGCAAACCAAGGCATTAGTCCACTGGGTTTTCACATCAAGTGCACTTCTCCGAAGAAGCTTTATTACATAAAAGATAAATAATTTGATAATACATTTTATTTTTAATATGAAAATTATTGTAAGTTAATAATTACAATATCTTTTATTCAATTCAGTTTAATATTGTCTTTATATTGTAGAGTTTTGCTTTGGTTTTTGGTTGCCTGATTGCTAGTATCAATGCAGGGATACTTGCACATCCTGTTGCGGAGCTAATTGAAGACAATCAACCACAATATGAATTCCATTACTCAGTACATGACATCCATACCGGAGACGTGAAAGATCAGTTCGAACACCGTCGTGGTGAATATGTAACTGGTCGTTATTCATTAATTGAACCTGATGGTCAACGTCGTGTGGTCGATTACAGCTCAGATCCTTTGTTGGGTTTCACTGCACAAGTGCGTCGAGAAGCACCAGAAATTCATGGCCTACTCGTTGCCGCACATCCTGCTGTAAGTGGAAGTAAAGTTATTGAACAGTGGCCAGCACCAGCACATCGTCGTTAAAAATTTGACTCCTATACTGAAACGAATACAGAATCTTTAAAAAAAAGAAGTATAATCAGAAGTTAAATTTTAAATATACATTTTCATATAGAAATCAGATATTTTACAAAATGCATTTTCACACTTTATGCTAATACAATGGAATACCTTTTTTTTTTTTTTTGAAAATAAATATTATTTTTTGTTACTTGCGGGTCAATAATACTCGTATTATCGTTAATATGCCAAGGGGACATATGAGACTATGGCTCCATAAGAGTGTTCCCGCAGTAATATTTCATAATGTGTCCTAATAAAAACAGGGTCCACAAAGTAAACGACCTGATGATGGCTTATATTTTGTTGTTTTTAATACATGAGACAAAACTTTTAAAAAAAAGTTTGATTTCTGCTTGTTAATTCTTTTTGAAAGAGAATTTCTTCAAACATGCTCCCCCTTGCCAACAAACATAATTCATTAACAATGAAAAATGGTAGACACCAGAAATTGTAATAAGTGTTAATGCTGTTCACCTTATTCGATTTTTTCGAAAAGTTCGAAATATTTCACGAATACGAATATTTGAATTTCCATCGAATAACTCGAACTATTCGAAAAATTCGAATTGTTCGAATACGAAAAACACTAATATCTATACAGCTTTTCCACATCGACTGCAAATAAATTCTGAAAAGTATCTTTACGCTATAAGATATTCTTAGTTTTTGGGATATAGAGGTTAAAAGTTAAAAGTTGTTCCATGAAAACCGCCAACAATAAGTAGATAGATGGCCAGATTGCCACCTTTAAACCTCGATGTCTCAACCACTATATAGCTATAATGTCATATAGCGTAATGGAAAAAGTTGTTGATAATAGACAATTTTACTTAAATTGACTATTAAATCGGTGCGTTCAAGAAATAAGAAAAATGTATAGAAAAAAAAAATGGATTAGCTTATAATGAATATACAATAGTAAACGTAACAGTTCTTTATTTACAAATAGTATATGTATTTATAAAAAAAAAGCACTTAAATTATGATAAAATGATAAAAATGTGATAGCCATTCAAAAATGATTTGTAAAGAATACAAATCATAGTTGATATTACTCTTTATTTAAGATTGAATTTAAGAATCGGAATGTTAGATAAATAATAAAAGTAGTGCTGTATTTCATACAAAAATGGAGTGAAATTCATCAATCAGAGTGAAAATGACAATCCTACTGTGGACTTTCACATTGCATCAATTGATTTCACAAGCACTGCAGATGGTGAGGTAAAAATTATTGATATGATGCATAGTCCACGATCAAGAAGTCATAAAAGAATACAGAGCTCAGGTGTGCGAGATTGTTGTTGCAGTAACAATCTCAAGTGAAAACGTGCATACGACTTCGAAAAGGGATTTACACATTGGAAAGCTATAAGTAAGATTAATAACACGAGTATCAAAAACGTGCCTCTGTAATCCAAAACAATTTCTGTGTTGCTTGATAAGGGTAGATGAGACATGGATTAACCGCTATACTAAGAAAACAAAATTGCAGTCTTCAAAATAAGCATACTAAGACAAGAGATATAATGGAAAATTAATTTCAGCTATATACTTACTATGTCATTGGTTGACAAAATTATAAATAGTAAAACAAATTTAAAAATATATACTAGTTTCTTATTAGTTTTTATAACAATTTTTTTACCCAGACGGTGCGCTCCATTATCATCATCGGCCTATAAAATATTGTATATAATGATATATTTCTTAAAGAAGAAGAAGATATCGGCTCTTCTAAATTATATTGAATACTTCATCGGTCCGTTTATCGGTGCGTTTCAAATTGTGAAACACTGTGAGAAAAACAGGAAATTTACAATTGTCCTTTATTGTGTAATTTATTTGTGTATTTATTTGACGTTTTGTGAATAATTTAATTTAAATTATTTTTGGTACTAATGCCCAATGTTACGCCCCCACTACCGAATACTTTCGTGATTTCTTACCAATTAATTTCTGAATTTCTATAACAGAAATTTATTTCTGTTAAAAAATGTCAAAAATGCAATGAATTTGATCAAAGAAAATTTCTTCATTATGTTACTCAATGATTTGGGTATGCTTTAAATACAAGTTTATTTACTATTATAACTTATTTCGTAAAAAATATATGAAAAGTATCATACTTCCTTATAATTTTTTCATTTATATGTTTATAACGCTTATAGATTAAAATAAATTTTTCCGAAAAAATTGACCTTCAGGACCCTCTATTAAAACGATGTCGCCAACACACTTTCGACCCATAATCCTTTGACCTTCAATTTTTACATTAATATTCGGAATATATTGATAAGATGTTAGTAGACCCGTTACTTTCCTCAATCCACGGGATGTCGTTGCTATACGCAATTTCTTTGATATTGGTTTACAAACTGCTGGTACTGAACCCATCTCTGGTAATAAAAGTCCTCCCATTGGTTCAATATCAGCTGTTACTTCTGTGTTACTACAAACAACACACCTTAATTTATTTTGCCAGTAGCCTTTTCTACATGATATTCTCTCTTTGTATTCTTCAATTTTAGCCTCTAATTGTTTCAAGTGTCTTTGAAGTTCTCTCATCAGTTCCTCAATTTGACTTTTATGCAGTTTCAGTTCAAGTACGTCCAGTATTTCCTCCATTGAAATTAAAAATTTTAAATAGTTTTTTTTCATTGTGCTCTGAATAGCTTTCATTTCATTTTCCAAACAATCAAGTAAAGCTAATTTCTTATAAACTTTTTCTGAAAACACCATTAAATTTGCGAAATCCTTTGTCATGTCATATACTTCGTCTTCTATATTAACAATTTCAGTTAATACGGGTATTGCAATATGAAGATCTAGTAGCTTTATAAACATTTTGTTCCCAATAATGGACGAAATTACTGGATGAAATTCAGGAGGTAACTGACATATATGTGAAGCTTCATCCCAACTTACTTCATGATCTATTACATGTAAACGATCTTTTAGTGATGAAACTTTCTTTACCATATTTTCATACATCTTCCACTTTTTATCATAAAGATTTAATCCAGATACTTTAGAGTTTTCTAGCAAATTTTTCAAACAAGCTGAATCAAGACCCTCTATTCTGACTTTAACGTTCTCAAATTCCAACTTCCTTAACATATGAGTCATTAATGTCTGTAAAATTTCCAAATTAAACTCTGTAAGTGGCGAAGCTCCTAGTGCAGCATGAGTAAGGTCCTGAAGTGTCACCTCGGACTTATGCATATTGCTTTATGCAAAAGTTCTAATTATTCAAAATTGAAATTTCGTTTTAGTTCAGAATATTTTATAAAAAATCAGTAAATTATATTAAAACAAAGTGAGTTTGACAATTGACATAAATTAAATAATAATTAAAAAAGCAGGGATATACAAATATTTTAAAGATAAAATTTTTCAATTGAAAGGTACGAACTGTGATAAACAATAACAACAAAACATTATTTTAATATATCTTTCGACTGACGCATCATCCATCATAAATGGTAAATTTAAGACACAGAGACACAATTCAGCAATTAATTTAACACTGCATCCTGCTTGTTCTAACTAAAGGCGTATTCTTTTGATATGATAGAACAACTTCTGGTTGGTTAAGAATAACTTGGTATCACTGTCTAAATCAGTGAACATAAAACAAGTAAAAAAATTTTGAACATATTTGTGGTTGATAGGTATATGTAATTACAAGAAATTATTAATTCTTCAAGACAATAGGTGCTTTCGACAGCTTTTAAGTGTGGCCAAAAAACAGGAAGTTGCTAAGCGAGATATTGGCATCAGGGTTACAATCTGTCAAATGTTATGTTTTCGTAAAGAGCAAACCTTGCATATGTGCACATAATGCAAGCATTTACATATTGTATAAAAATAAATAAAGTTAAAATTTAAAATATAAATAAATAATGAATTAAAAACAATGTTCAGAATGCAGGGAATTTTAAAATTTTCCTTTACAACAAAAAAAATAATAGTTTAGAATACTAATTGCCTTAGTAATTATATACTTGTTAGAAACTAATAGGTTAAAAATTTTAAACCGCTTTTCAAATATACTTTCTTAACGTACTACTAAAAATGTTTGTATATATTTATTTATATATCTATTTATCAATTTAAAACTTTTATTTTCTACAATTTTGCATAATTTTAAAATATATCATTTCTAAAATTTTCAAATTTGAAACTTTTTAATTTTGCGTGAATTTTTTAAAAGATATTCTTTGTTTTTAACATTGATTGAAAATTTCTAATAAAGGTTCACAATAGTTCCCTTATTGCGTTGGTAACATTTTTTTCTATAGTTGCTAAAATGTTTGTCCACTTCACAATTAAGTGCTTAGCTAGAGAAAGTAGTGTTGTTGTTTTGCGTACATTTTATCAATTTTAAAAGAGTAACTTGCTGCCACACTTAAAATCTTCTGAAAGTTCTTAATATTAGGAATTTGTTAAAAAATAGCAACACAATAAGCAACCCTGTAAAAAGTGAAATATACAGCACTAGTGAAAAAATACTGCTTGCACAATTTTTTCACAATTCACGCTGAACTCGTTCATCTGCAACACACATGAATATAACTGAAGCGGAATATTTTGAGCGTTAACAAATATTTCACTTCGGTGTTTTGAAAGTTTTATTTTAATAAAACACACAGAGTTGGCAATTGCGTTGGAAACCAACGGTTGTCGTTTATATAGCACTTAAGGCAAAATCAAGTATTCGGAAATGCTGCATTGGGTTTTGTAAATATTTATTATATTTGAAATATTTTAATTAAATCTTCTAAGAGTGCAATATTCCAAATATAATATAATTTTTATTTATTTTTTAAAACAAATCTTATTTGAGCATATATTAAAAATACGACCGCTTATTCTAAAAATAGCATATGAAACAATACTACTGGATTATTTACTGTAGCTTCTCTGGAACCGCTTAATCGATAAGCGGCTGTTAAAGCTGACCTGTCAAAGCTAAAAACTTAGCTCTTTTTATTTTTGAAAACAAGCAAAATTTGTTTTCGATTTTTTCACATTCAAATTTTTGGTTTGTATTTTTTTGAAACTTACATTAGTCCAAGTAATTTTTAAATTTTCGCATAAATCTATTTTTTAATATTTTAATAAGCGACAAAGTACTATGTTAAAAAATATATATAGTGAGCGTGTAACATGTTTTTTTGATTGATTATGACATATCCTATTGATATATTTACGCGCTCAAAGGCTTGATTTCAAAACATATTAAAAGAAATGAGAAAAAGAAATCTATAAGTATAAATTATTAAAAACCATTAGTGAAAATAATATTAATGGCTAAAAAAATTAACTGCAAATAAAGTCATAAATAAATTTACATTCACAGTAAATATTTATCCCTTTATACAATGTTACATGTGTCAAATAAGCGCGACCTTACAATCAAGCAGATAGTGATGCCACCTTGCAATCTAAATGCACATGTAGATACAAGAAAAGTAAGTTTTATATCTGTTTAGAAGAAACGGCGTAAATCAAATAGCGTTTTTATTTGGTAAGTCTGCATTCAATTCACTTTACTTTCGGTCTATGAAATTACGGTACCCAATCGAACGTTTTCAGCGTAATGTAACATTTTTGTAGTAAAGTTAATAGATTAATATTTTTACTAAATACGTATATCAAATCACACTTTGTTTGCCAAGTCATTTAAAAAAGCTGTTAATTTCAAAGAAATCTTGCTATTCTGGTTAAATATCTAGAGTGTTATAAAATAGTCTTGAGGTTTACCAATCAAAAATGGAAATCGCACTAAAAGTTATTCTCGATTAAAAAATTGCTCCAAATTTACGAATTGAAAACAGCAAAAAAGAAAATAATGGATATAAAGGCTGTGATATGTATGAGTCAAAAGATTTTCTAATGTTTTTAAATCTTCACATAAAATTTATATGTCATTTTATATGCAATTTTTAAATGCAATTTTAATGATATATGACTCAAAATCTATAATAATCAAAAAATCTAAACGAAGTGATGTTTTCTCATTATTGTATTTGTAAATATTTTTGTTTAATACTTTTTGAAGTATTTTTTTGTTTAGATATTTCGTATTTCAGTGTTAAAAACAAAAGGAATGTCATAAATAGGCTTTATATAAGAAAACACTCGAAAATATCTTTTTACATTATATCTCGAAGCCTCACGTATATAAACTAAAACCCACTAAATGTATTGCTCAGATTAAGGAGTAGATCCTGATTTGTTTGCTAGTGTAATAGACAAATCGCCTTGATTTTGTTTTAGATACATCAATTTTGGTTGATACAAAATTTGTTAGTAAAATTTAATTTTTAAACACTTATATCTTTAAGTAAATTTTTTGTTTATACGAAACATTTCTAAATATTCGAAAGTTATTTAAAAAATTAATTTATAACGTGACATAAAATCTATAAATTGTTATAAAATTTAATAAATAAATATAATATTTTATATTCAAATAAATATAAAAATTTTCATCAAATGAATGCATATATATATATATATTCAATAAGTAATCATATAATTTAAAATTGTATATAAATGGTCATAAAATTTTTGATTTCAATGAGATATTCATTGAATATAAATATTTATTTATTTGTATATATAAATATATGTTTATAAATACATACATAATTTGAATTTAAATTATCTTATAACCATTTCTGTATGTGTAAGCATGGGTATATTCATTTGAATTTGAAATTTTATAACTTCATAACAATTTTTTGTTATATGATTATTTATTTCTTACACACCGAGTATTTTTATACATATACATATATATATATTTACGTATTCATTTATAACAAACTTTTAATATTGAAATGATTATATAAATTATATTTGTTTGTATAATTGTATATACAGTCAAAGTGCCATAACTCGAAGCACCATTTTGCAAAGAAAGGGTTCGACTTATGGGGACTTTGAGTTAAAGAATTTTTTTATTTATTTTTTATTTTTGGAAGAAACTAGAATTACATTTGTTTGCAAATAAAAATTCAGAATTTTGAATGAGTCTTCTATTTCATTCTTGGAAGGCTGATAAACAATTTCATTCACATTTACAACTCTCATTATCACTTTCCGTTGCGGTTAGAAGTGAATTCACTAATTCAATCATATTTGGCGGAAGAAATACTAATTCTAGAGAAATTCGAGTAATAGAAGTTCGAGTTATGAAAGCAAAATTGTATGTAACTTGCTCTCTAAACCTTGTTGCACTCTATTTAGTTCGAGTTATAAAAAATTCAAGTTATAGAAGTTCGAGTTATTGAAGTTTGACTGTATTTTTATACATAAATACATTTATCATAAACAAGTTTGCAAACAAATATTATCCTTATTTTAATATAATTAATTTTATATGAATTTTATAAGATTTACCTCTATATATAAATATATATATATGTATTTTTATAATATGAAGTTTTGAATTCAACTGAATTGAAAAATTTTATATATTTATATATACATTTATCATAAACAAATTTGCAAACGACTATTATTCTTATTTTAAAATAATAAATTTTATTTGAACATAACAGAATTTATCTCTAATAAAATAATTAAACAATTGACATTGAAACATTTTAATACTACTGAAGCTTGATATGCTTTTAAATTTATATCAACCTACACAAATATAAAAACTGCTTCTACACTTGTGTCATTTATTTGCACTTCCTTATCTCCTATTTCTATGTTCAAAGCACCAAAGTTTTGCAATTATATGCATATGTATGTGTAGAATCTGTGATGCATCAAAACAAAATATTTGACAGCACTTCAAGTGTTGCCACCCAAAGTAGTGCTTACATTGTATTGTCTTTTCCAGCATGCTTACATAAGACTCGGCCTTATATTGTAACTCGTATATATTGCTTAACACAATCTTGTGCCATATCTGTGTTTAGATTTCACACAACTTCGCTCTAATTTGTGAGTTTTTATGCTGTTGGCATCACCGTTTTGTTTATTCAGTAAAGTTTTTCTTTGTTTTGCTCTCCTGTAGAGCAATTAGTTTGTTCGTTGTCGTTTGTGTTGGCAGTTTAGTTGTGGGAGAGATTTTATTGTTTATGTAAATCTAAAAACGGAAAAGATTTAGTTTAATGCGTGAAAATTTTTTTTTTTGAATACATATTAAAGTAGAGTGTATTCATTTGTGAAATAAAGTGTTTAGTTATTAAGTTCTTTTTTAACAAATCAAATAAAATAAAAAATGTGCAATTTATAATCAATCAACTAACCGACCTATGAGGAAAAACGGTAAAAAATAATGTTAATATGTTAAATACATAAAATTGCTTATGTATTTAAATCATTATGTTAGTGTAAAATTTATTCAGAAATAAAAGTATTCTTATTACGGCAAATTTAAGAGGAAAGAAAAATATTTCAAAATTAAAACACTTGTTTGCCTCCTCCAAACACGTACACAAGCAAACCTCAGCATCAAGGGGTTTTCTCATTTCTATTTTGTGTTTTGTTGTTGCTTTTGGTATTGCAGTTGCTTCCTATTGTTTAAATATATGCATAACAATTTTCTACTTAATTGAGATTTAAAAATAATACCATTTGCACAGTCTTTGTTCTTATTCTTGTTCTTGTTCTTGTTCTAGTGTCAAATACAATGGACTAGTTTCAAAACAAATATGTGCATATGTTATTGCCTCTATTTTTGAACATGATTTCTTCTTGCTCTTAACGCTTTTGATTTTATAATTTACATACTTCTTGTGCTTTATGCCTTGTCGCTATATTTTCGTGTAGTTGTTTTGTTTTGCCTTCCCAAATACGTGTCGGTGATGTTGCTATCGCTAATTGAAGTATAAATGATTTTATTGATCCCATTAACCCATTACTAAATTTATAGAACTGTTTTAATTTTTCTCTGATTTTTAATATAACTTCATTCACAACTTAAATAATCCTCTCAAAAATACAAAACCACATTTCATAATTACGAAATAAGCTTATTTTCAAAATAAATTTTGTTCGTTTTTATCATTTTTTGTTTTTTATTTTTTTGTTTTTTTTTTTTTGTTTTTTTTTTGTTTTTTTTTTGTTTTTTTTTTTGTTCGCATTTGGTACGTTTGTTTTTTGATGAATGATCCATATTTGCAAGATTTTGCCTTTGCCTTTGCCTTTGCTTTTCTCCGCCGCTTACTCATGCGAAATTAAAACTCAAAAACTCAAAAACTTAAAAAGCGAATTTTAATTCCTAGCGAAAGCTGAATTAACCTTCTTTTCTGGTTCTAAACAATAACCCAAAAGTTTTCATCGGTACATGTGTCACTAAAAGTTTTATTAACGCTCGATGTTGTCGAAGATTTGGTGCTCATTAAATCAGTTGCTTAAAAATTTATATATAAAAATTATATTATATTTTTTTTCGTAAGACTAACGGTTTTCGAAAAGTTGTAATGTTTGTTTCTCAAGAAACGTGCACTTTTAGCATTTCTTTTCGTTCATCAAGTGAATTGCTTTCGCTGCAATACTTAAATTTCCACATCAGCGATCATAATGCTAAAAAAAATATATATAATAAATTTAATTAAAGTTTACAAGAACGTAAAAACGAGGTTCCACATCAAAATATGAATATAACATTTTTGTATGGTGTCAATTGCAAAGTACATAAAGCTCAACGGATAGGGGTTTGGAGAGATTAGCGTCAGGTAAATGCTATCATATTTTCATGTTGTTAAACATTACCACTACTATATATACGCTCTTTTATATATTAAAGATCAGATGTAATTGGAACAATCTATGGCTTCAGTGTTTATTCAACATTTTACTTGAGAATTCTTTACTCTCCTTGACATTTTCATACTGCTGAACATAATCGCAACTATATCTTCGCTCTTTTGTATATTCCAAATAAAATGAAATGAGAATAATCTATAGATTCAGTTGATATATAACATTTTACTGTAAAATTCTTTACTATCTTTAGTATTTTCATGTTTCTGGACATTACCGCTCTACACATGTATACACTTTATTAAATATTCAAAATAAGATGAAGTTAGAACAATATATGGATCCAGAGGTTAGATAACATTTTGCTGCGATATTCTTTACTCTCTTTGATATCTTCATGTTTCTGCACATTATTGTTATCATATATGCGCTTATTTATATATTCAAGATAAGATGAAATTTAAATAATTTATGAATATAGTTGATATATAACATTGTACTGCGCGATTCCTGACAATCTTTGATATTATCATTTTTCTGGAAATTATCGCTACTATATATTCGCTCATTTATATATTAAAGATAAGACTAGGTTAGAACAATGTGCGGATCCAGTTAATATTTAACATTTTACAGCGGGATTCTTTACTGTCTTTAGTATTTTCAAGTGTCTGGACATTATCATAACCATATTTGTGCTCTTTTATATATTCAAGATAAGGCTAAGGTAGAACAATCGACGGATCCAGTTGATATTAAAGATTTTTACAGTCGAACCCTTTATTGTCTTTGATATTTTTATATTTCTGGACATTATCGTTTATATATTCAAGATAAGATGAAGTTAGAACAATATATCCAGTGGTTGTTCAATATTTTACTTTTGGATTATTAATTATCTAAACGCATTGATGAATTTTGTTCAGGAACTTAGTTTGACATGATTATTAACCCATGAAAACCAATGGAGTTGTTCCACACGAGAGGAAGACATAAAAAAGAGTTATAAGTAAATGGACTTAAAGCATGTCTTCAATGATGTATGTATATTAATAGACAAAATAATTTAAATTGTAAACTAGAGAGATTCACTTATAAAAAAAGACTTGTATTGCAGCGAATCAATAGGTAAAAAAAAAATTAAATTTATTTCTTGTAATAGGATTATATTTCCAAAATTTCAATTAGAATTTCGGTATCAAGTATAGTCATCAGTGATAATGTGATAAAAAAAAATATCACAATGCTTATGAAGTGTGTCTCGTGTTCATAACGAACATGACTGATCAAAATATTGGAGATATTAGACTGAAACGTGGTACAGGATTTTCTTTTAGACTCTATAAAACTTCAAAATGAGCAAGTTCCTTTTAAATTCTATTATTACGATTAATTAAAATTTGAAAAGTAAAATTCAGAAATCTATTATTCATAAATGATTTCTAATGGTAAATACTGAATCAAATTAATTGATTAAGATTTTCACCGTGTCCTATATAAAAGTGTCTTCATCCATTTGTATTTCTTTTAATGGAATAATGGCTATTTCAACGCGTCAAGATTAATTCCTAGGGAATGCAAACGACAAGCAGAGAATTATTTCTATATTTTATAAAAAAAAATTTTATAAAATTTCTTATTCCAATAGTTCAAAAAGATGCTGATTTTCTCATTATTGAACATTATTGAAACAACAATTAATGCCAATTATAATAACTATTCTAGGTGAAAGAGTAGTCTTGTACATATTTGCAGAAACATCTGCTGATCAAATCATATATAATAAGTGATTCATTTAGGTTTTCTATAAAATTAAACCTGCAAAAACAAAAGTTGTTGTTCACAAAGTTTAAGCTTATAACATATACTAAGTCATACTTTGTTGTTACATGTTAGGACTAGTTGCGATGCTATAGCTGTAAGTTATTTATCACAACATTTAAGAAAATAAATTACTTGATTACACAAAATCTTTTAACTAAAAACAGATTCTTTTGTAGAAGTTGTTTTAAGTTAATGAATCTGTTTTCAAGAAATGTTCAGAGATAATGACAGGTATTTAACGTTTATAAAATTTACATTGCTTAATAAACCTGTAGACTTTTCTTCTCTTCCATCAACATGTACTCGCTTTTAAAATTTGACTTAACACTATTTGATAATGACAGGTATTTAACGTTTATAAAATTTACATTGCTTAATAAACCTGTAGACTTTTCTTCTCTTCCATGAACATGTACTCGCTTTTAAAATTTGACTTAACACTATTTTTTAATTACACCGAGGGATCTTGCTTTGTATTCTTCACAGTCATTATTAATTAAATGTACCGGCTTACACGTTTTATGTCGTTTATCACGACTAGTCTTCTAAAAGTGTAAACCCATTATGTTTATAGTTCGAAACTATTGTTATATCGATCAGCAGAAGAATATGGTAAAAAAATCATGATTTCACCAATTTTGTAAAATACAATAATTTGATATTAAAGTTATTTTAAAAGAAATCGTATATTATGGATTTATGTATTGATTGGTGTTGCGTTTAAGTCAATTCAAAAATTGACTTTCCAACTTTGATATTTTCAAATACTATATATCCATACTATATATATACATACATATATACATACTTTACTATATATACAATACTGTATATATACAGTATTGTATATATACATGAATATATATAACTTTTGTTGATATATTCTATAAATGTTATACTCTCATTATCAACAACTTATATAAATCCACCTGTCATCAAGTTAGCTTCAACATTTGAAATTGTGAGTTATCTAATGTTCTTTAACTTAATGTTTTCTAAGATATTTCGTAACCTTGTTAAGTGTTTGTGGTCTACTTCTATTCATTTATTTTCAGTATATACCATAGAGAAGAAGAAATGGCGAAATAAAATTATTACTGATAATGAAATCTCTTAGTTATAGATGCATTTTTACTACAACATTTGTCTATGAAATTCCAGAAAAATACAAACTAAAAATAATACAGAACTACGGGTACTTTAACCTTTATGCTTCCATCTGGATTTTTACATGTATTAAATATAACAATGAAAGAAGACAATAAGGGTCTTTATCGATGAAAAAAAGTTGCCGGAAAGCTATACATAACTAAAAATGTTGTTATACATTCTATATAAAAAGTATTTGAAATTATTAAATGAAGCACAAAAAAAAAAATAAAAAAAATATTAAATGAAAACTTCTTTTATTACCTTAAAAAGTGAACCATACCATCACAGCTATGTCAGCGCTTGACCCCATCCTCTATATTTTTATCGTACGAGTGGTTCAAAATCGAATGCTGGTTTGAGCTCTTCTTTGAAAACAGCTATGATCTTGATCTCTTTAGCAAACTTGCTGATAAATTTTAGTTTTCTTTTTGCTAATTCTTTTGATAGTAACGATATATCAGCAGATAGACATCGGTTTCGAAAACCTCTGAAATATCATTTTGCTACATCACAACAGCTACAAGCATGTTATTTTTACATTTTGAAGAAAGCAATTTAACGATTAAATAGGGAAGAAACACTTATCATGGACGGAATCTTGATGCCCGAGCAAGGTTAATTATAATCAAGAGTCACCATTTTCTGGAGTATATCATTTGAAAAGTACTCGTGTTGTCCTATTTATTCTTTAGAAACGATTTTATTAAGATTTCCTTTCTAGAACTATTATTATTAGTGGTTTTGTATGGTTGTTTTTGGTTTGCCTGAATAGAAAATTTTTTTGCATAAGATGATATTGTTCTTCTATCAAAAGGCCTCAAATGATTACAAAATATTAAAGACACTTACAGTTAATGAAAAGTAGATTATAGGATGAAAGGTGTAAAACAAATAGGGAATCATAGACATCAGACAAAGAAACAATTAAAATTGTTAAAAAATATAAATGATTTGAAACAGAGGCATACTATAACGCTATATTTAATATGCATTTTGAAGAAAATCTATATAAAACTAATGGAGATATTAGATTATTGTAAAGAAATTCTTTTTAATCAACGCCGTGCTGTTTAATTACAGCGTTAGGCGATTGTTAGGCGTTATCAGTTACACATAGGTATATCGGTCAAACTGATTTCTCCATTGAGCAGTTTGCTCAATGATCAAAATGATCGTGTCTGCTTAACTGAATGCATTGGCGAAAATTTGAGACTACGAACGGCCACCCGAAGTATTTTTCCATCTCAAGTAATGGTATGGGCAGCTGTAAACACCAATGGACGCACTCCAATCGTTTTCATCGAACCTGGTGTCAAAATCAATGCTATTTATTATCGGAAACATTTCGGTTGTTCCAACAAAACTCGGTACCGTCGCATAAAGCTTGTGTGAACCAAGAATGGTTAAAAAATTATGTGCCACACTCCATTTCATCCATACAATGGCTTTCGAATTTGTTAGATGCAAATACGATGGACTGTTCCATCTGGGCCATTTTGGAGAGCAAGGTGAGGACTAAAAAATATGCCAGTATAGATACGCTGAAGAAAGCAATTGTTCAGGAATGGACCAAAATACTGGAAGATCACATTCGTGAAGCATGCAAATATATTTTTAATCGTTTGAAAGACATAGTCAAGACAAAAGGTGGCCATATCAAACTAAAGTAAATGGATTCTGAAATTTTAATTATTTCCACAAATTTTTTAATAATAATAATGTAATAAATAATTTCATACGAAAAAGATTTGGTTATACGAAAAGGTAATCGCCTAACTTTGTATATAAAATCACTACCAAATCAGTAATAAGCTATAAGGCATAAGTATTGTACGAATTTTAATATAAGGAAGTGGAAAAACTTTATTTTATAAAAAAAATATTTCGCTTACTTTTAAATTTTCCTAACCGAATTATTTGCCTAAATACTGGCTTGATTTGATACACATTGTAAATATATAGAAAAAGTTTTTAAAATTGAAATGACCTGTTATCCTTTTCTTGAAACCTAGATGGCGCAAAAATTTGAAAACTAAAGGTTACGAATCGTCTTTGTTCCTATGAACAGTTATATTGTAATTACAGATGTATAAAATTTTTATTTATATTATTAATTTATTAAAATATAAAATAATTGTTTATTTTATTGTAAAGTTAACTCTTGATGTAATTGCAAACTTAATTATTTATTTTCATGATCTGATTCTAATACGAAGGTCATTATATTTGCTGTATTTTTATGGGAAGTAGTGGAGGCTCCGACGTAACTGGCGTAACCCAACCAGTCGCAATGAACATTGAACCAGAACTTTTATTTACTAATATGTAAATATGATTTTTCTATTGGAATTTTTTCATGATGAAAATATGAATGAAAAACGGTTCGAGTGTAAAGGGCTTAATTTGAATGAAGAAGGATAGCACAGGTAAAAATTATGCATGTTTTTTTTGTGCATATTATATATATTTAATAGCGGAAACTAATATATCGATGACGTATTTAGATTGCACTATTGTGAATGCGAATGTGATTGTTATTAATTGTATCTTTGTAATTTCATAGTAGTTAGTCAAACGTTCTAATAGCGCGATTAATGCGCTCTGAAGAAGTTATAAAATGCATTGCTCTCGTTGCAGTTAGCGCATATTTTTACATTGTTATGACAATGGAAGAAAGCGCATCGCTCTCGCTATGCTCGGAGCGCATTAAATTCGCTTCAAGTCAACATCCTCACTGCATAATTCAAGGTACACACTTTTAAGTGTTACAATGGATGCAGCCCATTTAAAGCACTCCGTACATAGCGAGAACGCAGTGCTTGGCATTAGAACACTAAAGCAAAGAAAAAGTAAGTGTAGTTGTGTAATTTTATGTAGAGAATAATTCTATGTTAATGTGTTGTATTTTTATAATACAACAATAATAATATTAAGTGTAGAATGTATTATTAACATCTGAAAATACCTGGTAAAGTTTGTTGATCGTGTTTATATCAGTAGTTATAGTTGAGTAGTGCAACTAAGAAGAGATCGTGCATGGAGTGTGCTTAACTTCGGTTTTAAGGATCGTTTTCTAATGGAGATCCTCTAAAGAAATTTTGAAGGGGTGACGAAGTAAGGCTGAATTATAACCATATAATTGCTCAGAGTTTATTAATAGAGCAGTTGAGCGATTTAAATGGTGATCTTTATCGGGTTTTTATATAGTGTATCTATATTCCCAGCCATGAAGTATTTAAAAATTCCGTTGTAACTGACAAAGTTAGTGTTGCTTTTTTTTACCTACAGCATCAATTGTCGATTTTCTGTTTGTGCAAATAGTATAATTCCTTTTAAGTTTTACAAAATTGGATAAACTTGTATGTGTATAGTGTAATGCTCCTTTTGTTTAGTTGACGTAAAATTAAGTGAGTGTTAATTTCACTTATATTTTTTTGTAAAAATAGTACTAAGATCGTTAATCAAAGCAATCAAAGCTCTATCTTCCTGGAGGTTTTTCTCAAAGCTTTCATTAGACTGCTTTGATGTACTGCAGCAGCTAGCAAGCAAAAACAAAGTGACGCTTTGCTGGGTGCCTGGTCACACAGGAGTAAAGGGTAATGAATCCGCCGACAGTCTTGCAAGGGCAGGTTCTGCCACTCAAATCTGTGGACCGGAACCCTATTGTGGATTAAGTTGGTCTACAACTAGGTATCTAACTGATAAATGGATCTTAACCGAGAGAAGTCGCTACTGGCGCGACAATCCAGGTAACCGTCAGGCTAAACAGTTGGTTCACCCATATAGTTATGGCAAGGCATCCCTCCTTGGCAAATCAGACTTGAGATTGCTGGTGGGATTTTTAACGGGTCACCATGGACTGCGTTATCATCTTAATAAAATGTGTCTGTCCGAGGAGACAGAGTGTCGACTCTGCCTAGAACCAGACGAGACTACCAGTCACATTCTCTGTGTCTGCCCAGCCTTGATCTGGGCAAGGAGGAGGTCACTGGGAGGGGAGCCGCTCTCTCCTTCTGACATTACGAGGTCCTCAACGGACGAAATTCTGGCTTTCATTCGAAAAGTGGAATGTCTTCTGTTCGGTTAGGGTCAATTGCAGCACAAAAGATCAATCTGGTCGCAGTGCTCTGCTCCGTTGGGAGCTAGTACCCCGTTTATTTCTATTTCTAAGATCGTTAATATTAGTGACCTTTTTTAAGAGCATATTAAACCTAATAGATTAGATATCCAACAGATGTGTGTAAATTCATATTATATTATATAAATATTATTTAAATTTTTATAAATTGTTATAATTAACAATATCAATATAACCTCTGTTCAAAAAAAAAAACTATTTTTCAATTTCACTCTGTTCTATAATTAAAATTAAATTTATATTTCATATAATTATTTTTTAGTAATACTGAAGTTTTTTTCAAATGAAAATAATATGCAATAAAATACTTATAAAGTTTGTTACGACATATTGCAAGGCCTCTAATAAATTAACGCCAATAATTAAATTCCAAAATTATTAAATAAAGCTTCAATAGTCCTACTTCAGGATACTTACAATTTGGTACTCTTATAACTGTTGGTGATACAATAGCTGATATTAATAACAAACTACTGAAATCAAGAAATGTGTTACTATTTGCTGGAATATAAGGATATATGGATATGAAATAAGTGCTTTTGGGTGATCTGATCGCTTTTGGGTGATCTTAACATCAAATGACATCATTTTGTTTTTTAACATATCCATTGCGGCAAAAGTAAGCCTCGTAGTACAAAAATCTTTACAAAAATCTTTATTGTAAATAAATTATTTATTAATTAGCCTATTACTTAGCAAAATTATTCAGATTTTTGAAGTCATTCAAGAAGATCACTCTATTCTTTCCAGTAATGATAAAGTACTTTGGTTGTTTTTTTTATATTTGTAATGTATATTCGTTACTAGAAGTGGCACCTTGGTGGGCTAATATGAAAGTATATGTCGATTTCCTAAGGCCTTTCCCGAAAAGTTCTTCAACTAATATGGAAGTTTTTTCATATTATTGACATATTATTATGCATATTCTTGACTCTTCAAAATAAGATTTTTATTTTATTGTTCTAGAAATTATTTAATATATTCTTTTAAGATAACTAGCGGACCCGACAGACAAAAAGATTTGGAATGTGGCAGTTTTTTGTTCCTACCTATTTTACAGTCGGGGCAAAAAAATCTGCTGAACAGAGCACTCACCCTGGTGTATGGGGTTCAGCTCGGGTGACCGAAGTATCTTCTCTTCCAAAAACTTAGGTCACCCTTCTGGGATCCACTAAAAAACCCCGACTGGGATGTCTACCAGAGGGTTTCAAACTAAGAGGCGAACTGAGTGTTCAAACCTAAAGGTGACAAATAAATAAAAAGTGGGTAGCTCGCTTGGATAGTGGATATAAACATGCCTACAATAATCAACAACTTATTACAACACACAAACTCATCTATTGTGGTTATGTTCTTGTCTTCTTATATGTAAAAATGGATCGAAAAATGTGTTGATAAGCGCATAACTCAACAACGCCTGGACCAATTTGGAATTAGCAATAATTCGATTTTTTTCCCGCCGTAAAAACCATCCTTGGACTTAAACGAACATTTAAAAAAGGGAATTCACCAAATTGGTCCAGGCGTTGTTTAGTTATGCGCTTACAAACACATTTTGCGATTCATTTTTATATATAAGATTAAATTTTTAGTTTTTAATTATCATAATCTGAAGGTCATGGTAAGCTAGCTTTTGATAATAATTTAACAAATTTAAATAAATTAAATAATTTATCAAAATTAAAGCACACTTATAGTATTCGCTCAAAAAGATCTCTGATTAATTTCTTCATAATATTCATGTTCTTTTAGTAACATGAAATCTAAATTATGTTTACTAAATAAGAATAGTTCCTTTCGTTAACTTTTCTTAAAGTATTTTATCTATATGAATATTGCCAATGATAATAACTATTATATAAAATAAATGAAAAACAAAAAACTAACCAGCAGTTTGTAGTTACGTTCACAAAAGCCTTTAGCAACATAAACAAATCATATTTGTTTGCAAAGTTATTCAAAACACATCACACTCTTATCAAGTGACATATTGTAGGTGTTCATTCCTCTTAATTTACAATAGTAAAGCTCTCCAAAACGTTGCTTTAACATACCAAATGTATCTTTTTTTATTTATACACGCGCAGAACGTAGTTTTCTTAAAATACTTTTGTGTACTTGTACGACGCCCTTTATCTTTGGACGGCGTAGTTATACACATACATATAATGAACCGAATCTGCCAACAGATAGAGATAAAATAGATATAAACAAAGATAAAATTATTTCATTATATTTTCAAATTTCAAAGTTCTTACTTACCTTCACAATTCGATGGTAGTCGCCTAAATATGGTAGAGTTTTTATAATAGAAACTTGATGTCCAACACATATATCGAATAAGTATCTTCTTTTTATCATATTCATGCACAGTGAGATATTTTTGGGTGAACCAACAAGTGATCAATAAAAGTATCCGTAGTTGCAATCTGTTATGGTTTAGGTGGAGAATGACTATAGACGCAGTGAGTATATCATATAATCAATTTTTTATGTTATAGACTATTGCTTCTTAAAATGTTTAAATTTTATAAGAAGCGAAACTAGTAAAGGTTTCAACGTCCATTCCAAAAAGTTGCTGCTCACGAAAATTGCATAAAATAGAAATGAAGGTTTAACGTTTGAATTTAATTTGCCTTAGGGGTTAAACCCTCTAAAGACCGCTAGATAATACCAATGTCTGTGCGAAGTTAGATTTATCTAACGAATCTTTGGAATATGATAGTGTCTAGGTACTTTTTAAGATGGCTCTTTGAAAAGAAAATGGTGATGCGGCTTGCCTGTAGTAATAAGATATCATAAATCACTATATTCACAGTAAGCCAAGCGAATCGTATAGCAGTAGACAATTAGAAGAGAAGCTGGGATTACTTTAATAAATATGCTTGCTGTTAAGATCATCACCAAAAAAGATAAGTTGAACGAAAGAGAAAGGTGATTATTAAAATAGGAAAAAAAAAACTATTGACTGAAACATTATGATATTCACTAAAAAGTACATTTACCCAAACATTTAACTCAGTTTTGATAATGCGGATAACATCCTCGGTAAAATACTGAAAATTAAGTCATTAAATAAACGACAATTTCAACAGCTAAAGACCTCAAAAGGTAACTCTATCATAGTATGGATGTTGCAATACAACACAATGAAACTTGTAAAGAGTGAAGTGCAAAATATTTTGGTTTTTAAAATAGTGTTGCCAGTTGGAACACCGAGAAGTGTCTGTGGGTCTTTAACCTATTTTAAGTAATAATGGTCGGAAGGTAATATTTTAACGAAAAGTAGTAAATGAATGTCATACTCGCGGATCAAACGCAATTGTTATACAAATAATACTGTTTCGGAATTTCTATAAATTTGATTTTGCAATACTTAGTAATAGTAACACTTGGTTAAAGATCTTTCCGTAAGAGGAACGAACGTTTTTTTGAAAAATATAATTACCATTGTATTCTAAGAATATATTCGTGCAAAGTTGGATATGTTATTATTATTTACGCAGAGTACAACTCAAAAAAAGCACTAGAAACATCTGATTTATTGGTAGTACCCAGCGGATTTACATTAACCCCGAATGTCGTAATCACAGATAGGGTTTTATAACTAGTAAGAAATTTGGAGGAGTTTGTCTCATTAGATGTACGCAGAGAGACTAAGCTAAAACAACCGAAATGGATGACCATTTTCTGGATGGTTACCGCGAGTAAAAAATTATAATAGGTACGGATACCACATGAGGATCAAGAGTTATTTTGGTGTAGTGCTAAACCTTTTGATAACATTAAGCAGGCTCTCCTTTATTAAGGTGCTTATGACGTTAATAGCCTAGTTCTTTGTCTATTGAAGTATGATCACTTTTAGACTTCAATTCTAAGGTCTGCTTCACCAACGATGCTCAGGTCGTCAAATCTATAATGTATTCCAGCAACTATGTGAAAAATTAACAATAACAACGGCTGAAAATTAAAACATGTTTAACGATGATATTTTGAACTATTTTACGATATCCGATCACGACGAGTTCTAGTAAATAATTGATTTGTAATATAATTACCTGTTTGAAACTTTATTACTTAACATAAACTGAATTTTAAATTATAATTTTGAGACTGGTCCTATTTGTGTGTACGTATGTTGATAAAATAATTAAATCTTTTACAAAAAGAAACTTTTCTAGATTAAGATTAATTTCGATTTAAGTAATATTTCGTTTTGATTATTTTATATATAATTAATCTGTGTTTTTGTTTTTTCAGATATTAGCTTGACTTGCAAGTTAAAATCACAGAAGTAACAAGAGAACACAAAAACGACTGAAGCACAACAAAACGCTCAGGCAATATAATTATAGAAAATTTTGATGTTTGTAAATAAATTATGACGGCCAACAAATTTGGGTCGCAAACAAACGATAATACGGAACAACAATACACAAATCCATCCTTCGAACAGGACAATGTGCAATACAATAATTTAGCAAGAAGACATAATGGCAATGAGTTATTGCACAACTTCAATGGCACAAGCGAAACAGAGGGCATGCCAACAATGACTGGGTATGGTAGCAGTAGTTCCGCCGTTGGAGCTACATATCGTAAAGGTCACAAGTAAGCATAATATTTTTGAACTGTTATAGCATTAAAAGATGGTATATTTGCCTTCATAAATAGTTGTATCAATTTTTAAAGACGTCGTCTGGCATATTTATAAATGGAACAAATTTCTAAAATCAATAAAAAGTACAATAATATAAAAAAATCATATATGTATCATGTGTCTAATCTGGTACAGTAATAAACTACCACTTTAACCAGTTACTCATAAAATATAGTAAGCTAGTACTTGAATTAGTTACTTCTGCTGAGTTAATATATATATTTCATTATCTTGGACTGTGGTAAACTACCATTTTAACCAATCACTCACAAAATATAGTACACTAGCACTTTAACTAGTTACTTCTAATGAGTTAATATATACATTTCTGTATCTGGCACTGTGGTACACTACCACTTTAACCAATTACCAATAAAATATAGTAGGCTAGCACTTGAATTAGTTACATCTGATGAATTTATATATACATTTCTAAATCTGGCACTGTGGTAAATTACAATTTTAACCAATTACTCACAAAATAAAGTACGCTAGCACTTTAACTAGTTACTTCTAATTAGTTAATATATACATAGTTTACACTGTGGTAAACTACCACTTAGTAATTGGTTATTACCAATAAAATATAGTACGCTAGCACTTTAACTAGTTACTTCTAATGAGTTAATATATACATACTTTACGCTGTGGTAAACTACCACTTAGTAATTGGCTATTACCAATAAAATATAGTACGCTAGCACTTTAACTAGTTACTTCTAATGAGTTAATATATACATTTCTGCATCTGGCACTGTTGTAAACTACCACTTTTACCAGTTACTCATAAAATATAGTAAGCTTGTACTTGAATTAGTTACTTCTGCTGAGTTAATATATATATTTCATCATCTTGTACTGTGGTAAACTACCATTTTAACTAATAACCCATAAGATGTAGTGAGCTAGCAATTGAATTAGTTACTTTTGATGAGTTGATATACACATTTTTGTATCTGACACTATGGTAAACTGCTACTTCACCCACTTACCAATAAAATATAATAAGCTGACACCTGAATTAATTAATTCTGATGAGTTAATATATATATTTCTGTATCTGGCGCTGTGATAAACTACCACTTCAACTAATTACCCACAAAATATAGTAAGCTAGCACTTGAATTAGTTACTTCTGATGAGTTAAAATATATATTTTTCTGTATGTATATATTTACAAATTCGACACATTAGGTAATTTCTGAAATATTTCTTAATTAATAATTCAACTCAAAAAAGTCGAATATATGGTATATAATATGTATATATGTGTATATATATCCGTTTTTACACATATTATTCCATAACCGATAAATTTTAGAAAATTATCTTCAAATCGCTTGCTTTTACAACGATTCATGTGCTATGTATTTTGAGGTCCGGATGCTTTTAAAATTTTATCATAAAAATTAATTTGTGCTTAATTTGTTGTTAAAGCAATTTTTTAAAATAATTAAATCTATAAAAGTCGACGTTTTTACTGATTGACTGACGTTATTAAGTTACACGTGGTTACCACAATTAATAGATTTTCAAGTATTGTTTTTTTTAGCTTCAAGTATTGTTAGAATGAAATTATTTTTATCATCATTACATGATCCATTCGATCAGTCTAATTTTTGACTATTTTTTGCAATAATTGTGGCCGTACGGTGTCAATGGTGGCGTAACTTTGGCTTTCAATGCTTCAAGAGTTGCTGGTTTGTCGGTTGTTTAATTTATACCATCAATGACTTAACATTGCTCCATAAAAAGTAATCGATAGGCTTTAAATCGCACGATGGAAGGGGTCAGTTAACAGGATCACTTCTGGACATACAGTTGTCACCAAATTTATCTCGCAATAAATCGAAGCAAAGCCATATGTCGTTTATGCTTAACTAATTAATATTTGGAAACAAATATTTAGTCAGCATGTTTCTATAGCGCTCGGGATTCACTGTAACCCCTTCCTTATTTCGACAATTTAAAAGAAATAAGGACCGATGATGTTACCAGCGTGTGAATCGCATCAAACAGTCAATTTTAATGAATGTAATGGTGGTTCGTTAACGCCTTGAGGATTATCTTTGCTTTATATGCGACAAATTTGCTTATCGACGTAGCCATCTAGGCCGATTATGTCGATGTACTGTTCTAATAACTTCGTGAACAGATTTATTTTTTTCAAAGTAAATTTTCACAATGTGAAAGCGTTGTTCTAACGTTAAACGATTTATGATAAATTGCCAAGCCTTACTGGACAGAAATATTAACACAATTTGACGGTCTCAGCTATCAAATTATCGATTTCATCCAGCTAAAAAATATCTTATATTTAGCAGATCTATACACAAAAACTGAGCGACACAATGACATGCTTTATAATATAATCTCAGAGGTTCCAAATCACCAATGACAATAGTAAAAATTCTAATGACTCATTTGCATTGTCCTCAACATACTATTGGTTAAGTAGGCATACCAAAAATGATCGAAATTATATTAAAATAGGTTAAATTTCTTCTTCTTCTTCTTGTTCTTGAGTTAATGCTATTACGCACTTTTACTCTATAATGGCTGGGGGCTTATATCTACCCCACACTAGACTTTAACTAGGCTAAAAAAAATCATATCATTTATTTGTCTTTTAGTTGATGACGGACCTTAAATCAGCATATCTTCCTGAGAGTCCAGAAGTGGACTTGAGGATTGTTACATATTTGTGATATATTAATTACTTAATGTCACTGAAATTAATTAAAAATTAAATAATATAAAATAAATAAATAAATAGGTTTTTTAAATATATTATTTGCGTAATATGTCATTTATATATAAATATTTCAATATATTGTCAGATTTTTTTTTTTCGTGAAAGATAATAATCAGGTGGAGTTATATTACTTTATAGGCGACAAGAATCTATATACCAAATGACTGGCTTATATTCAGAAGCGAATAGTGGCGACGATAGTAGCAGTGCAGATGCGTCTCAGGATTTACCGAATTTCCCTGCTGAAAAACAAACTATAAAATCGCCAGTCACGTCTTCAGTAAGTGTACCGGGAATTGTTCCTGCAACTCCAACCACTCTGTTTTCAAATAGTTCTCGAAATTATAAGTGCAATAGTGGCTATGCGACCGATAGTGTTATCAAATGTCATAGTCGACAACCTTCTGTGGTAACCGACGTCACCGGTGTTAATGCTGGTCATGGAACATTGCATTCACACTCAGTTGTAAATAATAATAACAATAACGCCTTATCAAATGATGATGAGTTGGGTTTTGGAGACTGTGGAATATTAGGCTGTCGCCCAAGGGCTGTACAAAAATTTGCTAGAATCAAAATATTTGTATTACTCTTGTCAATGCTAGTTACTTTACAGCAAGCTTTAAGTTCAGGATATATTAATTCTGTAATTACAACGATAGAAAAGCGTTTCGAAATACCATCAAGTTATTCTGGACTTATTGCTTCCAGTTATGAAATTGGTAATGTGATAACTGTTATATTTGTAAGCTATTTGGGAAGTCGGCGACATATACCAGTGTGGATTGGAATAGGTAAGTTCAAAAACCTCTAATATATTTCTTAACTGTAGAATCAGTGTCTTTTTGAAAAGTAGGAAATAACAAATAGTTGGCATTTAACATCTCTGAACCAACAGAACACTTAATATTCTTTAAAATTAAACAATGTGCAATGTAATAAGAAAATAACTTAAGTAATTATAATATTATGCATATAGGTGCAGTTATAATGGGTATTGGCTCATTGGTTTTTATGGTACCTCATTTTACTGGGGAACCAAATCCTGGAATAACATTTGTGAACGAAACTAATGACAATATATGTCGGAGTGCATTGGTACGTGAGCAAGATATGGGTTTGGGACGTTTATCCAGTGGTTTATCCAATCCGCCATTAGCACCGCACACTTTACGTGAAGACAATTGCCTTGAGGGCAAATCATCAACATTTGGTCCAGTGTTGCTATTTGTGATTGCACAGTTACTGTTGGGCTGTGGTGGGAGTCCACTATTCACACTTGGTACGACATATGTCGATGATCACGTAAAAACGGAAAGTTCTTCAATGTATATTGGTTGTATGTACAGTATGGCAGCGTTTGGACCAGTTTTAGGATTTTTACTTGGCGCTTATTTGTTATCTTTTCATATGGACTCACTTTCTTCAACAATTATATCGATAGGTAAGCTTTTCGGTTATTAAAAAGAAATATTAATTAGGTAATTATTTTTATTTAATTTTTGTAACTTAAAAATATTTTTTGTTTATGTTCAGATCCCGGGGATAGACGATGGGTTGGTATGTGGTGGGGTGGTTTTCTTTTGTGTGGTGTTTTGTTGCTCATAGTTGCAGTTCCTTTTTTCTCATTCCCGAAGGTAATTTCATGTCAATACTATATATGTAAAGTATATTTAATCTAATGTGCATTATATGTTTGTAATTTTAATAATAATATGTATATTTTTAAAAGGTTCTTACTCGGGAAAAGAAAAAAATTCGTAAGAGTTCAGTTATACGTCCAGCATTGCCTAATAACTCCAACAGTTTACCAACAGACCCGACTGAAATTAACAAAATGAAAAAAGAAATTGTTGCTGTTTCTACGAAAGAAGAAGATTCTAAACCAAAAATTGACACTGGTTATGGCAAAGATATAAAGGGTATATTAAATAAAAGTCAAAAATATATATAATTATAACTATTTGCTCTATTTAGATATTCCACAGTCAATGTTACGTTTAGTAACTAATCCAATTTATATTGTTACGTGTCTCGGCGCTTGCATGGAGCTAATGATAGTGTCTGGCTTTGTCGTTTTCTTGCCGAAATATTTGGAAACTCAATTTAGTTTAGGCAAAAGTCAGGCGAGTGTATTTACTGGGTCAATAGCTGTGCCTGGTGCATGCATTGGTATTTTCATTGGGGGTTGTATATTAAAACGTTTTCAACTAAAACCAAAAGGCGCGGTACAATTTGTACTTATTTCAAACATAGTTTGTCTTCTTTGCTATGCCATGCTTTTCTTTTTGGGTTGCGATAATCTGAAGATGGCCGGGACAACAATACCCTACTACAATAACAACAACAAACAAGAGCCCTTTCAGGTTAATTTAACTGCTGCCTGCAACTTCGGTTGCGAATGTTTGACTAGTGATGTGGAACCGGTCTGCGGAAATAATGGCCTTACATATTTTAGCCCCTGCCATGCTGGTTGTACTGCATTTTCATCGAGTTCTAATTACACTAATTGTGCATGTAAGTTTTTTTACGATTTTAATTATTTATTTGATATATTAAAAAGAAAACAATTATCTTTTTTTTGCTTTAAGGTGTTCATTCCAATAATTCAAACAGGATTTTTATGGTTCCTGACAACAATCAAGTTCAAGCGTTGAACGTAAATAACGATTTTGCTGAGGTTACTGTTGTTCCTGTTGCTACTGCCGGTCCTTGCTCTACACCTTGTCGTACAATATATCCGTTTTTAATATTACTATTTTTTATGACGTTTATTGTGGCATCAACGCAAATGCCGCTTTTAATGATTGTCTTACGTTCAGTCTCAGAAGAGGAGCGCTCTTTTGCGCTTGGGATGCAATTTGTTATATTTCGCTTATTTGGTTACATACCAGCACCTATATTATTTGGTAATCTAATTGATTCCACATGTTTGCTATGGAAGTCATCATGTGGTGAAAAGGGTGGACGTTGTTTGATCTACGATATCGAGAAATTTCGTTTTAAGTAAGTGCATTTTTATAAATAAAATTGTTTTTTATTTATATATCATAATTGTGGTTAATTCCTTAGGTACGTAGGATTATGTACGGCTGTGAAAATAGTTGCTTTAGCAATATTCATCATAGATTGGTGGTTAGTACGAAGACGTAAACACTTAGATAAGCTGAAACCACTAAATGCTAGCGATCCAGTCATTGGCTCGATAATTAGTCTGGACAAACGTAATTATTCCAATTTACATATAAACATTATATAAGCATTATTTTAATTGATTTTTGATATATAGTTTCCTGTAAAAACGATATTGAACATAATGTTTTACTTAAAAATATTAGTGTTTTACTTAATATTCTTAAATTATGCTAAATTTAATTAAATATTTGATATGATTGATGACAGGAAAATAGAAATAGTTAAACAAAATAGTTTATAATAAATAATTTTGGACAATTTCCTAATGATTAATTAATTTATATTCATATTTTATACATTAGTGTTTGAGGAGAAATTTTTAGGACATGATAGCACTCCCAACTATAATGAAGGAGAATTAGTTATACCATCAGAAATTTTACGTCATGCAAGAAATGATTCACGGACTGTTCGGTTAGAAAATGGGTAAGACAATCAATAATATTATTGCATTCTACTGGTAATAACAACTCACTCTACTATTCAATTGAATTATAGGTATGATAAATTTAATCACGCAACTCCACCATTAAAGGCAGCGCCACGAACAGAGTTGAAAAAACATTGCCGTAGCTCATCATGTGATGTTAAAATGATACGTAGCTTCGCCAAAGATCACAATACAGTGGTAGCAGGTTATGAAAGCGGAGAATTATCGAAATTAAAAAATTTCAAAAAAATTAATGCACTTTCGCGTAATAATTCCACAGACCTTAATTCAGAATTACGGCAAAAGTTAACACACTCACGCACAAATTCCCGTGATGAGGCAGCACCATCAACAATAAATATTAGATACATACAAAATCAATTAAAACCGCAAGATGATGATGATGATGATGATAAACTAACGACTGGCTGTGGTCATTTTGTCAAGAAACACTCCCGCAACCATTCTTATGATCAAATTTATATGCCTAACAATATACGGTTTGATGCTGACTTCTTCCGTGGCCACAAGAAAAATGTGAATTTATTGAAAAATCAAGTAGAAAACAAACTGAAAAACTCCAATGAGACAGAACCAAATTCTTGTGGACATTCGCGGAATAATTCAAAAGATTTAAACATGAAAATTGGAGGAGTCGAATCGGCTTTAAGTATATTGCGTCATCGTCGTACAAATTCAAAAGATTTAAATTATATCCCTGTTACTGGTATAGATTTAGTGTCAATTTCTCCAGGGAATAATCTAAATACCGCAGCGAGCTCTGCAGCAGTTGTGTCCTCCAGTAGTAATGGAAGTGGAAATAATAGTACCGTTCCACATAGTCATATACATGCGAAACATGTACACAATACTTTACATCATAAAATTCAAATCGATGATGATCGTAGTGAACTTATCAATGACAATGACGAGGATGAGTACAATAATACTGATAATATTATGCAATTATAAAAACAAAGCAAATTTTAAATAATTTTAAAAAGATATCAGTGACTATTGTGGTATAATTTTTAACTCTAACCTTATTTTTGCAAACGAAACTTTAAGAAATTTTAAATTATATATTTTTTTTATTATTAAAGCATTCCAAGTTCTAAAAAAATGAAATAGTTACATGTGTAAACAATAACAAAAAAACTATCGATAATTATATTAATTATAACGATCTTTAGTAAAATAATAATGGAATTAATCATTTTTTGATGAAATAAACTTAAAACACATTTTACAAATGGAATAGAATACTGGCAGTTATTTCACAATACAATATTATAAGTTAAAAAGAGGTTGGATGATTAAAAAATAGTTTGTCTTATGATTATCATAATGTGATTTGCTGCGAAACACTGTTCAATAAGATAATATAGTTTTTCAAATATAATTTAGACTTACGTTTTAACTGCTTTAGTGAATTCAATTAAATATAATTTTTACACAACAAACATATTTATATTTTGGTATAAATATAAATGTTACTTTTTGAAAAAACTCCATTTTATCTATCCAAAATACTAATCTTTATAAAATTTGATGATTTTTCGACCATTACTTACGAATTAACAGTGGTTTTTTTGTAACAACTTCTGATATCTTAAATCAAACAAAAATTTATAATACATAAATCAAAAATTTTAAAACAAAAAATGCCAATAACAATCTATTTTATATAGAGTGACTTAAATTACGTTAAAACTGTGCAATTATCTTTCTAACATGATATATAAAACTATTAAACCAAATGCCATTAAATTATGACAGTCACAGACAGCAGTGATGTCCACTCCAACTTAAAACGCATACAACACCAATATATAAAAGAAAGTAATGCCATTTTCTAGACAAAACACACTTCCGCAAATAAATTCAGTATGAATCCAAAAACTTCCAATAATTACCATAGCCGTTCAATTAATAATAAGTCAATACCTCTTTGCTACTTAGTTTTAAAAAATATTGTTAATAATCGCAATTGTGCAAAAGTAACATCGGTGATTAAAACCCCTTCCCGAAATTAACCAGATATTGATGACAACATAATCAATAAAGCTTTCCACTAAACTACTTCCGGCGAAGGCTATCTTCCTGTAATCAATCCATCAAAATGTATTGTAATTGCGCTAAGATCAGTAAAATTGTATGCAAACAAGGGTTAACAGCCCCCCATAAAGATGCAATATCCTTTTCAAGACCACGCTTGTAAAGCAACAATTTCTCAATAGGCTCTAGTATCCCCTAGCCCAGTTGAAATCAGAGTATGGCCATTTGTCATGAACAAATACGACAATTTTCAACGTTAATCTTGCGACCTTTTATTGTCGCAACAGAGCTTAGAGACCTTCTCTAAAACTGTCTTCATATATAAGTAATAAAAATTTCTAAATCATATAAAAATAAGAAAGCAGGTCTTTTAAATAGACTTAAAACGGCAGGGAATCAATATCAAATAGAATAAATATTACGTTAACGAAATTCTACACGTTAGGGGGGAGTATAGCAGTATGATTGCTGTGTTAAAAATTGTCAAGAAGATTCGAAATCTCTTTAAATCTTCTAAAACGTTTGACAGTGTAGGCCATTCTGTGTTGGTTAAAAAGATTACTAATACGTTTTCATCTGTCTGGAAATTTATTTTTCACTATTTACTGGAAGAACTTAGTTTATTGCCATTAAGAATGTGTCTTCAACTTTTAAATACTTAGTCTATGCAGTACCAGTTTTGTGTCCTCTATTGTTCTCTATTTCTGCTAATGGGATATTTTCTATAAGTAAGTATACTAAATGAGTATGCGGATGATGTAGGTATGAGTCTGTTTAAATGAGTTTAAATGAGTTAGTCTCTTGACGATATTATATTGAAAATAAATTTGGATTTAGCGAGCATTACTAGTACTAGTATTTTCTCTATTTGTTAGACTAAAAATAAATATGCGAATGCAATAATTAAATAGAGTGATTTAGAAAAATATTTTGGTATTCAATTAAGCTCTAGCTTACACAAAGGTTTTTATTTTAATCAATAGGTAAAACTTACCTAAGCTGCCGTAACTTATCTACAAATATACTTCAGTTGATGTATTATATATTGTATGTATTGATATTTTGTAAAATGGATTTAGCATCCCTTAGTAAACTAATAACTTTAGCAAATTGCGTTAAATATTATGAAGAAGAATATCATTTTATGATGCAATATTCAGCAGTTCTTGAAGATTCGAGCATTCAGCCTCCTATTTACAAAAGTTCGAACTACCTATTCTGTGCTTTTCCTTTGAGTAAACCAAAACTCGGTTTTCTTCCAAATAAAAATTCATCTTCATCCATTTCGTCAGAATATGAAATCCATTATCAAACACTATCATGAATGACTATAAATGATGAGACATGAGTTCATTACTATAGTCCGGAGAAAAATGGGCAATTATGTTTATAGACATTATCCTGCGAAAATGACTGAAGCGCATAAAAGTTATTCTAAAGTCGATTAGAACTATGTTGCGCCGATTATTTTCCCTGAACGTAGCTAAAGGAAAGTGATGTGGCTAAGTCTTATCTCCTCATTTTATTTTAAGGTATGGGAAAATAAAATGAGATATGAGGAGGTTTTCTTTAAAAAATATTTAAGTGAACTTAAAGTTGTTAGAATAATGAACTTGAATGGTTTTCCCTACTTTAAATTATTTCATAGTAATTGAATATTTATATTCTTCAAATGTACAGATAAAGCTATAATATTTGAACAGTGGGCACAACAAATCACATTCGTATAAAATATTTACATTTAATTATACATCTACGATGTACAAAAGTATTGTGCTGTGAATTGATGTTAGCTCTTGAAGCAGATTTTAACTTAACTAATACGTTTAAATATCAATATATATATAGAAAACGTACTGAAATGGATAAATCATAAATTATTTATATATTTATATGTCCTTAATATCAAATATTGTTTTTATGATATTTTATGTTCTGATATAAATTTTTATAATATTTTGAATTACAAAAAAATTATTTTGCTCAGTTTTAGCGTTTAATGCTAAATATTTTTTAAAGGAGTTTATTTTTGAATAGCTAATTCTTTAAAATTCCGAATTATTTTTATTTTAACATATATTTTTAAGCTGATTAACTTTAGCTTAACTAACGAGATCACAGTATTGCATGTAAAACGTGATTTATTTAGATTCCGCTATTTTCTTCCACTGGTTTAAAAATTATTATGACCTATAGCAGTTCTCTTCAAATCGATACGTAACAAATCGGTACGTAATTAAAGAGCTTAACTGATTATTTTTAAAATTTTGCTATACTGGGGTGTGTAAGGCTAGTAAAATTTTTATTTTCTTCTCTTAAATTTTTAGTATAGTATAGTATTGAAATTTAACAATTAAAAATAAAAATATAATTTAATTAATATAATTATAATTCAATTATTCTGCAGCTGGTTTATGATTTCATTCTAATATAAACACAGCAAGTGAATTTGTTAATAAAACTTTTACAGCAAAATAACAAAACTCCAGAAAAATGTCCGAACATAAAAGTCAAGTACGGCTTTGGGTCAGTTGGTTAAGGAGCGGTGACTCTGAGCTTCAAATTTGGCAGGGCACGAGTTCGATTCCTGGTACTTGCAGTCTCAAAAAATTATTTACGATTAATTAAATACAAGAAATAATTTCCAAGACCACTGATGATGGTAGGATATTTAGCAATACACAAAACAAGTGTTATGTGTTAAATGTAAAGATCATAATTCAAATCTGCCTTATCTTAAATAAATCTATATTCTTTAGACAACTTTTAAGGAAGTGAAGCACATATGACTGTTTACATATATTTATGTTGACCAGTTACACATTTATCGTGGGTATAGCTTTTCTTAAAGTACACTCCGATAATATATATACATATATGTATATATTTTTGTTTATTTATAATTTGTATTGGTCATTCTTAATTTAATGCTATATATAGTTGTTGAATCAGTGTAGTATCATATTATAATGATTGCCACATGAAACTCAGACATTTTGAAGTCCCCTTCTTCATGATGCTTGTTAGTGCTCCTTACAATAACTACACTTCTACCTCAGGCATAGGCACCGGTCTGAATCGTATAATATACGAGTATATCGCAAATTTTAATTTTTATGTATATGTTTAACTTAAAATGTGGCTTTGATATTATACAAAGGTCACTGTTCTGGGTGGTATCGAGAAACCAGGTTTTTTTGAGGCTTTGTCAAGTCATAACCATTCCAAAACATTATTATCAATTGTATAGTTATGGTTATTTCTTAACTCATTAAATCTTAGTGTTATTTATTAAATTCATCTTGTTTATTGAGCTTTTTTATTATTTAAATTAATAAATCTGCATTAGCATTTTTACATTCTTGGTTTGCTTTTAAAACTTATGATTCTGTTGGTTGTCCCAACAAATTTTCATTGTTTTGTTTGCATTACCTTTATTTTGATGCCTTTTGGCCTAACCTGTATTAGTTGAGGGATATTATTTTCATTCGATCTATTTTACGTTGTGGCTTTTATTTCGAAGATATTGCAGCTCTCTGGCAACTATATAACTTTTATAAATTACAGGATGTGCCCCATGGCTCGTTTTTTTTTCACTTGGTTTTTTTGCTAAAGAAATTTCAAGTTTGAACAAATAATTGAAAATTTTTACATTGAGGTATTAATTTAGAGCTTCTTATAGAACTTTGTAAATTTTTACTATATATTTCTTGTGATAGTTATTGATCTGTAACTGTGTTAGTCTTACAACAACTATGCAGATATATGTCTTCAACACTATGCCTTAGAATACATTTTACAACTGGTATTCTAGTTAATTTTATATAACAATCTGTATCGTATAAAAACCGCTATATTGTTTTTTGCGAACTTATTATTCACTTTAAATTATATCATATAGTTTTTGGTATTAGAACCTAACAGAAATCGTAATGGGTGACCGACGCACTATTTGAATCATAGTGTTTCTGATGATTTTATTGAGGGAGTGTTTGAAATAAAACTTTGTGACACCTATTTTAAATTTATGCATATTATTTCAGTTGACCAGAAGGCACGTCTACCTATTGTTAATGG